GTCGAGAGCCAGGTCTGCAAAGTCCACTATCGCCTCGTCACTGACCGCTTGCATCTTGCCGTCCCTCAGCTCCTCTAGCTCGTACGCCTGTACCCTCTTCATGGCCTGGAGGGCATCCACACAAGGAAATTATGATGCGTGGATAGGAGAGGCGGTGAATAATATCATGATAAGCAAGAAATGTGGTGGAAGGCAGCTGACGGCAAGGGCTGTGACATCCATGAGATAGATTTGAGACGTCATGGGCACAAACAATCTCTGATATGCAACATCCATATTTGCGCCAACTGGAAATTTGCATTCCATACTCCATGATCGTACCCATTCGCTTAAATGCGTTTTTGAGTCAACTCGGGGTGAATTTCCACTCAGCAACTCAAGAAGCACGATTCCAAAGCTGCAAGCAATCATGCATTGGAGACAAAGAATAAACTTGGAAAACAAAGGAGAGAGGTACAGGGTCCAAGTATTCAACATCAACATGGAAAATTAGAAAACAAGTGAGGTGCACAAGTTGACGGCATTGTGCAAAGGAACGAGCATGCATGCGAACCTGAACACATCGCTCCTGGCAGTGATGACCTTGGTGCGGTTGTAGTCAGGGTCCACATAGCCCGGAGTGCCAGCCACTCGCGTGGCATCGGCATCGCCGTGGGTAAGGCGTTTAAGCAGTCCAAAGTCAGCCACCTTGGCTTGCATGTCGGCTGTCACGAGGATGTTGGCCGGCTTGATGTCGCGGTGCACGATGGGTGTGTCGAACCCGTGCAGGTACGCCAGGCCCTCTGCTGCTCCCTGCGCTAGGCGCAACCTTTGGCGCAGAGAGAGCGGACCTGGTTGAGGAAGCACGTACATGGAGCAGAACGTGCAGTTATATGAGAGACGGTGTCATGCTCTGTGCTGGAGACACTATATAAATATATACATACATATAAATAAATAAATACATAAACATCTACATGCATACACATATATATATGCATATATATGCATGTATATACACATATATACCAATAAATATACATATAAATATATACACATATATATACACATATATTTATACATATATACATATACATATACATACATATATATATTTATACGATCGGCAACCATTGAGCAGTCGTGGGCCAGTGCAACTTACGCGTGCGAAAAAAGAAAATGCCTGACAACCATTTCGCCATCGTGCTAGTGCATTTCTCGTTAGAGCAACTCACAACAGAGCAACTCACGGTTGGTGGCATGGATGTGGTACTGGAGGTCCCTGTTGCCGATGAACTCGTACACGAGGATCTGCTCCTGCTTGCCCGTCTCCACGTTCTGGTCCAGACAGAAGCCCAGCAGGCGCACCAGATGCACGTGGTGGAGAGACGACATAACTCGCACCTGCAACATGCCCATGGCACACAATGCAGGCAGATGCAGAGGGAAATGGGAAGGCAAGCTCGGAATCTGCAGGTCAGCATTTTGGTCAACATTTTCTGGAGGGAGTAGAGGGATGCCTGACCTCTGTTTCAAAGTCGTTGGTCATGATGGTGGATCGCTTGATGGCCCACAGCTGCCCCTGTGGCGAGCGGCCTTTGTACACAATGCCAAAGCCGCCCTTGCCCAGCACATTGTCCTCGGACCAGTTGTTGGTGGCCCTCAGCATCTGCTGCAGCGAGAACTGCTCACACACATCCAACCCCTCCCACTTCTCTGTGCGAGCGGGAGCACACAGTAGAATAAGGAAGGAGAGCGACCAAGAGGAATGAGTGACCAATGAGATGAGTGGAGAGAGGGTAGTGGAAAGGCAGAGTTGTAATGCAGGAAAAACGGCAGGGAAATTTAGCAGAGAAGGAGGCCAGGAAAGAGGTACAGCACTAGGGGAGACGGAAAGGAGCTGAAGAAGGGTGGAGGGGCTCTCACTTGGTCCGCGGGGCCACAGCAGCCATGCGAGCATAGCAGCCAGCAGCGTGAAGCCAGCAAAGCAGCCCAGAACGATGCCCACTATGACACCCGTGGATAGCGAGGCCACTGCCAAGGAATGGAAACATGGAGTGGGAGTGAAGCTAAAGGAGGCAGCAAAGAGGGTTGGGTAGACACTGGAAGGTGGAGCAGGGCAAAATACTGGAAAGGGGGGGCAAGAGCTCAAGCCACTGACTCAACATACCGGAAGGGGGTGGCAGCTCGCAAGTGGTGGTGTTGGCGGTGCCGGCAGCAGTGACAGCAACGTAGCCACTGGCGCAGGAGCAGGAGAGGGACGGCGGCCAACCACTCTGCACCACACACTGCCCCGCTCCCGCACCCCCACAGGGTCCCTGCTCTGACTCTATCCCACACACCGCCGCACACTCTCCCGCCCCCCGCTGCTGCCCCACCCCCTCACTCCCCAAACAATTCCCTTCCACAGCCAGCCATGCCGCTGCACTACTATTCCCGCCCCCCTCCCCTCCTGCTCCAGTTCCCCCCTGCTGCCCCCCCTGCCATACCCACACCCACTCAGAGACCGTTGCATCCTGGACTGCCCAGGGGGGGAGGGACTGGGGTTGGGGGGTCGCTGGGAGGACGAGAGAGGGGAAGGGTGGGGTTGGGGAGGAGGAGGAGAGGGTGATGTTGGGGGAGGGGGAGAGGGAGCCGTAGAGGTAGTTGCCGCTGATGTCCAGGCTGATGGGCGGCATGTTTTGGAAGGTTGCGGCGTCCATGAAGATCAGATTGTTGCTGACGTCACTGGGAGACAGGCGCAGAGTAAGGCGAGGCAGGGAGACAGAGGGAGAGGAGAGGGAGTGGAGAGGGCGTGGAAGGAAGAGGGATTTGCAGCCCGACTGGAGGTCAGGGCTACAAACGATCGTGATGCAGCAGGAAGATTACAAACGAGAGTGCGACAAGAGGAGCAGCGGGAGAAAGAGGAACGAGAACGACGTCCGGGTGATGAGCGAAGGGGGCACAACTGAAGGGCGAAGGGCGAAGGTTGAAAGGGCGAAGGTTGAAAGGGCGAAGAGCGAAAGTTGAAGGACGAAGGGTGAAAGGGCGAGCGGACATGAGTTGGAGGGAGGAGAGGAAGGGCAGGCACTGAGGGAGGGCCCCCGAGAAGGCGTTGCTGCCCAGTAGCCTGCCGGTGGACGGGTGGGTAGGTGGAAGGCGGGGCAGGTGGGAAGGCGGGGCAGGTGGAAGGCGGGGCAGGTGGGCAAATGGGAAGGTGGGCAGGTGGGAAGGTGGGCAGGTGGGAAGGTGGGCAGGTGGGAAGGTGGGCAGGTGGAGACATGGGGCAAAAGAGGCAATAGGAGAATGCGAGAGAAGAGGAGAGGGTGAGGGGAGCGAGGGGTGAGGAAGCAAGCAAGATGGATGGTGTGGGTAGATGAAAGCACCCAAAAGGATGGCAGTAGGGAGGAGGCAACTAGCGCAGGGTGAAAGTGCAACGCATTGGCGCCTGTGCAATACATTGTCACCAGTGCAAGGCTTTGTTTGCACAATAAAGAGCATCTCTTTACATGGATGACATGCACGGATGACATGCATGGATGACATGCATGGATGACATGCATGGATGACATGCACGGATGACATGCATGGATGACAATGCATGGATGACATGCATGGATGACATGCATGGATGACAATGCATGGATGACAATGCATGGATGACATGCATGGATGACATGCATGGATGACATGCATGGATGACAATGCATTGATGACAATGCATGGATGACAAGCCTTTATCGTCACCACGGCATCTCTCTACATGGATGCACACATTCATACGTGCCTGCTTGCTACTGGGCCTGAGGGTAACATAACCTGAATGCTACACTGTGTGAATGCTAAGTCATCTGCGCATTACACTACACAAAAATGGCATGGTGAGCGCGTTGCACCTAGTGAACGTTACAGCATGTGAACGGTACAGCATGTGAATGGTACAGCATGTGAATGGTACAGCTAGGGATGAGCAAAAAAACGAACACCTGTTCGGTTCGCCTCGAACGTGTTCGAGGCGAACCGAACAAGTTCATTTTTTTGGCTTAAATCGTTCGCCGAACAGTGTTCGATGTTCGCCCGAACACGTTCGTGTTCGGGCCGCTGCTGCAATTTGCCCGCAACGAACACGAACATTGTTCGAGGTTCGCCCGAACATGCCTTCATAGGCGAACGGCGAACACCTGTTTTTGCTTAAGGTGTTCGCCGAACCGAACAGTGTTCGGTTCGCCGAACAGGGGTGTTCGTGCATGGGCGAACGCGAACACGTTCGTGTTCGCCCCTTGCTCATCCCTAGGTACAGCATGTGAATGGTACAGCATGTGAATGTTACAGCATGTGAATGGTACAGCATGTGAATGGTACAGCATGTGAATGGTACAGCATGTGAATGGTACAGCATGTGAATGGTACAGCATGTGGGTGTTACAGCATGTGAGCGTTACATGATCTGCAGCACGGATTGGCAGAGGTACTCGGGGATGGGGCCTGACAGCTGGTTGTGGTGCACCGCCCTGCAGGGAGAAGCATGGGCAGAATGGGGGTTGGGGCCAGAGAGGGCGCACGGGGGGTGGGGGGATGGGGCCTGACAGCTGGTTGTGGTGCACCGTCCTGCGGGCATGGGGGGTTGGGAAGCAGGAAAGGAGGGGGGGGGGGGGGGGGGGGGGGGGGGGGGGCGCGGGAAGCAGGGGAGGGTGGGGGGGACCAGGACGCAGGGGGAGGGTGGGGGGGGACGGGAAGCAGGGATGGGCGGCTGGGAAGCAGGAGGGGAATGGGGGCTGGGAGGGAAGGGAAGCAAAAGGGCGCATGGGGGATGGACGAGAGGCAGGGGGGAGGAATGGGGTGCAGGTGGGCGAGAGGCAGGGGGAGGCATGCGCGATGGTTTGGCAGGGGACGCAAGCCAAGCAAGAAGAGCACAAATGACTCAAAGACAGCACGAGCAGCAAATCGGGGCTGACGAGAGTAAGAGCAACGGCATGTGGTGGCACTCACAGCAGTTCCCCACACTCACAGCATGGCCCCACACTCACAGCATGGTCCCACACTCACAGCATGGCCAGACGATTGAGATTGAAATGGCGGCTCTCCAGCGACCCTGAGAGCGCGTTGAATGAGAGGTCGCTGTGGAAATGGGAGCGTGTTGAATGCGTGTCGAGGGGGATATGGGAGAGAGCCACGGATGGGGGTATAAGGGAGAGAGAGATACGTGCCTGGGCGGAAATGGGAGAAGAAAAAGCGGAGGGTGAGAGAACACACACCAGGAAAGGGAGGGTGCAGGAGGGAAAGGGGAGGGAGAGGGAAGGGGATGAGAGTTTCTACTCGCATTATTCGAATGGAATGGTAGTTACCAGGGCTTTTGGGGTTACCAGAGATATTGTGGTTACCAGGGTTCTTGTGGTTACCAGGGTTCTTGTGGTTACCAGGGTTCGTGTGGTTGGTAGGGCATACGCACATGATGAGAGCTGGGCTGGCAGCAGCGTTGGGCAGAGGGCCTGAGAGGTGGTTGCGAGACACGTTGCTGGCATGGTGAGTTGTGGGGCAGGGGGAGAGAGGGCAGAGGGGCGGAGGTGGGACTACATGAGGACCGACATGAGGATGAACGAATCCAAGATGAATGGCTGGTTGCTAGAAGCTGCTGTTATGATGCCGAAATTACTGATGGGTGGTGTAGATAGGGAAGTTGACTGACAGGTGGGAGAGCTGTCGCAGGTTGAAGATTGACGGAGGCAGCGAGCCGAAGATTTGGTTGATGGCCATGTTTCTGCCATGGCATGGCATGGCATTGGGTGGCATGGCATGGCATGGCATGGCGTGGCGTGGTGTGGGGATGACATGGCATGGCACGGGCAAGGTTAAGGGGTGGGCATGTGATGGCCTCGTTGTGGGTCATGGGCCATGGGGCAACTGTACCGTGGAAGGTTGATGTACATACACGATAATGGCATGGGCGAGGGTAGTGGGATGGGATGGATGTCCATGTGTCTCTGCCATGGGTCTTGGGTGGGTGGCTCATGCTGACATCAGATGTCACGACGTGGCATGTTGACATGTCAAGACACGGCATGCTCCACGGGGAATTATATAGTGGTTCACATCACATACAGGCATGCAAAGTCCATAAAGGAAGGATACATGCATACAGGCATGTCGTGGCCATACAGGTGAGTCATGCCATACAGGTGAGTCATGCCATACAGGTGAGTCATGCCATACAGGTGAGTCATGCCATACAGGTGAGTCATGCCATAGAGGTGAGTCATGCTGAATCATACAGGTGGGTCAGGTTGGGCATGAGACCAAAGAAGGGCGGAGCAGTGCCGTTCAATGCGATGGCTGAGATGTCACTGCCGTGCGGGGCATGGGGGGATGGAGTGACGGGGGAGATTGGCAGGGCATGGAGGGATGGAGGGATGGGGAGATTGGCAGGGCATGGTGGAATGGGGGAGATTGCAGAGCATGGGGGGATGTGGGAGAATGGCAGGGCATGGGGAGATACGAGGCGAGGGGAGATACGAGAATGTGGAGGGCAGGAACGCAAAACACCCAGAGTGATACAGCATGGGGAAATCAATGGTGCGGTAAGATGGTACAATGTCCCCCCTGCACCGTGCCGTGCCCATGCCTCGTGCCCAATGTGGCATGCCCCGTGCCTCATGCTTCATTCCCCATGCCCCATGCCACAAGCCCCATGCCACAAGCCCCACACCCCTGTCCACACAAAGGCCTCACACAATCTCGAGGGATCGCAGAGCAGAGAGGGCCGGTGTGATGTCTCCTGACAGCTGATTGGACGACACGTTGCTGGGAGGGGGCATGCATGGGTATGGGGTACAGGGAATAAAGTGTAGGGTGTGGAGTATGGGGTATAGTTTATTAGGTGATGTTGTTTTGCACAAGGCATGGCATAAGGCATGCGAGCGGGCATGTTAGTGCAAAGAATCGAGTAAAATTGCATGGCATGACATGGAGCGTGACATGGCATAACGAGAAGCAGCAGTGGCGAGCAAGGGAGGGGAGGGCGCACAGGTAGGTGAGGGAGGAGAGGCGGGAGAGAGCCCGGGGAAGGGAGCCCTGCAGCAGGTTGTGTGCCAGGTTGCTGAGGGAAGGGGTGGGGAAGGGTGGGCAGGGGTGGGAAGAGTTGGGTGGGGGTGGGTAGGAGCAGGAGTTGTCTATGTTATGATGTGACAGAGACGTACCATGTTACCTGACGTGCAATGTCACATGCGCACATACCACCACACATGCTCACACACACGTCGTCCTCTCACATGCTGACATGGCACCTCACATTTGCTGACGTGGCATCTCACATGCTGACGAGGCCAGTGGGGTTGCTGACAGCTGGCGGCACAGTGCCAGTGAAGTGGTTGGAAGAAAGGTCGCTGGGGGTCAGGAGGGCGGCCACAGCGGAAAGGGAGAGGGGTGGAATGCGGTGGTGGGTGGGGAGTGGAATGTGGGCAGGGAGAGGTGCGGAGGTGAGGAGGGTAGTGAGGGCAGGGAGAGGGGTGCACGCGAGGAGAGAGGCAGTTGTGGAAAAGGGGAGCGGCAAGGAGTGTGCAAATGAACATCCTCACTCCACCTTGCTCTACCACCCATGCATTGCATGCGCCCACGCGAGAATAATGGACAGGAGAGAGCGAGGGCACACAGCAAAACAAGCGCACATAGCAACGCAAGGGCATACAGCAGAGTGAGGTTGGTGAGGCGCGAGATGAAGGCTGGAATGGACCCCATGAGGAGGTTGCCTGACATGTTCCTGTGGGGGGAGAAAGAGCACAGGGACACGGAGAATACGGAGAACACGGAGAGTATGGGCGGTGATATGAGAAGCTATACCATACAGAGGGGCTTGGGGCTGTGATAGGAGAGACAGAGAGGGAATGGGGGTGGGAGAGGAGGGGGTTGAGGAAAGCATGGGTGTGAGGCAGGAGAGTGAGGGACAAGACAAGAGAGAGGGATATGCATTGTGCATAGACAGGTGGGAAGGGCAGGAGGGCAGAGATGTGGCAAGGTGAGGGCAACGCACAGCTCGCGGAGGTTGGTGAGGGTGGAGAGGGAGGGGTCGAGCACTCCTGAGAATCTGTTGTGCGAGTAGTTGCTGGAGGAGGGAGGAGGGGAGCAGTGCAGAGGGAACGAAAAAGGGAGAGGGAAGAGGGTATGGTGATGGGTGCGGGGGGTTAGGGAGACAGGGTCGGGAATGGAGAGTGATGGATGGATGGACAGGCATGGGTGAGTGTCCGACATACTGGTTGCACTGGTGTGACGGAATGAGTGTGTCGAGCGGATGGGAAGGAATGGTGGTTGGTGCGATGGTGGAAGGAGTGGTTGTGCAGAATGGGTTGTCAAAGTCAGTGGCTGATGATTGTGTGTTGCTGTGAATGACTGCTCACGCATTCATGATCAGTGTGCTGTGCTGTAAACGCGCTCACCACCAAGCTACTGAAGCATCTCACATACATGGTGTTGGTAGTACGGCCCACATTTGGCTTGGAAAAGAACGCTCGGCTCGAAAAGTTGTTGTGAGAGATGTCGCTGGGAAGGGAAACCAAGGCAGGGGAGGGGCCACGTTTCAGGCGCTTCAGGCGCAGAGAAATGGTCCGGGAGAGGGAAGTGCGAGATGGGGGGGGTGGGGGGTGCGAAAACAAGGTTGGGGGGGGCTAAAGCCTGGGTTCAAGACGAGATGGAGGGCGAGGGTGGTGGGGGCGAAGGTGGTGGGAGCGAAGGTGGTGGGGGCGAACGTTGTGGGGGCGAAGGTTGTGGGGGCGAAGGCTGTGGGGGCGAAGGTTGTGGGGGCGAAGGTTGTGGGGGCGAAGGTGGTGGGGGCTTGCCAAAGCTCAGCTCTCTGAGCCGCTTTCCTAGCAGCTTGTCTTGTTCTGATGTTGATATTCGCATTATGGACCTGGCTTTGCTGTGCTCTTACAAATTTATTCGATGACCAAGGACTGTTCAAGGAGAGGAGGGATGGGCGATTTGTTGCTTGTGGATTTTTTAGTCGACTCAAAAGTCGAGTTTTAGTCGACTCAAAAGTCAAGTTTTTAGTCTACTCAAAAGTCGATTTTTTAATCGACCCAAAAATCGACTTCTCACACGAGGGAAGGGCGACTTGTTGCATGTGGTTTCTGAGAGTTCTTAAGAACCACATGAAACACAGGGGGAGGGGCAACGCACAGGATGAAGGAGGGGGAGGGGAGACGCACAGACTGTAGAAGTTGACGTTGATGAAGTCAAAGGGGATTTCCCCCGAGAGGCGGTTGAACGACGCGTTGCTGCCACGCAGGGGTGCAGAGGGATGGACGGGGATGGACAGGGATGGACAGGGAGGCACAAGGGACATACAAGGGAGCAGAGGGAGGCACAGGGGTGCACAGCACAGCAGCACACAGTGACGGGAATCGATAAGCAGGGAAAGGAGGATAGAGATCAGGTTGGAAAGAAAAGCAATTCGATGGAAGGGATAGAGTGTGCCTCACAAGCAGAGGGCTTCAAAGCAGAGAGGTCAGAAGCAGAGGGGTGAGAAGCAGAGGGGTGAGAAGCAGAGGGGTGAGAAGCAGAGGAGTGAGAAGCAGAGGGGTGAGAAGCAGAGGGGTGAGAAGCAGAGGGGTGAGAGGCAGAGGGGTGAGAGGCAGAGGGGTGAGAAGCAGTGGGGTGAGAAGCAGAGGGGTGAGAAGCAGAGGGGTGAGAAGCAGAGGGGTGAGAGGCAGAGAGGACTCACAATTTTGGGCTGTCAACATCTACAGTGAACCCGAGGCTGGATGGCAGGGGCCCTGTAAGCTCGTTCACTGACACGTCACTGGCAGACCATGGTTGGGGGGAGGGGTGGGTGTGGGAGGAGGGACGAGGTGAGTTTTGGATGTGGGAGGAGGGACGAGGTGAGTTTTGGATGTGGGAGGAGGGACGAGGTGAGTTTTGGGTGTGGGAGGGGGGACCTGCGAGGCCGTTCACTGACACGTGGTGAGGAGGGGGGCGGGGGGGGGAGGTGGGAGGGAGAAGAAGATGAGGCAAGGATGGAGCAGAAGGAGAAGGAGGAGTTGGTGGAATGAGTAGGCGTGACAGCAAAGGGCCAACATGGATGTGAGGAGCAAGATGTATGGATGCTTGCTGGAGAGAGGAGGCAGGGCATGCCATGGTGAATCGCGCATGGAGTGTGACACATGATGTCGACACATGACAGATGATGTCGACGCATGGTGCATGGTAGAGAGTAAGAGGCATACAAGGAGTACAAGATGTTGCTGGCGAAGGTAGACGGTATGGAGCCGTTGAAACGGTTGCAACACATGTTGCTGCACGAGGCAATGGGAAACGGGAGAACTTTTGAGGCGCCTCAAAAGGCCAATGTGGATGGTATGGATCCGTTGAGGCGGTTGCAGCATAGGACGCTGCCAGTGGCAATGGGGAGACAAAGAAGGAGAGATAGAGAGTGGGAAAGGCGTCCTGGTGAAGACAGAAAAAGAGCCTGTTGTACTGACAGGGAACAGAGGGCGAGAGAAATGCTGATAATGCATGGAGGGCGAGATAAGTGCTCACACGAAGCTGAGGTAGGAGAGAGTAGCGAGGGGCGCCAGCGACCCCGAAAACAAGTTGTTGTCCAGCCAACTGCCGTGGGGGGAGCGGGGAACATGGATGGTGCATGGCGTTGTGAAGCATGGGGTTGTGGGGCAGGGGGCAGGGGGGTGTGGGATGGAGGGGGAGATGGGGTGTGGGGAGTAGCAAGGAGGTGAAGGTCACGGTGGAAAAGGGGTTTGCTGCGACATTGGTCCGTGGGACATATGGCGGGTGGCATGATGGACGCCGATTGGCAGGATGGTGGCAGTTGATGGCAGTTGATCCATGGAATGGCATGGCATGGTGCGGAATGGAGCTGAGACTTGGATGGAACTGAGACTCACATGGAGCTGAGACACAGCATGGCATAGCATGGCATGGCATGGCATGGCATGGCATGGCATGGCATGGCATGGCATGGCATGGCATGGTATGGCATGGTATGGCATGGCATGGCATGGCATGGAGGTGAGACTCACATGGAGCCGAGGCTGGTGGAGAAGGAGTTGGGGATGGTCCCTGACAGACGGTTGTGTGACAAGTGTCTGAATGCACACAAGTCATTTGGCATGCACACAAGTCATTTGGCATGCGCACGCACACGGGGGAGATATGATAGTGACTGGGATACGAGACAATGATTGAGGGGAGGCGGTTGAAGGATGAATTCCGATAAAATACTGGGAGATCGCATCGTCAAAAGGCCTTCACAGGCTGCAGAGCTGACAAGGGCTGTACTGGGGCCGCTCACATGGTCACTCAGATATGCTAATTCGTGACGGGCGGCTCACAAGATGTAGAGGTTGGTGAGGCGCCCCATGGTGCTGGGCAGCGGCCCTGTGAAGTCATTTCCTATCATGAGCCTGCAGAGGAGGAGGACGAGGGAGAGGAGGGAGAGGAAGGAGAGGAGGGAGAGGAGGGAGAGGAGGGAGAGGAGGGAGAGGAGGGAGGGAGAGGAGAGGAGGGAGAGGAGGGAGAGGAGGGAGAGGAGGGAGAGGAGGGAGAGGAGGGAGAGGAGGGAGAGGAGGGAGAGGAGGGAGAGGAGGGAGAGGAGGGAGAGGAGGTAGAGGACGGAGAGGAGGGAGAGGAGGGAGAGGAGGGAGAGGAGGGAGAGGATGATGCGGAGGGAGAGGAGGGAGAGGAGGGAGAGGAGGGAGAGGAGGGAGAGGAGGGAGAGGAGGGAGAGGAGGGAGAGGAGGGAGAGGAGGGAGAGGATGATGCGGAGGGGGTGTAGATGGGGCTAGGGGCAGAAAACAGAGGAAGACGACATGGGTGCTTGGAAGGAGAAAACGGAAGAGAGGGAGGGCGAGGTGTAGACGTGGATGCTTCGTACCGCACATACATGCGGGGCGGCACACCCACATGCCAGGCAGCACACGCACATGCCGGGCGGCACACATACATGCCAGGCTGCACACATACATGCCAGGCTGCACACATACATGCCAGGCTGCACACATACATGCCAGGCTGCACACATACATGCCAGGCTGCACACATACATGCCAGGCTGCACACATACATGTCGGGCGGCGCACACATACAGGTCCACGAGAGAGACCATGTTGCCGATGGCATCTGGAAGGCTGCCCGAAAACTTGTTCAATCCCATGTCCCTGGTGGTAGGGGCGGAAGGGCATGGTACGGCATGGCATGGCATGGCATGGCATGGCAGGACATAGAAAGGGGTAGAGCCATCTGGCGACTGGCCAGCTGGTGGAAGTGGATGGCTCAACGAAATGCCTGACTGACAGGGACGAAAATGTGACTGACAGGGACGAAAATGTGACTGACAGGGACGAAAATGTGACTGACAGGGACGAAAATGTGGCTGAGAGGGACGAAAATGTGCCTGACAGGGATGAAAATTTGCCTGGCGGGGAGGACTTGTTGACTGACAGACAGGAATTGTGACTGACGGGCAGGAATTGTTGACTGACAGGTAGGAATTGTTGACTGACAGGTGGGAATTGTTGACTGACAGGTGGGAATTGTTGACTGACAGGTAGTAATTGTGCTGACAGGTGGGAAGCGTTAACTTACAGGAAGGCGAGCTTGGTGAGTTTGCTGAAGAAGGTGGGGAAGGGGCCTGAAAAGGAGTTGTTGGAGATGTCCCTGCCATGCATGCATGCCACTCACACTCGCATACACACACGTGCGTGCATCCACACACACCTTCCACACACTCACACACATGCGTATGCGTGCAAACATGCATGCACACACTCGCACAAATGTACGCACACACTCTCACACATACACGCACACATGCAGAGGCACACATGCACATGCGCGCACGCGCGCGCGCGCGCGCACACACACACACACACACACGCACACACACACGCACACACACACGCACGCACACACGCACGCACGCACACACACACACACACACACACACACACACACACATATACACACACACACACACAATACACTCACAGAAACACCAATCAGAGAGACCGTTCGAGGCGTGTCGGTGCTACTGACAAAGGTGAGGTCGACTGTCAGACAGGCGAAGTTAACTGACAGAGGGGCGATGCTAACTGAATGAGGGGTGAAGTTAACTGAGGGAGGGGTGAAGTTAACTGAGGGAGGGGTGAAGTTAACTGAGTGACGGGTGAAGGTACCTGAGAGAGCGGCAACGTTAACTGACAGAGGGACGAAATTAACTGACAGCCAGGCGACGCTAAGCAACAGGGGGCGAACTCAAATAACAGAGGGAACAACGCTAAGAGGGGCGAAGCGAACTGACAGAAATGTGAGATTGACGAGGTTGCCGATTTCAGAGGGGATGGAGCCACGTAGGTAATTGTCTCGCAGAGACCTGCGAACGGTTTACACACCAGCGTTGTTCACATGCATCAGAGTTGGCCGCATGCATCAGCGTTGGTCACATGCCTCAGAGTTGGTCGCATGCATCAGCGTTGATCACATGCATCAGCGTTGGTCGCATGCATCAGCGTTGATCACATGCATCAGCATTGGTCGCATGCATCAGCGTTGATCACATGCATCAGCGTTGGTCGTATGCATCATCAGCGTTGATCACATGCATCAGAGTTGATTCATGCGGTACATTCATACTGCATGCATGCCCTCAAGTGCCCTCAAGTGCCCTCAAGTGCCGTCAAGTGCCCGCACGAAGAGATTGATGCATGAAAGGAATGGGTGTGCTGTGCCTCAAGCGCATGCATCAGCGTTGAGCACATTCATACTTCATGCTTCAAGCGCGGACGCTCACAGGTATTCAAGGTGCACCAGCTGGAAAATCTCTGAAGGCAGCTCTCCTTGTATTGCCATGCTCTGCCATTGGCTGCGCGCACAACAGCCACGAGTCACGGCAAGAGAGCGTCACTCGCTAGCATCTCGTACTCCTGCTGCGGTAACATGGGCATCAGCACCAGCGACGGCAAGAGCACCAGCAGCAGAAGCACTGACATTTGAGTGATGTAGCCACTGTCGCTGCAAGTGACGCCGACATTGACGCAGGTGGTGATGAAAGCCAGGTCGAGGGGAAAGTAATCTAGGTTCGCCGCCACAACTTTTAAAATTACCGCTGCCAAGCATTAGATGAAGAAGGCCCAGAGTGCATGAGAGTGAACTTATGTTGGGTGGTAGAACTGTGCTGAGATTGCGCAAAACCATTGCGTGAAATGTTGAAGAATCGAAGTGACATTTGAGAAAAAAAAGCCGATACTGCAAGAAATACTGAGAAACGAAGCCGACACTGCATGAAATACTGAGAAAAGAAGCTGAAATTGCATGGAAACCTGAGCAAAGAAGCCGACATTGCGTGAAACACTGAGAAAAGAAGCCGACATTGCGCGAAACGAAGCCAACATGCGTGATAGCGAGCTTACCCTCCGTGTCGTTGAGCGGCCAGAAGCACTGCTGCAGGCTCGTGTCCTGACCCGCGCACGGCACGACGTTACCCGCCAGCAGCAGCAGCAGCACAGCCGCTAACGCCAAGGCGCTCCCCTTGGGAGCCGCCATCGATCCACCCGAGTTGTGAATCTTAAGGTCAACAAGTATCGAACCGACGTTTGCGGAGAGGTAAGACGAAATGCACGCACAAGCGCGTGCAGTTGAGGTTGGTCCTTAGGATCACTCGTAGAGGCTCTCAGGTTGTCAGGCTGCATACTACGATGCGATGTGCAGCGAACACAAGGTTACTTCTACCAGATAAATAAATAATAAATTCCAGCAGTCAAGCCAGCTAGAATGTGACACGAGCATTTTAGTTGAATCCTTTTCCCGTCACTTTCGTCCAGTCATTCTATGATAGTAATAACTATCTCCTTAGTCTTATCCAATCCAGTCATCCAACAGTGTGAAAGTGGCAAAAACTAGGAATGCAGTACGGTGCTGTGCTGCTGTCATTTGGAAGTTGAATTCGTGTGGTGTGTGGTGCAGAGCAATTCTTGCTGGGCGCTGTAGCCAGGCAAGGCAACTTGGCGGGAGTCAAGCCCAACCAGGCCCGGGCATGCGACGCGACAAGCCCAAGGGAAGGTTCGGCTTGGTGTGGGCTGGCAACGCGGCTGCTCACTCAATGCAAGGTTTGGGTTGGAACGAAATATGTACATTCACGGAGAACCACAAGACCAAATCAGTACTGGTTAGTCTAAGTCATATGCTAAAACAAAACGCAAATTCACCAACCAAATAGATTCCAAAACGCCTATAAATGTTATCTATTACCGTATGTTCATTCACCCAGCATTCCTTCAACCATTCACATCAAAGCAAGCTGATTGCTCAGCTACATTACCGTATCCATGTTAGGGCGCCATAAGGTGCATGGCATATTCTCAAACTAACGTATGGCTGTGCCAGTGCACATACCAGCACAACTGTGTGGTACATCAGGTCAGGAGAAACCAAATCACTTGGAGGACCAAAAGCACGTGTAAGATTGTTCTACACGTGCAGGGATGTCATCATAGCTCTGCACGACTGCTGCCAACCACTGCATCCTGCTCCGATTTGATTTGATTGTACAAGTTCCCCACAGGCCCCGCTCTAACCACATTGGTCATGAATGTCTTGAAGCGAGTCGATGACTCCACATTGCTGCTTGTGCCATGGGGACGTGGCGGGGCAGGGATGGACGGAGGAGGGAAGGGAAAGCAGAGGTGATAGTGTGTGTCTGTGTGTACAGATATGTTTTGTGACAAAGGCAAGGGCAACTAGTGGGTGGGAGTGAAGGCTTTTGCAGTGAGCAGGTAAAATAAAGTAATTGCAACTTTACCCCCTTGAGGGCTCCAGCATACACCCTGGTACACCACTCACTCCCACACCACTCATTTGATCCAACACAACACTATTGTTCCCACACCATACTCCTAACTTGTAGCCACGGCACTTACCTGATGTGCAAGAGAGCATGCACGGCGCGCAGGGCACCGCGAATCATGTCCCGGATTGCGCCGTGGCAGTCTATACCACGCCACCACTCACCTGCCTCGTGCCACACCACTCACCCCACCACCACATCTCACCTCGTGAGAGAAAGGCATCTCACCTGATCCGGGACAGTGCATGCACGGCACGCAGGGCGCTGCAAATCATGTCCTCATTGCGATCCACCTCCTGCTTCACTGCGTCTGCCTTGACTCGTGTTGTCACTGTCTTCTCCAGTGGCTCCACTAGCGCATCCACCACTGCCAGCACTGATGGGGCACACTTCTCTGCTAGCTTCGCCAGCACCAGGTGGCATGGCATCTTCACATCGTAGTTGTCTGCAGAAAGGGAGGGAACATGGGGAGGGACGGGACGGGAGGGAAGGGGCGGGGAGGGGAGAGGCGAGGAGGGGAGAGGAAGGGAGGAAATGGAAGGACGGGATTGGAAGGGATGAGAATGGGAGAGCAGGGAAGGGAAGGGATCAAGGGAAGGGAAACAGGAATGAGGGATTTTGATGAGATGGATGCCAGAAGTCAGTTTAGGCAGAAATGAGCAGCGGATCAGCTGGTGCCAAACAGGCAGCACAGGGCAGTTGATGTGTCAAGAGGGAACACGTACAGAGAAGGGGGAACATGTGTCAAGAGGGAACACGTACAGAGAAGGGGGAACATGTGTCAAGAGGGAACACGTACAGAGAAGGGGGAACATGTGTCAAGAGGGAACACGTACAGAGAAGGGGGAACATGTGTCAAGAGGGAACACGTACAGAGAAGGGGGAACATGTGTCAAGAGGGAACACGTACAGAGAAGGGGGAACATGTGTCAAGAGGGAACACGTACAGAGAAGGGGGAACATGTGTCAAGAGGGAACACGTACCTGAGAGACCAGATATGAGGAAGGGAGTGATGAAGGCAGCAGGTTGGATGCGGTGCAGACAGGTGGAGAGAAGCGTGTCCATGCAGTCAAAGGCTGCCTTGCGCAGCTCCAATCCATCATCCACTGTGTGCTTGAATGGGCCCAGATCAACGGTCCGGATCATCTCAGGCTGCATGTGGCAGGAGGGGAAGCGAGGGAGCAAGTAAGTGGAAGACCCAGCTTACAAATCAGGTCATCAAAGGAGGACGACAAAAGAGGAAAGTGTGCAATCCACATTCCTTTCTAACAATTTGACAAGTGGACCTCTATCCTTTTCCCCATCTCATCCTGTCAACCCGCACTTTCACTCCCATCGTGCCGACCTTTGACTCTCTGCTTGCGCGTACCTTGACTCGCATCTGGTCGTACAGCAGTGGCAGCAGCTCAGGCAGAAGGTCCTCCACCAGCCCTGCCCTCGCACCTTTCACTCTCATCTGCTCATACCTGCAGCCGCCCGGTCCATACCTTGACTCGCATCTGGTCGTACAGCAGTGGCAGCAGCTCAGGCAGAAGGTCCTCCACCAGCCCTGGCTTGTTGTGCGCTGCTGTCGTCAGCGCCAGCACCGCTGCCCGCCGCACATGCTGCAGTGGGGGGGAGGGCAAGATTGACGAATCAAGTGTGCAGAAACTGGCAGTGTGCAAGGCAACTCAACATGCGCTTCAGGGAGAGGGCAATGCAAGAACTACCACCCAACTGCCCGACTTCCAAACCATGGTATTCAGAAAGTAACCCCACGTCGTTCACACCCTTTCCTCACCCGGTCGGAGTCCCGGAGGAGGAAGAGGAAGGAGGCGAGGTGGGGTTTGAGGTGCTCGTCGATGGGCTGTGCGGAGTCAGTGAGAGTGAACTTGAGTGCCGCCACCACCGTGGCCCTCGTGAAGGCTGACGGGCTGCTCACGCGCTCCTGGAGACACGCAGGGAGACAGATAGGTGAGAGGGGGAGGGAGAGAATGGGGGTGAGATAAGAGTGAGGGAGAGAAAGATGGTGATGGTGAGAGCGTGAGAGCAGCAAAGGCAAGGCCTGAGGAATAACGGAACTGGCAGAGGCAGCGAGTGGTGGGGCTTGACTGTGGCGGATCGGCGGTTCGGCGGATCGGCGGATCGGCGGATCAGCGGATCCGAGGATCGGCGGATCCGCGGTTCCGCGCGGATCGGCGGATCGGCGGTTCGGCGGTTCCGCGGGAACCGCGGATCTGCGGATCGGCGGATCGGCGGTTCGGCGGATCGGCGGATCGGCGGATCGGCGGATCGGCGGATCCGCGGATCGGCGGATCGGCGGATCGGCGGATCGGCGGACCGGCGGACCGGCGGATCGGCGGACCGGCGGACCGGCGGACCGGCGGATCGGCGGATCGGCGGATCGGCGGTTCGGCGGTTCGGCGGATCGGCGGATCGGCAGATCGGCGGATCGGCGGATCGGCGGATCGGCGGATCGGCGGACCGGGGGACCGGCGGACCGGCGGATCGGCGGATCGGCGGTTCCGCGGTTCCGCGGTTCGGCGGATCGGCGGATCTGCGGATCGGCGGATCGGCGGATCGGCGGTTCCGCGGTTCGGCGGTTCCGCGGTTCCGCGGTTCCGCGGTTCCGCGGTTCCGCGGTTCCGCGGTTCGGCGGTTCCGCGGTTCCGCGGTTCGGCGGTTCCGCGGTTCCGCGGTTCCGCGGTTCCGCGGTTCCGCGGTTCCGCGGTTCCGCGGTTCGGCGGTTCCGCGGTTCCGCGGTTCCGCGGTTCGGCGGTTTGGCGGTTTGGCGGTTTGGCAGGCGCCACCAGTAACTCACCAAAGGTAGGTGCCACCAGTAACACACCTAGGCGCTCCGCCACCACGTTGCGCACGCCCTCCTCATCGCTCTCACTGTGCGTGAACAGCAGCGCCAACACCTTTTCTTAACACCTGTGAGCTGTGAGCTGTGAGCTGTGAGATGTGAGCTGTGAGCTCACCTTTAAAGCGGGCACGAGGCGTGGCGGGTCGATGAGAGAGAGGCGGCCCAGGCACTCCGCCACGACGTTGCGCACTCCCTCTTCCTCGCTCTCACTATGTGTGAACAGCAGCGCCAGCACCTTGCCCACGTTCTCCCCCTCCAGCTCCACTGCCGCACTGCCGCCACTGGCCGCTCGCCCAGAGATGATCTGCAGTTTGGGAAATGGAGTTGGAAATTGTGGCCAGCCTTAGAGATCAACACCTTGCCCACGTTCTCCCCCTCCAGCTCCACTGCTGTGCTGCTGCCACTCGCCGCTCGCCCAGAGATGATCTGTAGGCAGGAGGGCGAGAAAGAGGAAGGATTTCACATGACGCAAATGACGCCGCCGCTATGCTGCCCAGCGCAAACGACGCAGCCGCCTTGAGTGGCACTGGCTAGCGGCAGCAAACGAACGGCAGGTACTGGCTGTGGTTGCCCACTGCAATGCTGCAAACGACGCTGCTGCCTTGAGTGAGTAGGAGAGAGCTCACCTCTTTCAGGGAATGCAGCAGCAGGTACTGCAATTTGGGCTGGGAGTTGATCTGCTGCAGCACGGATGGCAGGTACTGGCTGTGGTTGCTCACCGCTATGCTCCCCAGCGCAAACGATGCCGCCACCTTGAGTGAGTAGGAGAGAGCTCACCTCTTTCAGCGAGTGCAGCAGCAGATACTGCAGCTTGGGCTGGGAGTCGATCTGCTGCAGCACGAACGGCAGGTACCGGCTGTGGTTGCCCACCGCTATGCTGCCCAGCGCAAACGACGCTGCTGCCTTCACCTCCTCTAGAGGTGATGCCAGTGCGGACATGACGAGGGTGGGGAGCGTGGTGTGTGCACTGAGGTCCACCCGCCGGCCGATTTCCCCCAGACACAGCAGCGAGAGCAGCTGCTTGTGCTGGTCGTTTGGGGAGGGAGGAGAGAGAGGGGAGGAATGCGGGGGAAAGGGAAGGAGGGGTGCTGAGAGGGTTGCCCACCACGATGCTGCCCAGTGCAAACGATGCCGCCGCCTTCAGCTGCTCCAGAGGTGACGCCAGCGCGGACAGTACGAGGGTGGGCAGCGTGGTGTGTGCACTCACGTCCACCCGCTTGCCGGTCTTGCCGAGGCACAACAGCGACAGCAGCTGCTTGTGCTGGTGGCGGTGGGGAGGAGGATGGGGGTGGGAAGGGTTACTCTGAGAGAAATGCAGATAGGCTTGAGCGCAAGTGGGGCTTGAGGCATAGACGAGAAATCTGTCACTTTTTCACTGCAGCCTCACTCTCTCCACGAGCCTCACCACATCAGCAGAGAAAGCAGCTATCTCACCGTGTCAGCAGGGTGAGCAGTAGCCTCAAGATTGCTCATCAGCGCCCTCACAGTGGCCGCACACTGGTCCACACCAGCAGCAACACACAGCACGGCAGAACAATGCAATATGCACTCTCTCTCTCTTTCACTCTCCCTCTACCACACTCACCGTGTCAGCAGGATGAGCAGCACCCTCTAGATTGCTCATCAGCGCCCACACAGTGGCCGCACACTGGTCAGCGCCAGCAGCCACGCACAGCACGACATCACAATGCAATACGCACTCTCTCTCAGTCCCTCTAGGCTTTAGCATACTCACCGTGTCAGCAGGATGAGCAGTAGCTTCGAGATTGCTCATCAGCGCTCTGACAGTAGCCGCACACTGGTCAGCACCAGCAGCCACACACAGCACGGCAGCACACTGCAATGTGCACTTTCACTCTCAGTCCCTCTAGGCTTTAGCATACTCACCGTGTCAGCAGGGTGAGCTGTAGCCTCGAGATTGCTCATGAGCGCCCTCACAGTCGCCGCACACTGGTCAGCACCAGCAGCCACGCACAGCACGGCAGCACACTGAGCCACTGAAGAGAACGCGGGGCGTGCAGCAGCAGAGGAGGAGGCAGCGGCGGCAGCGGCAGCGGGGGACATGGAGGAGGAGAAGGGGCGGCCTGCTGAGAGCAGCGCAGTGAGGAGCGCGTCAAAGGACGTGGCTGATGCCTGCACCTGCACTGCGAAGAAGTCTTGTAGGGCCTGATGGGGGTGGGAGGAAGGGGTCGGGGATGGGAGACGCGGAAGGAGAAGTAGATGAAGATAGGTGAAAGATGTGAATGACAGTAGCACTAACGAGACAAAACACACTTGCAGTTTGTTTAACCCCTCCCCTCACCCCTCCTCACACCACTTCTCTCGCCCCTTCTTTTCTCACCCCTTGTTTCACCCTCCGCTCACCTGCAGAGCCTGTCCCTGAAGCAGCGGCGAGCGCACAAGAGCGAGCGCCTGGGGCAGAACCTTTGAGGACAGAGCTGCTGCAGCAGCGGAGCCGGGTGCGGCCTGCCTGGTCACGGAGCAGCACAGCTGCAGCGCCAGCGCTGCCAGTGCCAGGTCCGAGTCACTGCGGTGGTGGCGGAGGGTGGAGGGGGGTGAAGGCAGGTAGACAAAAGAATGAGGCAGGCTTGGGAGAAGCGAAGTTGAAGAGGTAAGGCTGAAGGAGGTGGATTAGAGACAGTGAGTAACGAGCAAGAGGAGAGAAGAAAGCTGGCAGCAAAACTGGCAAAGAGGTGGTGAGCAGTGAGGAGGGACTACGGGAGGGTGACGCGCTGTTTGAAGTTGGGCAAGTGACCTTTGGGCAGATGTGGAAGGTGGTTTTGGCACACCTGATGAGCGGCGCGAGCTCAGTGAGGAGGGCATCCCTGGCGGCATCTGTGATGTCGGGCGCGTAGGCTGAGAGCATGGCGTTCAGCGTGCAGAGTGATGCCTGGCGCAGTGACCTGTTGGCCTGCAAGGGGGGCGTGCAGGGGAAAGGGGTGGGCAGAGGAAGGAATGGGGGGACATGAGAGCGTCCCTGGCAGCATCTGTGATGTCGGGCGCATAGGCTGATAGCCTGGCGTTGAGTGTACACAGGGATGCCTGGCGCAGCGACCTGTTCGCCTGCAGTGGGAGAGTCATGGGGGAGAGGGGAAGGAAGGAGAGGAGAAGAGGGAACCGGGGGAGACAGGAGGGAATGGTGGTGGTACTTGAAAGAATTCATGAGCCATAACCCATGCTACTAGAAACTTGACGAGCAGGCGAGGCAAGGCAATGCAAAGGCGAGCGGGGGTACCCTGCCAGGAAGGAGTAGTAGGGGTACCGGGTACGCACCTTGCGCAGGAAGGAGGTGAGCTCAGCCAAGGTGGGGTCGAGCACGGAGGAGAGGTTGATGTGCAGCGGGGACTCCGCTATCGTGCCAAACGCCTGGAGCCAGGGAGGGGAGGGCGTGGTGAGAGGGTTGGCTTCATGGGACAAAAAAACCTTGTGAAGTCGTTGTGCTCGTAACTACAGTGCACTGACAAGACAACACCCGCACAAAAAAGTCTAGAAGATTCCATTCCCTTCCCGCACCTTCACGGCGGTGAGGCGGGTGATCTCGTTGCGCAGGCGGTCGAGCAGGAGGGGCAGACACGTGGCGAGCTGTGATTGGAGGTGGTCGCCCAGGGTGGACACAAGCAGACCCATGCAGCCAATGGCGCACTCCTTCACCTCCTGCTCTCGCACGCATGGGGAGGGGGAGGGGTGGTGCGGGGAGGAGGGGAATGAAGTGTGATGGAAAGACAACAGGGCTAATGAAGAGGGATGGCAGGTAGTGGGATGAAGTCGGCAGCTACTCACCTCAAGGAACAAGGTTGCGTGGAAGACAGGACAGGCCACCAGCAGCAGGGCAGCAGGAGGCAGGGCAGCAGGAGGCAGGGCAGCAGCAGCAGGGCAGAGGAGGGGAGGTGGGAACAGAGGGGCTCACGAGGTCCTGGTCCTGAGCAGTGAGGCGCTTCATGACGGCATCGTAGAAGAGCGGCACGTACGGTGTGAAGTCAAAGCTGCTATCCTGCAGAGGGGGTGAGTGAGAGGGAGTGAGATGGTGGTGTGAATCAAAGTCAGTGGCACGTGTGGTGGTGAAGAGCAGTGAGCAGTGAGGCGCTTCATCACCGCATCGTAGAAGAGAGCGGCACGTACGGTGCAAAGTCAAAGTCGCCGCCCTGCAGTAGGGTGAGTAGGAAGGAGAGGGACGTAGGACGGGGTGAGTGAGAGGCAGTGAGAAGGTGGTGAGAGACAAGTCAGTGGCACACGTGGTGGTCCTGTCCTGAGTGGTGAAGCACTTCATGACAGCATCGTAGACGGCACATACGGTGTGAAGTCAAAGAGACTGGTACGGTGTGGTGAGAAAGCCACAGGCAGCAGCACGTTGGGGGGAAGCAGCAAGAGACTGATACATCGTTAGCAGGAAGCACAGGGGGTGGCGTGAGAGCAGGTGCACTGTAACCCGGAGCAACCTGGGCTGGGAGGCTCGTATCATTCATACCTGGGGAGCGGGCGGGCGAATGGCCTTGACCATCTCGCCCACCACTCGGAGCGCCTCTGCTGTCACCTTGTAGTACCGCTCCCCTGCCGCTGCCACCACTGGTGCCGCCAGCTCCTGCAAATGCCAAGGGAGAAGACAGGTGGTGGGACAGATGTTGTAAGGGGAGGGGCGGATGGGAAATTAGGTTTGAAGTGGTGAGGGCGAGGGGATGCGGGGGGATGGGAGAGGGGGGGAGAGGGGGGGGAAGGTTGGAGAGGGGTATTCTCAGCAGAAAGCGGGAGAGAGGGGGGGGGGGACGTTCGATATAAGATGGAGCGGAAGCTGGGAGGGAATAGGAGTGGATGGGAGATGGGCTGTGGTGGCAGCACGGACTACGGAACTGCACCAAAACTATAAGGCTTGGAGAGAAGTATGGCATGCAGCCGAACCAGGGTACACGTGTGCGAATGGGGCAGCACCTTGATGTGGGGTTGGAAGACATGCGGTGGGTGGGAGGCCATAGCAAGGCGCGTGAAGAGAAGCGCCTCTATCTTGAGGTTGGAGTTGGACGCCTTGTCCTGCCATGCCATGCCATGCCAGACCATGGGCCACACAGCAGCGAAATGGTGCCGAAACAAGGGGGAGGTGGAGGATGAGAAAGAAGGAGGTGAGAGGCGGAATGACACGGAGAGAGCCATACAATGTTTTCTCTGAGATGCTGAAAGGAGGACTCACGGAGAGCGCCTTTTGAATGCCGGGGATGAGCAGGCCAATGAGGTCGGTGAGGCAGTTGGGCAACACGTGCACCAACTCCTTGAGCACACTGAACACACCCACCTGCACAAACGGTAGCACACAGACACAGGAGAGGGTGAAGCACAGACAATGCGCCAAAGGCCATGCACCAACTCCTTGAGCACACCGAACACACCCTCCTGTGCACCCACAGCAGCACACAGACACAGGTTAAGGTGACGCACAGATGGCGTGCAAGAGGAGATGCGGACAGCAAGGGACAGCAAACCGTGAGTTGAAGATTTGGAAAAGCCCTCACACAGCCCCATGCGCTCCTCTCTCATTTTCCTACCAGTGCACGCACACACCCATACTCACCCGTGTTTTGAGCGACTTCTCCTTGAGTTGCCGGTTGAGCGACCTCACGATGCGAGGCACCTCCTCCCTCAACACTGCCAGCGGACTGCACACACAGCGCCACATGGGGAGGCGCGGGGACGAGGTGGTGACACAGGGGAGGCGGGAGGCGAGGGGACGGACTGGTGACACCGAGGGGTGGGGGGTTGGAAGGGGATGCGGTGGTGGCACGAGGAGAATGGGGGAAGGAGGGGGGGCGCAGCATGGATAGCAAGGTACGGAATGGGGAGCAAATGACGGAGTTATAAGTCGCCAGCTCCTGTGACTGTGACAGACAGCTGCTATAAGTAGACAGCTAGAACCTGCCTCAGACAGCTGTGGCCAGTGTTACCTGCCCAACACCACCCTGCAGATACTACCTACTCGCTCCTATCCTGCAGGTGCTACCTGCCCACTCCTACCGCACAGGTGGTACCTGCCCGGGGGCGCATCAGCAGGAGTGCCGTGGCCCTTGGTAACATGGCCTGTCCTATAGGTGCCTTGAAGGTGCTACCCCGCAGGCATTCCTACCGTGCAGGAACTACCTACTCGCTCCTACCGCACAGGTGGTACCTGCCCGGGGGCGCATCAGCAGGAGTGCCGTGGCCCTTGGTAACATGGCCTGTCCTATAGGTGCCTTGAAGGTGCTACCCCGCAGGCATTCCTACCGTGCAGGAACTACCTACTCGCTCCTACCGCACAGGTGGTACCTGCCCGGGGGCGCATCAGCAGGAGTGCCGTGGCCCTTGGTAACATGGCCTGTCCTATAGGTGCCTTGAAGGTGCTACCCCGCAGGCATTCCTACCGTGCAGGAACTACCTACTCGCTCCTACCGCACAGGTGGTACCTGCCCGGGGGCGCATCAGCAGGAGTGCCGTGGCCCTTGGTAACATGGCCTGTCCTATAGGTGCCTTGAAGGTGCTACCCCGCAGGCATTCCTACCGTGCAGGAACTACCTACTCGCTCCTACCGCACAGGCGGTACCTGCCCGGGGGCGCATCAGCAGGAGTGCCGTGGCCCTTGGTAACATGGCCTGTCCTATAGGTGCCTTGAAGGTGCTACCCCGCAGGCATTCCTACCGTGCAGGAACTACCTACTCGCTCCTACCGCACAGGTGGTACCTGCCCGGGGGCGCATCAGCAGGAGTGCCGTGGCCCTTGGTAACATGGCCTGTCCTATAGGTGCCTTGAAGGTGCTACCCCGCAGGCATTCCTACCGTGCAGGAACTACCTACTCGCTCCTACCGCACAGGTGGTACCTGCCCGGGGGCGCATCAGCAGGAGTGCCGTGGCCCTTGGTAACATGGCCTGTCCTATAGGTGCCTTGAAGGTGCTACCCCGCAGGCATTCCTACCGTGCAGGAACTACCTACTCGCTCCTACCGCACAGGTGGTACCTGCCCGGGGGCGCATCAGCAGGAGTGCCGTGGCCCTTGGTAACATGGCCTGTCCTATAGGTGCCTTGAAGGTGCTACCCCGCAGGCATTCCTACCGTGCAGGAACTACCTACTCGCTCCTACCGCACAGGTGGTACCTGCCCGGGGGCGCATCAGCAGGAGTGCCGTGGCCCTTGGTAACATGGCCTGTCCTATAGGTGCCTTGAAGGTGCTACCCCGCAGGCATTCCTACCGTGCAGGAACTACCTACTCGCTCCTACCGCACAGGTGGTACCTGCCCGGGGGCGCATCAGCAGGAGTGCCGTGGCCCTTGGTAACATGGCCTGTCCTATAGGTGCCTTGAAGGTGCTACCCCGCAGGCATTCCTACCGTGCAGGAACTACCTACTCGCTCCTACCGCACAGGTGGTACCTGCCCGGGGGCGCATCAGCAGGAGTGCCGTGGCCCTTGGTAACATGGCCTGTCCTATAGGTGCCTTGAAGGTGCTACCCCGCAGGCATTCCTACCGTGCAGGAACTACCTACTCGCTCCTACCGCACAGGTGTTACCTGCCCGGGGGCGCATCAGCAGGAGTGCCGTGGCCCTTGGTAACATGGCCTGTCTGCCTGAGCAGGTCGATAAAAGCGTTGAACACGTCCACCTGCATGCGGAGGGAGAGAAGGGAGGAAATGGGTTTGTGTTGTGGGTTTGGAGAGTGGTTGGGAAAGTTGGACAAACACTGTGGGCAGAACAACACATTCGCGTAGAGAAACTAGCAGCCTCAACCTGGTAGAAGAAATTCGTGAGCTAGTAACCCTGTTTAAGTAGATGCACTGCTCGTACCTTCACATTCTCCTCACGCTCTCTGAACCTCTCGATCAGCTTCGGGCTCGCCTGCGACACATGGAAGAATGAGAGCAAGGAGGTGCTACAGGTGTGAAAACGCTATTCAAAGCGGTGAGTAGGGTTTCAGGTTGAGGGTTTAAAGCCAGGGTCTTAAGTAGTACGAGTGTTTTGCAGTTGGTGGTAGGAGGTCGACTGGGATTGGTCCGCGAGGTCCAAGTTTAGCGGAGGGGTGAAGCGAGGGTTGCGAAGTGGAGGCAAATCGTTGATTTGTTTCCGAACCATTTAGCCACGGAAGTTGGTTTGGGCCGAAGCTGAAATGCCAGCAACTTTCCGAAAGCCCCGAAAGTCCCAAGTAAAAAGTCGAATGCTTTGCAATGCTTGTGGGGGCAAAAACAGGGGTGTGTCGCACGGTACTTCCCAGGCCAACCAGTCAGTTCGCTTGCTACAAACAGAGTAACGGAGCTTCGAGTGCTTTGCAGTTGACGCCAGAATCTCTTACTTGAGACCCTGGCTTTAAAAGTGTGTTTGGCAGGGGACGAGGAGGGTATTAGTTCAAGGAACAGGGTCGAGAAACTGTTGTTGGAAGCGCCACGCGAGGGTTGAGGTTGAATGTTGGGGTTGCAGCAGCTGACCTTGGCGTAGAGTGTGGAGAGCATCTCAGGGCGAGAGGTGGTGATGGCAGCAATGCACCGCGCCGCTGCTCGCCGCACCTTCCAGCTCACGTCCTCGTCATCACTGTAGTCCTCCTCCTCGTCCCTGCACCGTGCAGCAGGGTACGGATAATAGACGCATGCATGAGCCCGATGACACAAGGGCATGGTGCGCACACATCACCACCGACGCCCTCCCCCTCCACTCCCCCTCCTCTCCCCCTATCCTCCTTGCACCCAAAGCCTTCCCACATTGCACTCACTCGTCCTCATCCTCATCCTCCTCGCCCTCGCCCTCCCCCTCGCCATCCATGGCGTCGTCAGTGAAGTTGGGGTCGTAGCTCAGGTACTTGAGGGCCAAATCCAAGATGGCCTCGCAGTGCTCTGCCACGTCCTTGGGGCACCGCACCACAAAGCTCTCCAACGCCTGTAAAGGACACAGGGAGGAGGTGCAGACAAGAAATCACGTGTCACACACAGCATGGCCCCACAGTGCTCTGCCACGTCCTTGGGGCACCGCACCACAAAGCTCTCCAACGCCTGTAAAGGACACAGGGAGGAGGTGCAGACAAGAAATCACGTGTCACACACAGCATGGCCCCACAGTGCTCTGCCACGTCCTTGGGGCACCGCACCACAAAGCTCTCCAACGCCTGCGAGTGAGGAGGAGTGGACAAGGAAGGAATCAGGGCTGTTAATATCTAGGACACACACAGCACGCCTGCAGTGCTCTGCCACGTCACCGCACCACAAAGCTCTCTGCCTGCGAGTGAGGGGCCTCGCTGTGTGTCTCTCTCTCTCTCTCCTCTCTCTCTCCTCTCTCTCTCCTCCTCTCTCTCTCTCTCTCCTCTCTCTCTCTCTCCTCTCTCTCTCTCTCTCTCTCTCTCTCTCTCTCTCTCTCTCTCCTCTCTCTCTCTCTCTCTCTCTCTCTCCTCTCTCTCTCTCTCTCTCTCCTCTCTCTCTCTCTCTCTCTCTCTCTCTCTCTCTCTCTCTCTCTCTCTCTCTGTCTGTGTGCGTGCGTGCGTGCGTGCGTGCGTGCGTGCGTGCGTGCGTGCGTGCGTGCGTGCGTGCGTGCGTGCGTGCGTGCGTGCGTGCGTGCGTGCGTGCGTGCGTGCGTGCGTGCGTGCGTGCGTGCGTGCGTGCGTGCGTGCGTGCATGCGTGTGTGTGTGTGTGGAGCAATGAAGCCCCCAAGACAATCAGACGTGCAAGGCACACACCTGCAAGGAGTACTCGCGGATCTCATCGTCGTTCTCAGAGGCACTCTCACAGAAGCCCACCACGAGCGGCAGCACCACTGCCAGATGCGGGCCGAATCGGTACCCCACTGCTCGGCTGGCAGGGGAGGAGCGCGAGAGGGGAGAGCAGGCAAGATAGGATGTAAAGCTGGCTGGTATGGCACCCCACTGACGCATGTCATGACTAGTCTTGCTGGATACAGGCCATTCAAGAACAATGAACAGCATACGAGCGTGTGCCACGCCATATGATGCTACACCGTGCCATGGCATAGCAAAAATGGCAGGGCATGGCATGCAACGGCACATTCACCAACAAGCAGTGCAGAGGGGCGTACCAGAGCGCGCCGACCATCTGGATGTAGGAGCGCGTCATGTCGGGCTTGAGGTCGCCGCGCTGCAGCAGCGCCACCACACTGTTGGTCGCCCGCGCCAACAGCTCGTCCGATAGACTGGCCGCCAGACTCGCTGCTCACAGGGGACACAGAGTGATGGGCACAACGGAATGGGCACATGGGGAAAGGCAGAGGAGGAGAACAATTGATGACCCGCGCCGTGGGAAGGAGTTGGTGGGAAAGGGACGCTGAGATCATTATAAGAAGAGCTGCTAGGGAAGAAGCAGGTGCGGCACAAGATGCGGCACAGGTGCTGGTCAGGAGAGTATGTAGGCTTTGAGAGCGTACCCAGGCACTGAGTGGCTCGCTTGCGGAGGGAGGCGCGGGGGGAGGAGAGCTGCTGCAGCAGGGGCACGAGCAGCCTCTCGTGGTCACCGGCCATCACCACTCCAAACCGCTGCAGAACGTCCCCCAGCACGTCCAGGCACTCGCCCTTCACATCCACGCTCGTGTCCTGCCCAGCGTGGGGGATGAATGGAGGGGAGTATCGCGGATGGGTGAGATGTGGTGATGAGGACGAATGTGGCGGGGTGATGCGGAGGGATGTGGAGGGATGTGGGGAGGTAATGTCCAGTGCAGCAATGGAATAAAATGTGTTGGGTTGGTGTGGAAAAAGAATGACACCAACAAACAACCCTTACGAAGTCACCCCTCCACTCCACATACACCACCCAGCAACGCAACCCACAACCCCTACGCCTCGCCACGCACGCACCGGAGACTTCAACAGCAGCAATGAGCCTGGCCGGCAGGGACGCGAGCAGGTGTAGATGGCGGGCGCTTTTGAGTCGACTCAAACGCACCCTCAACTTATATCCAACCAGCAACACAACCCTGCGCCTTAACCAGCCACGCACCGGGGAGTCAATAGCAGCAGTGAGTCTGGCCGGCAGGGACGCGAGCAGGTGTGGATGGCGGGCGGATGGCAAACTTACCACCATTAACAACCCGTGCAGCAGAGCAATCAATTCTCAAGTTGAAATTAACAAGCAACGCCTCGCATGCACGCACCGGGGAGTCAATGGCAGCAGTGAGCCTGGCCGGCAGGGACGCGAGCAGGTGGTGGATGGCGGGCGGCGAGGCGACCTCGGCCACAACGGTCTTGAGCGCGATGGCGGCGATGTCGCGCTGCTGGTCCTTGCCCGTCAGCAGCTTGCCCACCAGCGCCGCGCTCATCTCCGCCACGCGCGCCTCGCTCACCTTCTTCACTAGCGGCACCAGGCTGACGGAAACCGTCAGGTGATGGAAACGGGAAGAACGCATCAGTCGAGAGGCGGGAAACCATGATCAGGTTGGTTCTGTGGAATGCTGAGCTCTACAGAATGATGAGCGAAATTTGAGTTCATCTGTTAGGCCTTTTTCCTCGACCAGCTAGAATCCGGTCGGTTTGGAACAGAGCTCAAATTACAAACCAGGCCATAAATTCCATAAACCAGAAACCAGGAACCAGGAAATAGAAACGAGAAACCAGGAACGAGCAAGCAAGCGATTATCGCATGAGCGACGACGTCGCACGGCGCGCACCACTTGACGGCGAGGCCCGAGATGTCGCCCGAGGCGTCGTCGAGCTGCTGCAGCACGACGTGGCACAGGCGCTTCTCGCTGTCCGGGTCGATGCGGAACGTGTCTCGGTTCAGCTCGTTCAGCAGATCCGATGTTCCCATGTACCGGAAATCCTTATCCTTGCTCGCTATCTGCGAAGAAATCCGACGAAATGTTAACGACAGAAGTGAGTCAGGGATGCGAATGCAGTAAGAAAGCTTCGCGACTGATCAGCTAGCCAATGAGATTGCTAAGATTGCTTAGATTGCCTGGATTACCCGTTCCAACGCGAGAGTGACCGAGTTCCCCGACATTTTGCCAAATTCGGAATGCACTCAGATGACGCGTGAGGAAAACAAGGAACAGAATAGAAACCGTAACGTTTCTGCAAGATCTACAATCTTCTGTCAGAAGTCCGACAAACCAAATCCGAAAAAGATACAGCTAGGAACGTGAGCGCTGGAGAGAAATCACGAAGTATGAGTCGGTCGCTAGCTGCTCAATGCAATAAATTCGGGACCTGACTGGGATAGCTTCGAAATCAGACCAAGAAAGCTATAACTCTAGACTCTGATGAGCTACAGATTTCTTCTAGCACGTCAGGGACATGTCAGGAGGAGGGAGGGGCTGATAAGGATTGCTCCGCCGAGAAGACTGCGTTTAAGACAACCCTAGCCGAACTTGATAACACCATCTGAGTATGTGAACAAATTGCACAAATTATTATCAACGCATCTCACTCTATGTGGCAGTTCAACCATTGGTGCAAATTACAAAGCGTAATGCCTTATTTGGGTCTTTAGGAGGAGCCAAAGGTGGCTCAAGAAATTTCAGTCAAACACCCGTCAGCAGGATGTCAAATTATAGACCAATACGGTCGTACATATGCTGATATAGTTCGTGAAGCATGAACGCTGTTTCTGAAGCCCTTTCTTCTGTGCCGGTGAAGACAATATCGCGTTTTTTTACCGATGTTCCCAGGGGTCCTCTCCGCTCCAAGTCAGTCGCCTTCTCCGTCAGATTCCTCCCACCACACTTGCCACCTCATTCTAGCATGTGTCACCATGGCCAGCCCTCATCGTCACAGAGCCATAGCATTTCGCAGTCGTAGCTAAGCCTTACGCTCGTAGGCACGCATCAGACAGCGCAATACCGCCATTTTGCTAAAGGATCTTGCTTCATTTCCTCCCTTCCGTTCGGCGCGTCACATCCAATACATCTGCCTCTGGAAATTCCACTCTCGGACTTTCCGCCAAAATTTCCGTCTCATGCTCTCTCGGTACACTTCATAAGACGCCATCATGGAAGAGCAGCTTATATCGAAGGCCGTTCGTGAAGGCGTACCATGGGACCAGCTACCGAAACGAGCGAAGCTCTTTTTAGGCTCCAACGAAGAATACATCAGACGGTACGGTGCTGTAGCATTGGCATTGGCAAAGCTCTGACAAGCTCTGCGCTTCTCTTACAAAGGTGAAGGCGTTAGCTTCTTGTATCTCTGTCGTGAATCCCGTCTCAGCCATGCTGCCAAGTAACCAGCATCAAGAATTCCATCTCAGATTGTATGATCACCCGAATCTCCAAATACCTGAATCTCGCCATCGTTCTCAGCACGACGATCGTCTCGCCAATACCATATCTCCCTCATCGTCATTCATCTAAACGCGATCCTCCCTCCACTCCTTCCATGCTCCACATCCAACCCGACTACAGCATCAAGGAGCACTGCTTCCAGCTGCGGCTGCGCTGGCCCGACAGTCCCGCGCGCCTGGTGTGTCGCGAGGTGGACTATTACAACGAGCTCATCGCGCATGGCCGCAGGACCCAAGCCGTGCGTCCCGGTTTGTTGTAGGTTGATTGTGAGAATTCTGAACATCAATGCGCGCCTCGTGTGTCGCGAGGTGGACTATTACAACGAACTCATCGCGCACGGCCGCAAGACCCAGGCCGTGCGTCTCGACTCGCCTGCTATTCTTTGAACTACTTGAAAATGACGCTGGCCGGACAGTCAAAGACCTTGTTAATCAGGATAGTTGAATTCTACTCTCAAGACCAGGAATGTGTACGCTCCTGGAAGACGGAAAGTCTTTCTGCACTGAGAATCTATGGTGGCATGGGTTGTTTATATTTGTATCCATGTCTATGTCCGTGTGGATGCTCGTGTCCTTGTGCGTGTAAATGGATGGTGGTGCCTGGCAGCCATTCCCATACCACCTGGCGGACTACATCTGCCGTGTGCTCCCCATCTCCCCATTCTGCTACTATCCGTGTCCATGGAATCCTCATACCCAACAGCCGTTCCTTTTCCAATCGACTAAGATATCCTGTCTCTTGATTCTCGTGCCTGGCAGCCGTTCCCGTACAACCTAGCGGACTACATCTGCCGTGTGCTGCGCATCTCCCCCTTCCGCTACTACAGCGTCCTTCTGCTGGATGTCATGAAGCAAGGTGAGGTGATTGTAGAGAACCAAGGAAAGGTGATTATAGTGAAGCAAGGTGGGATGATCGTGATTATAGTGAAGCAAGGTAAGGTGATTGTGATTGTAATGAAGCAAGGTAAGGTGATTGTGGTTGTTATGAAGCAAGGTAAGGTGCTCATAGCGAAGAAGGGAGAGGAGGGGGTAGGGGGGGGGGGAGGGGGAAGAATCGAAGCGGATGCAGTAGGTGTCACAAATAGGCTTAGAAGCGATGCATTAGTAATGAGCTTGAAGCTCTTTAAGTACATCCAAGAGGGGTAGGAAAAGGATGGGGAAGGGAATCGGGGGCAATCTCTAGGGATTGGGGGTAATCCCAAGGCAATCTCCAATTGGTGGGTTGGAGATTGGTTGGAGATTACATTTGGGTTTGGTTGGGATGTAGGTGTACACCCAACCAAACACAATGTGCAAACTACACTACTCTAGGATATAGAAAATACAAAGTACAAATTGTGAGATTGAAGACTAACACTAACAGTAGGGTGAGCACAGCGAGTATTGAGACGTCCCACAAGGTGAATGCAACACAGCATACGTCTCACTGCCATGCTGCATGGGATAGCCGCCTCACTTAGCCTTCATTTCCTCCCCTCCCCATGTCCGCTGTGCTGCGTGCAGAGAAGTCGTACGACACGATTCCCAACTTCACAGCAGCGGATGCGCTGAGGGAGACGGGCATCGGGCGCAACCAGTTCATTGACATCATGAACCGCGCCCGCGCCAAGGTGCGCTCTGCTATCCCTGCTAGTCCCCATGCCTTCAAGCTGCACATCACCTCCCTGACATCATGGCATCGGGCCCAACCAGTTCATTGACATCATGAACCGCGCCCGCGCCAAGGTGCGCTCTGCCAACCCTGCATGCCCTCATGCCTTCATACTGCATCCTCACCTCCCTCGCACCCGGGCATCGGGCGCAACCAGTTCATTGACATCATGAACCGTGCCCGCGCCAAGGTCGGTGTTTCTCTCCCATGCTCCATGTCGGACTGGCACAAGAGCGAGCGCACGTATTGCTGGATTCAAGGCGATTTCATGTCCGGTTCTCATTTCTCACTCACTGTCTACTGTTCTGTCTTCCCCTGCCTGTCCGTCCCACCCCTGGGCGAGCATCAGCTGATGTGGCGGGTGAACCGGGGAATAGTGAAGGACACGCTGCCCCTGGAGCCAGTTTCCTAACCCATCCATTCCTGGTGGCTTGCATGGGCTGTCAGTCTGACATGGAGTCAAATCTTTTGCTTCCTCTCTCACCTTCTCAATCTCGTTCTGTCTTCCCCTGCCTGTTCGCCCCACCTCTATGTGTGCATCAGCTGATGTGGAGGGTGAACCGGGGGATAGTGAAGGACATGCTGCCGCTGGAGCCAGTGCCCTTCCCCATCCAGCCCTGGTGGCTCGTCTGCGTCGTCAACCTCACTGCTGACGAGTACAGGGTGAGCCCAAAGCGGGTACATTGTGGCCCCATCAGGCTCCCCATCAGGTTCCCCGTCAGGTTCCCCGTCAGGTTCCCCATCAGGTTCCCCATCAGGTTCGTCCCCATCAGGTTCGTCCCCATCAGGTTCGTCCCCATCAGGTTCGTCCCCATCAGGTTCGTCCCCATCAGGTTCGTCCCCATCAGGTTCGTCCCCATCAGGTTCGTCCCCATCAGGTTCGTCCCCATCAGGTTCGTCCCCATCAGGTTCCCTTGTGGGGTAAGCAAGCGGGTTCAAATTTCCGAGTTTTAACCAGCAGTAATTTCCAGAGTCGGTTTCCGTATGCTCCCATGCATCTCAATGCGTTTCCACCCCTCAATGGCTGCTCTTCGCATGCTCACTCCTCGGTCTGAACCCCTCAACCCCCACACCTTATGTGCCACCAGAGGCTGACAGAGGATGAGCTGAGTGTGATAGAGCGCGGCGGCCACGAGGGCGACTGCATGGCGGGCACTGCATGGGACTCGTCTACCTTGATGTCCCCGTTTACCCCAACTAAGTCTTTTGTGGTATGCCTGGTTGCGTGTTAGTGCTGGGCGCATATAGTCCCGGCCCGGAGCATATAGTCCTGGGAGCATACAGTCCCGGCAGCATACAGTCCCGGCAGCATACAGTCCCGGCAGCATACAGTCCCGGCAGCATACAGTCCCGGCAGCATACAGTCCCGGCAGCATACAGTCCCGGCAGCATACAGTCCCGGCAGCATACAGTCCCGGCAGCATACAGTCCCGGCAGCATACAGTCCCGGCAGCATACAGTCCCGGCAGCATACAGTCCCGGCAGCATACAGTCCCGGCAGCATACAGTCCCGGCAGCATACAGTCCCGGCAGCATACAGTCCCGGCAGCATACAGTCCCGGCAGCATACAGTCCCGGCAGCATACAGTCCCGGCAGCATACAGTCCCGGCAGCATACAGTCCCGGCAGCATACAGTCCCGGCAGCATACAGTCCCGGCAGCATACAGTCCCGGCAGCATACAGTCCCGGCAGCATACAGTCCCGGCAGCATACAGTCCCGGCAGCATACAGTCCCGGCAGCATACAGTCCCGGCAGCATACAGTCCCGGCAGCATACAGTCCCGGCAGCATACAGTCCCGGCAGCATACAGTCCCGGCAGCATACAGTCCCGGCAGCATACAGTCCCGGCAGCATACAGTCCCGGCAGCATACAGTCCCGGCAGCATACAGTCCCGGCAGCATACAGTCCCGGCAGCATACAGTCCCGGCAGCATACAGTCCCGGGAGCATGTAGCATGTAGCATGCAGTCCATTCATGTCTGCACCGCTGCTCACACACATTGGTGTCGTTGAGTCCCTAACCCTCCATCCTCTCCTCACTCCCTCCTCTCTGCCTCCTTTCTCGCTATGCTTCCTCCCCCCTCATGGCATGCAGTGTCATCGCTAGAGGGCTTCCGACAGGAACCAGCAAGGCGAGGACGCTTCCGAGGACGCCCCCTCACGTGCTCGTTTCTATATCTGCACAGCACAGTTAATGCTATTTCTCACTCCTACTCTTCCCCTCCAATCTCCCAGGCTGCTCTACTCGCTGTTTGTCACAGCCAGCAAACAAGCCATGCTGCACGAGATGGCAAACACCCTGCAAGCCGACGTGCGGCAAACATCCAATATTCACCCCCTCTCTCCCTCCCTTCCTTCACAGGCTGCTGTTCGTCACAGCAAGCGAGCAGGCCACAGTGCACGAAATGGTTCTCACACTGCTAGCCAAACAGCAATAGACCGTGGAGCAATAGACCGTGGAGCAATAGACCATGGAGCAATAGACCGTGGAGCAATAGACCGTGCTGCAATAGACCGTGGAGCAATAGACCGTGGAGCAATAGACCGTGCAGCAATAGACCGTGCAGCAATAGACCGTGCAGCAATAGACCGTGCAGCAATAGACCGTGCAGCAATAGACCGTTGAGCAATAGACCGTTGAGCAATAGACCGTGGAGCAATAGACCGTGGAGCAATAGACCGTGGAGCAATAGACCGTGGAGCAATAGACCGTGGAGCAATAGACCGTGCAGCAATAGACCGTGCAGCAATAGACCGTGCAGCAATAGACCGTGCAGCAATAGACCTTGGAGCAATAGACCGTGGAGCAATAGACCGTGGAGCAATAGGTCGTGGAGCAATAGGCTGTGCAGCAATAGACCGTGCAGCAATAGACCGTGCAGCAATAGACCGTGCAGCAATAGACCGTGCAGCAATAGACCGTGCAGCAATAGACCGTGCAGCAATAGACCGTGCAGCAATAGACCGTGCAGCAATAGACCGTGCAGCAATAGACCGTGCAGCAATAGACCGTGCAGCAATAGACCGTTGAGCAATAGGCCGTGGAGCAATAGACCGTGCAGCAATAGACCGTGCAGCAATAGACCGTGCAGCAATAGACCGTGCAGCAATAGACCGTGCAGCAATAGACCGTGCAGCAATAGACCGTGCAGCAATAGACCGTGCAGCAATAGACCGTGCAGCAATAGACCGTGCAGCAATAGACCGTGCAGCAATAGACCGTGCAGCAATAGACCGTGCAGCAATAGACCGTGCAGCAATAGACCGTGCAGCAATAGACCGTGCAGCAATAGACCGTGCAGCAATAGACCGTGCAGCAATAGACCGTGCAGCAATAGACCGTGCAGCAATAGACCGTGCAGCAATAGACCGTGCAGCAATAGACCGTGCAGCAATAGACCGTGCAGCAATAGACCGTGCAGCAATAGACCGTGCAGCAATAGACCGTGCAGCAATAGACCGTGCAGCAATAGACCGTGCAGCAATAGACCGTGCAGCAATAGACCGTGCAGCAATAGACCGTGCAGCAATAGACCGTGCAGCAATAGACCGTGCAGCAATAGACCGTGCAGCAATAGACCGTGCAGCAATAGACCGTGCAGCAATAGACCGTGCAGCAATAGACCGTGCAGCAATAGACCGTGCAGCAATAGACCGTGCAGCAATAGACCGTGCAGCAATAGACCGTGCAGCAATAGACCGTGCAGCAATAGACCGTGCAGCAATAGACCGTGCAGCAATAGACCGTGCAGCAATAGACCGTGCAGCAATAGACCGTGCAGCAATAGACCGTGCAGCAATTGTCCGTGCAGCAATAGACCGTGCAGCAATAGACCGTGCAGCAATAGACCGTGCAGCAATAGACCGTGCAGCAATAGACCGTGCAGCAATAGACCGTGCAGCAATAGACCGTGCAGCAATAGACCGTGCAGCAATAGACCGTGCAGCAATAGACCGTGCAGCAATAGACCGTGCAGCAATAGACCGTGCAGCAATAGACCGTGGAGTAATAGACCGTGCAGCAATAGACCGTGCAGCAATAGACCGTGCAGCAATAGACCGTGCAGCAATAGACCGTGCAGCAATAGACCGTGCAGCAATAGACCGTGCAGCAATAGACCGTGCAGCAATAGACCGTGCAGCAATAGACCGTGCAGCAATAGACCGTGCAGCAATAGACCGTGCAGCAATAGACCGTGCAGCAATAGACCGTGCAGCAATAGACCGTGCAGCAATAGACCGTGCAGCAATAGACCGTGCAGCAATAGACCGTGCAGCAATAGACCGTGCAGCAATAGACCGTGCAGCAATAGACCGTGCAGCAATAGACCGTGCAGCAATAGACCGTGCAGCAATAGACCGTGGACCAATAGACCGTGCAGCAATAGACCGTGCAGCAATAGACCGTGCAGCAATAGACCGTGCAGCAATAGACCGTGCAGCAATAGACCGTGCAGCAATAGACCGTGCAGCAATAGACCGTGCAGCAATAGACCGTGCAGCAATAGACCGTGCAGCAATAGACCGTGCAGCAATAGACCGTGCAGCAATAGACCGTGCAGCAATAGACCGTGCAGCAATAGACCGTGCAGCAATAGACCGTGCAGCAATAGACCGTGCAGCAATAGACCGTGCAGCAATAGACCGTGCAGCAATAGACCGTGCAGCAATAGACCGTGCAGCAATAGACCGTGCAGCAATAGACCGTGCAGCAATAGACCGTGCAGCAATAGACCGTGCAGCAATAGACCGTGCAGCAATAGACCGTGCAGCAATAGACCGTGCAGCAATAGACCGTGCAGCAATAGACCGTGCAGCAATAGACCGTGCAGCAATAGACCGTGCAGCAATAGACCGTGCAGCAATAGACCGTGCAGCAATAGACCGTGCAGCAATAGACCGTGCAGCAATAGACCGTGCAGCAATAGACCGTGCAGCAATAGACCGTGCAGCAATAGACCGTGCAGCAATAGACCGTGCAGCAATAGACCGTGCAGCAATAGACCGTGCAGCAATAGACCGTGCAGCAATAGACCGTGCAGCAATAGACCGTGCAGCAATAGACCGTGCAGCAATAGACCGTGCAGCAATAGACCGTGCAGCAATAGACCGTGCAGCAATAGACCGTGCAGCAATAGACCGTGCAGCAATAGACCGTGCAGCAATAGACCGTGCAGCAATAGACCGTGCAGCAATAGACCGTGCAGCAATAGACCGTGCAGCAATAGACCGTGCAGCAATAGACCGTGCAGCAATAGACCGTGCAGCAATAGACCGTGCAGCAATAGACCGTGCAGCAATAGACCGTGCAGCAATAGACCGTGCAGCAATAGACCGTGCAGCAATAGACCGTGCAGCAATAGACCGTGCAGCAATAGACCGTGCAGCAATTGTCCGTGCAGCAATAGACCGTGCAGCAATAGACCGTGCAGCAATAGACCGTGCAGCAATAGACCGTGCAGCAATAGACCGTGCAGCAATAGACCGTGCAGCAATAGACCGTGCAGCAATAGACCGTGCAGCAATAGACCGTGCAGCAATAGACCGTGCAGCAATAGACCGTGCAGCAATAGACCGTGCAGCAATAGACCGTGGAGTAATAGACCGTGCAGCAATAGACCGTGCAGCAATAGACCGTGCAGCAATAGACCGTGCAGCAATAGACCGTGCAGCAATAGACCGTGCAGCAATAGACCGTGCAGCAATAGACCGTGCAGCAATAGACCGTGCAGCAATAGACCGTGCAGCAATAGACCGTGCAGCAATAGACCGTGCAGCAATAGACCGTGCAGCAATAGACCGTGCAGCAATAGACCGTGCAGCAATAGACCGTGCAGCAATAGACCGTGCAGCAATAGACCGTGCAGCAATAGACCGTGCAGCAATAGACCGTGCAGCAATAGACCGTGCAGCAATAGACCGTGCAGCAATAGACCGTGCAGCAATAGACCGTGCAGCAATAGACCGTGCAGCAATAGACCGTGCAGCAATAGACCGTGCAGCAATAGACCGTGCAGCAATAGACCGTGCAGCAATAGACCGTGCAGCAATAGACCGTGCAGCAATAGACCGTGCAGCAATAGACCGTGCAGCAATAGACCGTGCAGCAATAGACCGTGCAGCAATAGACCGTGCAGCAATAGACCGTGCAGCAATAGACCGTGCAGCAATAGACCGTGCAGCAATAGACCGTGCAGCAATAGACCGTGCAGCAATAGACCGTGCAGCAATAGACCGTGCAGCAATAGACCGTGCAGCAATAGACCGTGCAGCAATAGACCGTGCAGCAATAGACCGTGCAGCAATAGACCGTGCAGCAATAGACCGTGCAGCAATAGACCGTGCAGCAATAGACCGTGCAGCAATAGACCGTGCAGCAATAGACCGTGCAGCAATAGACCGTGCAGCAATAGACCGTGCAGCAATAGACCGTGCAGCAATAGACCGTGCAGCAATAGACCGTGCAGCAATAGACCGTGCAGCAATAGACCGTGCAGCAATAGACCGTGCAGCAATAGACCGTGCAGCAATAGACCGTGCAGCAATAGACCGTGCAGCAATAGACCGTGCAGCAATAGACCGTGCAGCAATAGACCGTGCAGCAATAGACCGTGCAGCAATAGACCGTGCAGCAATAGACCGTGCAGCAATAGACCGTGCAGCAATAGACCGTGCAGCAATAGACCGTGCAGCAATAGACCGTGCAGCAATAGACCGTGCAGCAATAGACCGTGCAGCAATAGACCGTGCAGCAATAGACCGTGCAGCAATAGACCGTGCAGCAATAGACCGTGCAGCAATAGACCGTGCAGCAATAGACCGTGCAGCAATAGACCGTGCAGCAATAGACCGTGCAGCAATAGACCGTGCAGCAATAGACCGTGCAGCAATAGACCGTGCAGCAATAGACCGTGCAGCAATAGACCGTGCAGCAATAGACCGTGCAGCAATAGACCGTGCAGCAATAGACCGTGCAGCAATAGACCGTGCAGCAATAGACCGTGCAGCAATAGACCGTGCAGCAATAGACCGTGCAGCAATAGACCGTGCAGCAATAGACCGTGCAGCAATAGACCGTGCAGCAATAGACCGTGCAGCAATAGACCGTGCAGCAATAGACCGTGCAGCAATAGACCGTGCAGCAATAGACCGTGCAGCAATAGACCGTGCAGCAATAGACCGTGCAGCAATAGACCGTGCAGCAATAGACCGTGCAGCAATAGACCGTGCAGCAATAGACCGTGCAGCAATAGACCGTGCAGCAATAGACCGTGCAGCAATAGACCGTGCAGCAATAGACCGTGCAGCAATAGACCGTGCAGCAATAGACCGTGCAGCAATAGACCGTGCAGCAATAGACCGTGCAGCAATAGACCGTGCAGCAATAGACCGTGCAGCAATAGACCGTGCAGCAATAGACCGTGCAGCAATAGACCGTGCAGCAATAGACCGTGCAGCAATAGACCGTGCAGCAATAGACCGTGCAGCAATAGACCGTGCAGCAATAGACCGTGCAGCAATAGACCGTGCAGCAATAGACCGTGCAGCAATAGACCGTGCAGCAATAGACCGTGCAGCAATAGACCGTGCAGCAATAGACCGTGCAGCAATAGACCGTGCAGCAATAGACCGTGCAGCAATAGACCGTGCAGCAATAGACCGTGCAGCAATAGACCGTGCAGCAATAGACCGTGCAGCAATAGACCGTGCAGCAATAGACCGTGCAGCAATAGACCGTGCAGCAATAGACCGTGCAGCAATAGACCGTGCAGCAATAGACCGTGCAGCAATAGACCGTGCAGCAATAGACCGTGCAGCAATAGACCGTGCAGCAATAGACCGTGCAGCAATAGACCGTGCAGCAATAGACCGTGCAGCAATAGACCGTGCAGCAATAGACCGTGCAGCAATAGACCGTGCAGCAATAGACCGTGCAGCAATAGACCGTGCAGCAATAGACCGTGCAGCAATAGACCGTGCAGCAATAGACCGTGCAGCAATAGACCGTGCAGCAATAGACCGTGCAGCAATAGACCGTGCAGCAATAGACCGTGCAGCAATAGACCGTGCAGCAATAGACCGTGCAGCAATAGACCGTGCAGCAATAGACCGTGCAGCAATAGACCGTGCAGCAATAGACCGTGCAGCAATAGACCGTGCAGCAATAGACCGTGCAGCAATAGACCGTGCAGCAATAGACCGTGCAGCAATAGACCGTGCAGCAATAGACCGTGCAGCAATAGACCGTGCAGCAATAGACCGTGCAGCAATAGACCGTGCAGCAATAGACCGTGCAGCAATAGACCGTGCAGCAATAGACCGTGCAGCAATAGACCGTGCAGCAATAGACCGTGCAGCAATAGACCGTGCAGCAATAGACCGTGCAGCAATAGACCGTGCAGCAATAGACCGTGCAGCAATAGACCGTGCAGCAATAGACCGTGCAGCAATAGACCGTGCAGCAATAGACCGTGCAGCAATAGACCGTGCAGCAATAGACCGTGCAGCAATAGACCGTGCAGCAATAGACCGTGCAGCAATAGACCGTGCAGCAATAGACCGTGCAGCAATAGACCGTGCAGCAATAGACCGTGCAGCAATAGACCGTGCACCGTCAATAGACCTGCTCGACCCGTGCATGGACATGGACATGGGGGGAAGGGAGACACCGGCCGACGTGGTACCTATACCTTCTGAATCCCATCCCCTCCTCCCCTCCCCCCTTCCCTTCCCCCCCAGGCTGCTCTATTCTCTCTTCGTCACAGCAAGCGAGCAAGCCACGGTGCACGAGATGGCCAACACGCTGCAAGCCGACGTGCGGCAGCTCGGCGCCGCCATCTCCCTCGCATGCCGCCTGGGGTGGGCCGAGAAGGTGCTCGACTTACACTCCCTGCTCGACCACATAGACATGGGGGGAGAGGGGGACACCGGCGACGGGGGCGTGGGCAGCGAGGGGTTTGGTGCGGGGGACGCAGGGGTGGGTGCGGGGATGGGGGGAGGGGAGGGGGGGTTGGAGGGAGTGGGGGGTGGGCAGGTGGTGGGGTGGAAGAAGGTGGAGTCGGTGGGGTGGGGGGAGAGTGGAGGGGGTGCGGATAGGTTGAGGATAGCGCTGATGGTGGATGCCAACCTCACGTCCTTCCTCATGATGGGCTCTTTCTCATATGGTGAGCCGTGGCTTTTTCTCCTTCTCCTATGGTCAGTGATGATGCACGGCCTTTCTCCTCACTCGCACTCTTTCTTTCTTGACTTCAGTTCACTGCTTTCCATCTTGCCACGGAATTCCTCCATTGCTCTCTTCCCTTCCCTATTCAGCTAGAGGAGGGTGACCAGCACTGCAGGTCTGCCTAAGCCTTCAAACTTGACCCTCTCCTCCTCCCTCGCTACGAACCCCCTGCTCCTCTGCCACGTCCATCTCAAAGCTGAAGCAGCACGCAGTGACACTCTTTGAGGCAGGCAAGCTGTCAGAGCGCAGTGTGGCAGAGCTGTGCGGTGAGCTACGAGCAGTGGAGAAGACCCAGCTGGAGGGCGAGCTGCAGAAGTTCACCGACCACGCTTTCAGCCTCTCCTCTTCCGTCTCCCACATATCCCCTGCTTCCCCACGTCCCCTGCTCCTGCAGAGCTGAAGCAGCACGCTGTGACATTATTCGAAGCAGGAAAACTGTCTGAACGGAGTGTTGCAGAGCTGTGCGGTGAGCTACGAGCAGTGGAGAAGACTCAGCTGGAGGGCAAGCTTCAAAAGTTCACCGACCACGCCTTTAGCGCCTCCTCTTCCGTCCCCTGTGTGCCTCCTGCTTTCCCACGTCCCTCCCAGAGCTAAAGCAGCATGCGGTGACTCTGTTCGAAGCAGCAAAGCTATCAGAGCAGAGTGTAGCAGAGCTGTGTGGGGAGCTACGAGCAGTGGAGAAGACACAGCTGGAGGGCGAACTACAGAAGTTCACGGACCATGCCTTCAGCCTGCGCTACGCCCTCTCCTGCCTGCGCACCGGCACCATCGATATCACCTCCGCCCTCCACACCCCCCGCCCTGCTTCTGCCGCTGCTGCCGCCGCTACTGCAGCAGCTATTGCACCGCTGCACCCTCCCCATCACTCTTCGCCACCCAGCCAGCCCAGTGCTTCCAGTGACCCCCCAGGCACCTCGGACTCTGCACAGGGAGTGTGGCTGTGGGGCCGGCTGCACCAGATGCACCTGCCCCGGATGACACCTGGTCCACGCGCAGTGTAGCTGACTCCGCATCCACTGCCGACCCCTCAGACCTCCCCCTCCCCCTCCCCTCCCACCTCGTCGCCTCCTCCTCCTCCCAGTCCCTCCCTGACTCTGTCGTTGCTTCACAACCTGCCTCCTCAGATACTAAATCCTCTGATGCACCTGATAATGGTGTTTCAGGCAGCAGCAGCGCGGCAGGCTTGGAGGGATCACGTCTGCAGGAGAAGCCGCTGCACCCACGCGCTGCGTCGTACCCGGCCCTGCCAGCAGCAGAGGCAGGCGATGACGGCTCCTCCTCCCCTGCCGCCCCTCCACCTCCCGCTGCTTCCACAGTACCACCATTACCACCACCATCATCAGCAACAGCAGCAGCAGTGGCCACACGAGCAACATTTAACCAGAGAGCCTACAGGGCCTCGCACCAGCCACGCTGCACCGCCTCCTGCGCCGAGATTTCGACCTCGTCGTCTCCATCGTGCCCCTCCCCAAGCCCCTCAACGCCGTCGTCCCAGACGGCTCAGGTCCCGCCCACTTCGGCCCACCTGCCCCCGCCTTCCTCTCCCCGTGGGCCAAGCTGTTTCTCTACGCGAAAACCGCCTCTGGACCGGTTTCAGTGGTGCTGATGAGAGGGCTGAGGCTCAGGCTGCTGCCGCCGCCGCTAGTGACTTGTGATAAGGCGTTGGTGTGGACGTGGGATGGGATGGCGGTGGGGGGAGTGGGGGCGAAGAGTGAAGGGTCGCTGGTGCCTGGGACGGTGCTGCTGCATGTGGTGAACAGCTTGCTGAGACATTCTGCTTTGATGGTTCAGCCTCTGGCCTCCCCGCCTGTGCCTACTCCTGGGTTCTCCCGAACTGGATCGAACTCAGCTGTGAGAGCAGCAGGGAGAGGGGGAGGGGGCGCGGATTGCGGGTTGTGGGGTGGGGATGGGGCGGTGGAGGGGGTGGGGAGGGCGTGGGGTGTCTTACTGAGGAAGGGAGCCGGATATTGCCACGGTTGCCCTCCCTCTGCCCCCTCGCTCTCGGCCTGATTCCAGTGAGATGCGAGCAGCAGAGAAGAGGGGGGCAGTTGATGGGGGTGTGCATCAGCAGCAGAAGCAGCAGGGCGGGGCGAGATCACTGGGAAAGACGAGGCAGGAGGTTACTGAAACTGCTGGGGAATCAGCGGGTGGTGGGGCAGGAGGAGACGAGGGAGCGAGGAGTGAGGGAGGCAAAGGCGGGGGGTCGAGTGATAGTGCTAGTGGTGATGGTGATGGTGGCGCAGGGGCAGTGGCGCCTGGAGCGGGGCAGCAGAGGGAGGAGGAGGAGGAGGAGTCGCCAGTGGTGGCTGCAGCGAGGCGAGCAGCCGAGGTGCTGGCTGTGGATGCTGTGGGGTTCGTGCGAGTCATCCGTACGGAGGCCGGGGAGGAGGACGAGGACGAGGAGGAGGAGGATGCGGAGGGTGGTGGTGGTGCCAGCGCTGGCACTGCCAGTGGAGAAGGGAGGTTGAGAATAGACGTCAGTGAAGGGGGAGGGGGAGCAGGAGGGACGGGGGGAAGCCCAGGGAAGAAGAAGCAGCAGCGGCAGCGGCAGGGGCGGCGGGGCGAGTGGGTGGCACACAGCGTGGAGTTTGGCATTCCGCTCTTCGACACGCAGCTGTGCTGCCAGGTGTGCGACGCCGTGGTCTCTCACAGCATGCTCACCCCGCCGCAGCTCGCATCCCAGCGCCGCTCCACCCTCTCTCTCCGCTCCGCCCTGCGGGAGTTCATATCAGACTACCGCCAGCACGGCCCTGTCTCACGGGCAGTCTACACCGGTAATGTCGCTCTCCTACGGTCGACTTCCCGGCGTTGGTCCGCTTCTTTTGCCGCCTCTGCTGCTGCTGCGTCTCCGTTCTCTGTGCTGCTGCCGAGGCGGACTGTCAGGCATGTGCCGCCGTCGCCGTCGGGGAGGGGAGCCGGGGAGGGGGGTGGCGGGCAGGGAGGAGGGAGGAGAGGGGAGATTGGGGGGGTGATTGCGGCGGCGGTGGCGGCAGTGGATGCGGAGAAGGGAGGGGGGAGGAGGGCGGGGGACAGGAGGGGGAGGATGGGGCAGAAGCACCGGCTGAGCCGAAACTTCTCAGAGTTTTGGTACCTGCCCGAGAACCAAGCTCCCAGGTATGGGTGGTTTCTGAAATCCCCCCAAGACTATCGGTGTTTGCCAACGAAGGGATTGACATGGAAAGTATCTGCTCTCGTTCCACTCTCCAGCCAACTCACACTCGCTTCTTTTCTCTTCCTTCCTTCCCTTATTCCTACTCCCACGCCCCACCCTCCATTCTTCAGCTTTGCAGCCACACAGGATGATCCTCAGGACCCCTATGCGCAATCAAATCGAGATCCAAGCTTCACATCGGAGGAGGAAGAAGAGGACCTCAGCCGCCCGGCATACCCCGGGGTGAATATGATCTTTGACGGTCACGTGTTTGAAGAAGTGTTTTGAGACGTCTCAAAACGCTTCACATCGGAGGAGGAAGAAGAGGACCTCATCCGCCCGGCATACCCCGGGGTGAATATGATCTTTGACGGTCACGTGTTTGAAGAAGTGTTTTGAGACGTCTCAAAACGCTTCACATCGGAGGAGGAAGAAGAGGACCTCAGCCGCCCGGCATACCCCGGAGTGAATATGATCTTTGACGGTCACCTGCTGTTGCCCATCGACCTCTCGACCTATCTGCACGGCCGGCAAGCGTCGGTTCTTGTGGCCCGTGCAACCTCCATGTCCCAGCAGTCCATCATGTGGTGATGCTGGTGGGTTGATGGGGCCATGAGGGTCATAGCAATGGGGGCCCGTGCGATGGGATTCATTGTGGGGGAGTATCGCAAAGGGTGGCCAGCCATTTCCACAGGAAAAGGGGCATTTAGTATGTCTACGTTGTCATTGCAGGTCCTTTCCTTAGGAGACCACCTACTCTAGTAGATTCTGGCCCTTTTTGTACTAACGCTAGTGACGCGTGTGTGTGCAGTTGCCATCCGCAGCACGCACTCGTTCCAAAGCACTTTGTTTCTGAGAATCCGTGCCGCTGGGGTCTAACATGGTTGGCACTACCATATCTTCAGAACTTCAATGGGTGCACACAATGTGAGGAGGACTGCCCCCTGCTCCTGCGATAGTGCTCTCCTGCGTGGGTAAGGCAGGCTGACTCACGGCCTGTGTTGTTGCACCTTTGCAGGCTGCTTGCTGTCCAGATTCGGTACGTACGTAACATCTAGGAGAGGATCTAGCAGCAACTGGAAAGCATCTTTTGCAAAAGCATCTACTATCAGCATACGGGAGGATCTGGCATCAGCATCTGGAAGATGGTGTAGCATCCGGCAACAGGGAGAGCATAAATCAGTGCAGCATGCAACATTCACAGGCATTTCTTGGCAGGGCAGAGCGAGTGGAACCACAGGTTCCTGCCATTCATCACATCATCGTAAATCCTCGGCGCGCCCAGCAAAACAGTCAACGCTGTCCCCACAGCAATGATTCCAGTGAGAATGAAAATGATGATGGAGGCACGGCCGGTGCTCTTGACGATGCGGCCCACTATGGTGACTCCGAGGAGGGAGGCGATGAAGGCGGTGGGGGCGAAGACGGCAGCGTAGGCGAGGTTGAGTCGGTGCAGGAAGAGGAAGGAGAGGGACACGCTGCTGCTGCCGAACAGCACCATCATCACTGACGTTGATGCTGTGATCTGGAGGGGGGGAGAGGAGGAGAGGGAGCGTGGATGGAGGACAAGGAGAATGGGAAAAGTATGAGGGATTCTGGTCAGTTAAACTTGACAGTTGCTGCTGACAAACAGCACCATCATCGTTGACGTTGATGCTGTTATCAGGACAAGGAACGTAGGGGGGGCGAGAGGGGGAGGGAGAGGAGTGGGGCAGTAAGAGGGATTGGGTCAGCATGGTTGTGAAGGGATCACTGACAGTACCTGGGGCGGAAATAGGCAGTACATGGAGCGGAATCATTCGGCAGTACCTGGGGCGGAATCATCTGACAGTACCCTGGGGCATCATTCTGCAGTACCTGGGTGGCATCATTTGGCAGTACCTGGGGCGGAATGCCGAGCGAGAGCATGAAGGGGTTGAAGAGAGGAGCCCCTCCAATGCCCAGCACCCCCGCCATCACTCCCGCCACCACCATCACCCCCACCACCTGCCAGCAACAAAACCCGGCACCACACAGGCACGTGCCTCATTGGGGAGGGTAAAAGAGCACAGGATCAGCAACAGCAAGAGCAGCGACCTGCAGCAAGCTGCATAGGCTGTGAGCGCAGCGAGTAATACAGAGCCTCTAGTAGCAGCACGAGCAGAATGATCAGGGCAGGAAGGATAATTGGCTTGTGCACACATGTGCCGTGGGGCAGAACGGATGACCAAGCAAGAGGTGCAGGAGCTTTGTGCAGCGGAACAGTACGTATCACTGCCCGTGCGCTGACCTTGAAGATTTTCCGGGCAGCTCGCTTCCTCCGAGCCTCCAAGACTTCGTCATCGCCTCCCCCTTCCTCCTCTGCCTGCCCCGCCATGAGCACCCGTGAGAGAGCCGACGCCCCTTCCGCATCCGGATTGGTGGACGCCGCTCGAACCTGCGAGGAGTGGGAAGGGATGGGGAGGGATGGGGAGAGGAAACGTGAAGAGGGGAGGGAGGTGGAAGAAGAGGTGGTTGATAGGGCCTCCAAGACCTCATCATCTCCTGCCCCATCCTCCTCCGCCTGCCCCACCATGAGCATTCATGAGAGCGCTGACCCCCCCCTCTGCATCCGGATTGCTGGACGCCGCCCGAACCTGGGAGGAGTGGAGGAGGGAGCGAATGGGAGGGGAGAGGGAGAGAGGGGAATGAAGAGTTGGTGATCCTGGAGGAAGGGCGGGAGGGGTTAAACAGCACAAGAAATGGTTCATCTGTCGAGATGGTTGCTTAGTTGATAGGCAGAAGGGCTGCAGAGCGAAGAGGAAGGGAGCACGTGGCAGTACCTGATAGGCCACCATGGCAGCAGTGGCAGCGAAGCACAGCAGTGTCTGTGCCGCCCAATAGAGGAAGAACGGGCGGCTGCACCGCCTGGTGCCGGCCAGCCCACGCTCGAGAGCCATCATTGCCACCCACAGCACTGAGAGAGGGGGGAGGGGGAGAATGGATGATGAAGAACGGGCGGCTGCACCGTGTAGTGCCGGCCAGCCCACGCTCAAGAACCATCATTGCCACCCACAGCACTGGGGGACACGGGCGGAGGGAATAGAGGAGGAAGAACGATGGGGGAAGGGGCACGCAGTAAAAAATTCAGGCTTGAGACGTCTCAAAACTCAGTCATTGCCAGATCGGATACAGGCTGAGAGGGCGGTTGAACAGTCTGCGCATCAGTGATACGGATCATGCAGAGGCCGGGCGGCATGTGGGTAGCTGCACAGGATCCGTAACAGATACCACCCATGCTGCCCGCCCATCACCCACCACCCCCACGTACCGCCAAGGCCCACGAGTGGCAGCAGCTGGGCGACAGTGTGAGCCACAAAGTCCGACAGCCGCCCAGATCCGCTGGATGGGTCCAACCAGCGCCGCTTGGAATGAGCATGGGCGGGCGGCGAGGAGGATGAGGAGGCAGAGGAGGGAGCAGGTGCTGCTGCTGCTGACTGCGAAAGCAGCGGTGTGTTGATAGAGGAAGCAGAGGCGGTGGAGGAGGAGGAGGAGGAGGTGGAAGGCTGCTGTTGCTGTTGCTGTTGCTGCTGCTGCTGCTGCTGCTGCTGCTGGTTGTGCCTGGCAGCAGCGGCTTGCGTCTCCTTCTCCCACGCCTTGCTCGCCTTGATGCCCGTCTCCCTCGCCACGTACCCCAGCAGTACCGCCAGTAGGGACGTCTGTGTCCCAGGGAGGGAAAAGAGGGGAGGGAAGAGGGGAGAGGGGAGAGGGGAGAGGGGAGAGGGGAGAGGGGAGAGGGGAAGGGAGAAGGGAAGGGAAACGAGAAGGGGACTGGGGACTGGCGGTACGACCAGAAGACGCATGGCAAGCGATGGGTTATCTCTTTTCTTTCCTTCGAGGGGTGGATTGAGGTATCAAGCCCCAGAAGCAGTTATTAAGCATTAATACCCCCCCCCCCCTTTGCATTGCTGGCTCCTGTCAGCAAGGGCTGCACCTGTTGCCTTTCACCCTCAGCAAGGGCTGCACCTGTTGCTCAACACCTGTCATCTTGAGCAGTAGGGGCAGCACCTGGAGCCAGGACGGCAGAGGGGCAGCACCTGGAGCCAGGACGGCAGAGGGGCAGCACCTGGAGCCAGGACGGCAGAGGGGCAGCACCTGGAGCCAGGACGGCAGAGGGGCAGCACCTGGAGCCAGGACGGCAGAGGGGCAGCACCTGGAGCCAGGACGGCAGAGGGGCAGCACCTGGAGCCAGGACGGCAGAGGGGCAGCACCTAACACCAGCAGCAGCAGGGGCAGCACTTGTGAGCAGCATGGGCAGGGGCAGCACCTGGAGCCAGGGCGGGAGGAGCGGGTTGAGCAGCACGCCACAGCTGACGCCCAGCAGCAGCGCGGAAAGCACCTTTCACCTTGCACCAGATGCAGTAACAGCACAGCACCTGTCACCTATCACCTATCAACAGGGGCAGCAGCACACACTGCACCTGTCAGTAGCAGCAACAGCACGAGCAGCACCTGGAGCCAGGGCGGGAGGAGCGGGTTGAGCAGCACGCCACAGCTGACGCCCAGCAGCAGCGCGGGCGTGAAGGTGAGCGCCAGGCGCAGGTCAATCAACGGCTGAGATGGATCCGCGGGGCTGCTCTGGATCAAGCCGTAGAATGTGCTCGCCACACCACTGTGAGGGGAGGGGCAGAGGAGAGTAGAAGAGGGGTGACGGAAAGGGGAGGGAAGAGTGACGTGGGTAACAGTGGATGGTGCAGGATGAGGATGGCTGCAGGCAGGTCGATACACGGCACTTGGAGGCGACACGGTGTGACCACGGTGTGACCACGGTGTGACCATGCTGTGTCCATGCTGTGACCATGCTGTGACCATGCTGTGACCATGCTGTGACCATGCTGTGACCATGCTGTGACCATGCTGTGACCATGCTGTGACCATGCTGTGACCATGCTGTGACCATGCTGTGACCATGCTGTGACCATGCTGTGACCATGCTGTGACCATGCTGTGACCATGCTGTGACCATGCTGTGACCATGCTGTGACCATGCTGTGACCATGCTGTGACCATGCTGTGACCATGCTTTGACCGTGCTGTGACCATGCTGTGACCATGCTTTGACCGTGCTGTGACCACGGTGTGACCATGGTGTGACCACGGTGTGACCATGGTGTGACCATGTACGCGGCACCATCACGTTATATTTCAGACATGGTGTGACTGTGAAGGTACATTGTACACGGAACATGCCACCTGGAAGCGACCATGGTGTGACTATAACAATACGCGCTATACGTCACCCGGAGGCGACCAAATTGTGACTATAACGATGTGTGACTATAGCGGAGCACGAACCTGGAGGCGACCATGGTGTGCGAGAGGCCAGTGGCGGCATTGGCGGTGAATCCGAGGAAGGAGTTGAAGAGCGGCATGTAGAACGGCCCCCCGCCTATCCCCGCCGCGTTCGCCAGCAGCGCGCACTGCGGGGGCGTGGGGGAGACGGGGGGGAAGAAGACGGAAGGGGGAGGGGGCGGTAGGGGAGGGGAGAGAATGAAATGGGGAAAATATGAGGATTGGAGTACGCAAGGGGGGGTTGATGGGGGTTGGGGGGGAGAGGGAAGGAGAATTGGGGGACGAAATTGCAAGCGAGGTTCAAAGAGGGAATGATCAGGGCACTGATCGATCGCGTCGCACGGCGCCCGCAGAGGGGGCTCATACGCGTTAGTGGCTAAGCACGCAGTGAGAATGAGGCCGCTTATGGGGCTCATACGCGTTAGAGACTTACGCATGCAGTGAGAATGAGGCCGCTGATGCTGTACACGTCCCATCGCAGCTCCGTCCGATGGTCCTTCGGCGCCGTGAACCCGCCGCCCTTGCCGCTCTGCGCACCAGCAGCACCGCCATCGGCGGCGGCGGCGGCAGAAGCAGCAGTAGCACTTTCGTTCGAATAATTAGCTTGATCGGCGAATCCTAAGGCAGCGCTTCTGGCGGAACCTGCACGGTCGGAGTGGAGCAAGCCCGCAGCGCTACACGCCATGACGCCGAACTCGCTGAACACATTGCTGCTATCGTCGCCCGCGTCGCCGTTGCCGTCGCTGCCGTCGCCGTCGCTCGCATTGCGACCCCATGCAAACGGCCACGCGGCGTCGCTCCTCTCAACGACGACGGCGCCGCCGTTTCCGCCGGCGGCGACCGCGGAAATGCCACCAATGCCGCTGCCGCCCTTACGACCGCCGATACTCGCGGCGATCAAGGCGGCGCCTCGTGCGGCAGGGACGGTGGCAGCGTCAGAAACATCGAGAATCGCTGAATCGGCGACAGGTTCGCCGACGACAGCGACGGCGAGCAGCAGAACGAGAGCGGCGGGCCAGTGTGCTGCCATTGGTTGGAATTTTCGGCGAGCGATTCTGACAACGTACGCTGTGAGAGGGACTGCAAACCAGAAGCTTTCGCGGTTCAATCAGGATCACTGTTGGGAAAGGAAGAGCAAGAAGAGCCTTTCTGTGATAAGCGATCCTCCTCAACCATCAGACGACACCTTGGCTGGGTGGGAGTCGACAGATCCGCCATTGGAGCTCCCGATGAGAGAGAATGACTCCAGTGGCCAATAAGGTGATTCACCATCCCTCGCGTGGCCACGAATGACTCGAGTGGCCACCAAATTTGGTGATAATGACTCGAGTGGCCACGCCAGGGGATTCTTGCTGGCTTTTTTTTCACGGCGCATTACCCTACGGGGCTTTGTAGCCACGAAATTCCCCATTCGTGCGAGTGGTATCCTTAGGTAGTGTTCCGTTCTGTTCCGCACCCGAAAATTTCGCCCACACACTGTACACAAAACCGTAAAAAATGCACGACCAACAGTAGTTGCGCGGTCATTTTCGGCCCAATGCTCGACCAATGAGCGCGCGGTAAAAAAAAATCAGCGATCATAAACTGCTCTGCGGGGGCATAAATGCGCGAACACATTAGTGACCGCGGGCAAGAAAAAAACTAAAACCCACTCGGAAGGCATGCCGTAAGCCATGGGGTTCATTTATTTTTTTTTATCACCTTAGGGTAATGCGCCGTGAAAAAAAAGCCAGCAAGAATCTCCTGGCGTGGCCACTCGAGTCATTATCACCAAATTTGGTGGCCACTCGAGTCATTCGTGGCCACGCAAGGGATTGTGAATCATCTTATTGGCCACTGGAGTCATTCTCTCTCCCGATGAACCTGGGGCTTGCCGCAAAGCCAGGCATTGAAGCTGCCAGTGCTGCTGCTGGCGCGGCCACCGTAGATTTTGCCGCGATTGGACGATGGGGGCAAAGCTGCCGTTCGATTCTGGAACAAAAGGGGCGACGGAGAGGGGCAAAGCTGCCGTTCGATTCTGGAACAAAAGGGACGGAGAGTGAGAGGTGACAGTGGACGGTGTCTTGGTGCAAAGTATCTTCGGTGAGGAGAGATCCGCTTTCCATCATCAGATTTGAAGTTTATCATGCCCATTAGTCATCGTACAATGAGTAGCCCTTTCGTGATTGTTCGTTTCACTGTTATTGGTCAGGAGTGCACGAAACTCCAATCAAGTCGAGCTTGTATACTGCAAATGTTTCTCAATAACGAGCACATATGACACATTGTTCATTGTGAATACAGGATTGGATGCGAAAGATTCGCCAACGTGTTGCCAACGCGGGCGAACCACAGCTGGTGCAATTTTTCCTCGCAGCTGTGCGGAGGAATCTCTGGCCCTGAGGTCCTCCACTCCACCCTCCGCACATCCGATCCCACGAGGTTGGATGGATCTCAATTTGGCGCGCACGCCGCACCACATGTGGGTATTACAATGTTGAAGGCTAATCACCCTTCTTGTAATAACCCGTAAGCGGTTCTGAAGAAATCGTTGTTCATTCTCAGCACTGCCCGGCATGGTGGAGGTCCGCACGTTTGACGTGACAATGGCAACACGTTTATCTAAGTTTGAAGTACGGAATGTTTCAGTGTGGAAACTCCGAAGGGAGGTGGATGAAAAGCGCAACATCGACCACGCATTATCCATTCATCCGCACATTGGTTGCGCTTGCTGGGTTGCGCTGCGCCCCTTCACCCCCCCTCCCCCGCCCCACTCCGCGTCTCGACCAACGACCAGCGCGATGCGTCGCCGACGCACACACCCTTTCTCCCTGCCGCAGCATCACCACCAACCACAGAAGAACAAACTCAATCGCTCTGCTGGCAACCAAGACCAAGCAACAGCCACACTTGACACATCGGCGTAATGCCGCAGCTGCAGAAAATCGAGCGATGAAGCGATGTATGAGGCTTAGTGCAGAAGTTTAGGTCAGCGAGAGAACCATGTTCCTTGCTTAGCTATATGTACCTACCCCTAGTGCAATCTGCACTTCTTGGGCATGGTGGTGGTGAGCTCGACGCCGCTCCCTAAAAGCGCGACTGCTGCAGCTTTGACAGCAGCAGTTTCTTTCACCGCGCTTCGTTCTGCCTCGAATCAAGCTCGGGCCTCCGCAGAACGCGCGCACCGCAGCCATGGCTGTTCCATGGCGCCTCTCGACTCACCAGACAAAGATCTCCGCTTTGTGCCGCCATCGCACCATCCTCCCGACCTGGCTGTTCGTCGCCGCGCTTCTTGCCGCGTCGCGCACTCTGCTGACAGCTAGCCAACGAATTAGCAGCCATACACCGGTCCGCAGACATTTAGCGCCTCGGGCGGAACCTCCTCCGCTAGGCCGGGAGCGATTCGCGTCGGCGTACGCTCGCGCGAAGGATCTTTCTGGCGACGATAAACCAGTGTTCTTGCGACCGATCGCAGCCAATCGTCCAGACTCGCAGGATTCGCAGCGTGGTCGCCCGCGTGCGTCACGATCGCTGATTCACCTCCAACAGGGAACGGCGCCCGTCAGTAATCCCAAGGTCGCGACCAGGACGACCGCTGGCGCCGCGACCGCCGTACCACGCGGCATCGCCGCGATACTCCGGTGCGGCGCAAGCAATTCCCGTGTTTTGAGATGATCGACCTGTATGCTTTTCTGGGTTGCATCCCTGGGTACGTCGCAGTCGAGACAGTATAGATACTGTTGCAAGAATTCGTGACACTTTTTGCTGGGAATTCTAATTCTCGCGTAAATTCTGCGCCCCAATCGCGTCTAACCTTTCGGAACCATCAACCATCCTGCCTGTGCAGCGACGCGCATGACGTAACAGCGCCCTCCGCCCCTCCTTCCGCCGCCGCCAGCCACGCGCTCGCCGCCACGGCCGGCCTTCGGGGCACCAGCGGCGCGACGGGAGGCGGCGGAAAGGCGGCGACGGCGGGGAGAAGGGGGAACCGGCCGATTGGAATCTCCCCGCACTGGAGCGCGAGTTGTGCGGGACGCGCGTGCGGCGTAATGGAGCGGCCAATCAGCGTGTACGTCGTGTGGTACGGCGCGTTTTCTGAGGCGCAGAAGCAGATGGTCCGTTCGTTCACCGCGTCGCTCAGCCCAAACGACGACCCGTCCGTCACAGGTGCTTTACCCTTCGTTGTAAGCAAGGACTTCCAGGAATTACAAGAAATTAAGGCTCAGCATCTTCGTTCTTCCGGATTCACACCACAACCAACCTGTTCCCATTGCTTCTCGTCCCTCTTTCCTCTTCCGTTCCCCCATCCTTCCCCTTGCTCCCCCCCTCTCCCTCACTCCATGCAGTTCCTCTCTGGTGGAACATCAATCGTCTGTATTACGACTCAAGCAGTTCCTCTCTGGTGGAACATCAATCGTCTGTATTACGACTCAAGTGGTAACCACATCTCTGCGTCCGTTACATGGGGCGGCGAGGTCGAGGACGCAAACTACTCCCGAGGGAAGACTCTGTCCGATGCTGACGTCAGGAACCTCATCACCAACGCAATCTCCTCCAACCAGCTGCCTTATAACGAGGACGGAGTGTACTTTGTGCTTTCGGATGCAACTGTATCCCAGGCGTGGGATATGCCGGGCGGCAGCAGACCCGCGTTCTGCACTAGCTTCTGCGGGTGGCACTGGTACGGCCGAGCCTCCAGCTTCGGCAGCATAGTGTACTCCTGGGTCGGAAACGCCGCAACGTTATGCCCCAGGTCTTGCATCACTCGAACCCTGCGTGCCAGCGGGGCGGCGCCGCCCAATCAGGACGCGGGGATGGACGGGCTGCTGTCGGTGTTCGCGCATGAGCTGGCAGAGGCGACCTCTAGCCCATTCATTGCCACGTGGTTCGATGGCACTGGGGAGGAGAACGCCGACAAGTGCTCGTGGCAGTGAGTGGCTGGCAGGGTGGGAGGGAGTGGTGGGAGTGAGTGGCGTCACTTCATCGTGAATTGCGAAACGTTTGTCACATGTCGAATGCATGTGGGGGTCAACAGCTCCTGATCCTTCCTCCCCACGCTCCACCCCTAACCACTCTTCCTGTCCCTCTGTCTCATGCGCTACAGGTTCGCCCCCATTCTTTCGGACGCATCAGGAGCGCGCTACAACCTGGTGGGGGTCAACGGTTCCAGGTTCCTCATTCAGCAGAACTGGGACCTCACCACTGGTGCCTGCGCCACCACTCTTCCCTACCCCCCACCGTCTTCCCCTCCCCCGCCGCCCAAGTTCCCCCCTCCACCTAAATCCCCCCCGTCGCAATCAAATCTGGAGAAGATGTGGAGGAGAATATGGGGGAGGGGGAAGCGATGAGGGGTTTGGGAGGGAAGGGTAGAGGGGGGTGGGTGGAAGGGAGTTAGGGAGGGAGGGGGTGGGGGGGGAGGGGGGAGGTGCGGGTCTCATTGCACGACAACCCCCATCTGCCTGGTCAGCTCGACAGGGTAGATAGTGGGTTGTCCCTGCCTGATGGGGCTATTGTCAATGGATGGGGTTGTTACCACCAGTGCTGTCTGCATGCCTGTGCCTGTACCGACAGGGCTAGTCAGCTGTGTTTTTGCCCCTGTCACCATTGCATGTAAAATGTGTATACAGCTTGGCTTCTCGTTGTCCCTACCACAAGGAGTGAATTTCAGAATACGTACGTTCTCACACCGATGTACTGTACACCGCCCATAGGAAAGTTTTTCCTTGTACACCGATGTACTGTACACCGCCATGGGCGGTGCGAGTGTGTGCATACATGGACTTGTTTCGCTTGTAGGCTTGATATCTGTCCCCCTATCCATATGCACGTATGAGAATATTGCGTTCTAGAGTTATTTGTAACAACGTACAACCGACCTACGTTTCTAGGGGGGCGGTGGGGCGGAAGTGAGCACGTGTGAGGGAGATCTCAAAACGCATCGGAGATTTTAGGAACTACTGTACAGTACAATGTACATGCTTTGTACACCTTGTTCTCGATAATTGCACACCCCTACTACTTTTTTTCCTGGCTACCCTTCTCGATCTTTGACTTGATACGACGGACACCCAGAAATTGAGGGACTATTAGTAAACAACGAAATTGACGGAATCCTAGAAAGAAACTCGCACTTAATGGTTGTGTTCAGGCCTACAGTTCGCGAGTCGTCGGATCCTCCTCCGCGGTTTTCAACATCTGTTGCAAACTACCATACGAAAATGATGGACATAGGGTAAATACTCCAGGGTGTGCAATAACCCCTGTGAAATAATCGAGAACAGGATGTACCGAGGACAAGGCGGAAGGGGGAAGCAACACCCATCCACCACAACCCACGCTCCAACCATCCACATCCGCTCGTTGCCCTTCCAAGGTTTGCCCTAATTTTTCCCGTCTCGCTTCCATCTTTGGTTAGCTTTAGCGACTCGGATCACTGGACTGGACTGGACCAGCGACTAGTAGGGCCCATCGCCTCGCCTCGCCTCGCCGACGCAAGCACCTCCTTGCCGCACGGCCACCGACCACATACGAACCAATTAAATCGCTCTCTTGGCAACCAAGCGGAAGCGACAACCACACGAGTGGTGTGATGAGGATTTATAACGCGTTGCGAGGGAATTTAGGTCGGCAAAACAACTATGGTCCTTGCTTTGCTGCGTGCACCTACCCCTCGTACGATCTGCATTTTCTGGTCATGGTGGTGGTGAGCTCGCCGCCGCCCCCCAAAAGCGCCATTGCTGCCGCCGTGACAGAGAGCAGATTCTTTCGTCGCGCTTCGTTCTGCTTCTTATCAACCTCGAAATGCCTCTCCAGAACGCCGCGCCTTCCGTAGCCATGGCTGCTCCACGGCGCCGCGCGACGCGCCAGCCGATCATCTCAGTAATGTGCCGCCAACACACCATCCTCATACTACCAACTTGGCTGCTCGTTGCGACGCTTCTTGCCGCCTCGTGCGCTTCGCTGACCGTCAGCCAACGACTAAGTAGGAGACATACAACGGCCCGCAGGCATTTAGCGCATCGGGAGGAATCTCCTATTGGTAAAGAGCAATTATCGCTGGCATACGCTCGCGCGAAGGAGTTTGCTGGCGACGATGAACCAGTGTTCTTACGACCGTTCGCAGATCGGCCAGAGTCGCAGGCGTCGCGTGGCAGTCGCACGCGGGCATCGCGATCGCTGATTCGCCTCCAGCAGGGAGCGGCGCCCGTCGGTAATCCCAAGGTCGCGACCATGACGACCGCTGGCGCCGCAACCGCCGTACCACGCGGCATCGCCGCGATTCTCAGGTGCGCCGCAGGCGATTCTGGGCTTGAGACATTCAATCTGGATGCTTTCTCTGGTCGGGACTGGAAGGCTAGTGCAAGAGTTTTCGGCAATTGCTGGGAATCCGGATTTTCGCTTTCTAGATTTTGGTGGCATTCCTACCAGCCTATGATGGTAGTAATCAATTCGCCCCTCAACCGTCATCCATCATCCATCATCCATCATCCATCAACCATCATCCATCAACCACCATCCATCATCTATCATCCATGCCATCTGTGCAGCGACGCAAATCCCGCAATGCTGGTCTCCGCCTCTCCTTCCGCCGCCACAAACCCCGCGCTCGCCGCCACAGCCGGGGCAGGGGATGGAGCGCAGCCAATCGGAATGTCCCCGCATTGGAAAGAAAAATGCGCGGGGCGCGTGTGTGGGGTGACGTCTCGACCAATCAGCGTGTACGTCGTGTGGTACGGCGCGTTCTCCGCCGCCCAGAAGCAGATGGTCCGTTTGTTCACCGCGTCGCTCAGCCCAAACGACGATTCGTCCGTCACAGGTGATTCTTGAGTTGTTTTCAGAAAAGAATCGTTTTCAGCGGCTCAGAAGCAGATGGTTCGCGGCACTCACCGCGTCGCTCAGTCCGTCACAGGTGCTGCACCCCTCGTTGTAAGCACTGACACATGCTGCGCCTCTGCCTTTGTTGCAAGCATCACAGCCGGAACAGATTCTAACTCTGAATCTCAGAATGCTCTGGTTTTTACTGCAAATTAAGCGGTACCCATTGCTGCTCTGTCCTCTCTTTTCCTCCTCTCCCTTGGCCTGCTATCCGCCCCTCGCCCTCACTCCATCCTTGCAGTTCCCCTCTGGTGGAACATCAACCGTCTGTATTACGACTCAAGTGGTAACCACATCTCAGAGTCTGTTACATGGGGCGGCGAGATCGAGGACACAAACTACTCCCGAGGGAAGAATCTTACTGGAGCTGAGGTCAGCGACCTAATCACCGACGCAATCTCCGCCAATCAACTGCCTTATAACGAGGATGGAGTGTACTTCGTGCTTTCAGATGAGACTGTATGCCAAGGGTTGTCACCCACCAAAAAGACAGGTTTCTGCGCTAGCTACTGCGGGTGGCACACGCACGGCCGAGCCTCCAGCTTCGGAAACATAGTGTTCGCTTGGGTCGGGAACGCCGCAGCATTATGCCCCAGGGCTTGCATTCCGGCACCTCTGCATGCCAGCAAAGCGGCGCCGCCCAATCAGGACGCGGGGATGGATGGGCTGCTGTCGGTGTTTGCACATGAGCTGATAGAGGCCTCGTCGAACCCGCTCGTTGGGATGTGGTTCGATGACAGCGGCGAGGAGAACGGCGACAAGTGCGCGTGGTCGTGAGTGTTTGGGTGGGGTGGGGTAGGGTGGGGTGGGATGGGGTTGGATGGGGTGGGAGGGAGTGGTCTCGTTTCTTTGTCTCCGTCTGTGTGATGATATTGTGAATCGCGACATGTTTGTGACATGTTTGTGACATGTTTGTGACATGTTTGTGACATGTTTGTGACATGTTTGTGACATGCTTGTGACATGTTTGTGACATGTTTGTGACATGTTCGTGACATGTTTGTGACATGTTTGTGACATGTGTGGGACATGCAGAATGCAGGTCCCTCCTCCCCACACTCCACCCCTAACCACTCTTCCTGTCCCTCTGTCTCTTGCCCTGCAGGTTCGGTCCATCCTAACAGACACATCAGGAGCGCGCTACAACCTGGTGGGGGTCAACGGCTCCAGGTTCCTCATTCAGCACAACTGGGACCTCACCACTGGAGCCTGCGCCAACGCCATCCCCTACCCCTTGCCGCCTACCCCTCTTCCACCGAAACCCCCTTCGCCTCCCCCCTCCCCGCCGAAAACCCCCTTTGCCTCCCCCCCGTCCGCCAAAACCCCCTTCACCTCCCCCCCGCCCGCCGAAACCCCCTTCGCCTCCCCCCCCTCCCCCAAAACCCCCTTCGCCTCCCCCCCCTCCGCCTTCCCCCCTTCGCCTCCCCCCCCCGCCTCTTCCCCCTCGGCCTCCCCACCCTCCGACCCCACCCCCTTCACCTCCCCCTCCTTCGCCTCCCCCTCCTTCGCCTCCCCCCACTTTGCCGAAACCCCCCCCCTCCAAAGTCCCCCTTGCCGAGGTCCCTCCCGCTGCAATCGATCCTGGAAGAGATTTGGAGGAGAATATGGTGGGGACAGAATCAATGAGGAGGGGTATGGTTGGGTGGAGAGTGGTGGGGTGGATGTGAGGGGGCGTAAAGCTTGGCAACCCCCATCTACCAGTAGTCTGCTAGACGGAGTAGACGGTGGTGCCATGGTGGGTTGTCACTGCCTGATAGGGCTATTGTCAATGGATGGTATTGTTACCAGCGCTGCCAGTGTGCCTGTGCCTGTCCTGACGGTTAGTCAGCTATGTTCCCCCCCCTGTACCATTGTATGTATCACCATTATATCGCCCTTGCATACCGTATACAATATGTCTGTCACATCCATTTGTGCACTGCCAGCTTGGTCTCTCTTTCTTCCCTCCACGTGGTATGTATGCCGGCTTTGATTGGACTTTTGTACACCACTGCACTGTGATGAATACACCACCACGCTCGTCGAGTCTCATCTCATACAATGCTGGTTATGTAGCAGTGAGATGTAGTACTGGGTTGTGCTGAGAAGCCTCACAAGGTAATATAACATTGGTACTGCTTTGCAGCGAGGAGCCTGTGATGCAAATGGGCTTCTTCGTGCTTCGCCTCTCTTTCATTCCGCTCCCCTACCTGGGTGCATGTGCAACAGGCATGGCCTTGAGTCGTTTGTAACAATGCATTGACAGTGGTTATAAACTCTTTTCTGCAAAACACTGTACTGGCAGTGTACAGCTGTACACCATTCCAGAATACAGCTACTAATGACTATCCGAGATTCGGCCAGAGTCTCTTGAGTAGCCGTTGCATATATTCTCCCATCCCCTTGGGGGGACGAGGAGGAGGGGGAAGGGCGCGCATGCGAGGGGATGGAGGGGGGGGAGTGGGGAAGGAGGGGGCGATGGGGGCGAGGGGGGAGGAGGAGGGGAGGGAGGGGGAGAGGGTGGAGAGGGAGGAGGAGGAGATGGGGGAGGTGGCGAGGGGGGAGGAGGAGAGGAGGTGGGGGGCTTGGAGGTGGGGGAGGGGGCGGTGGGGAGGGAGGGGAGAGGGCGGCGGAGGGGGGGAGGAGGCGAGGGAGGAGGGGAGGGAGGCGGAGGAGGGGGGGGAGGGGAGGCGGAGGGGCGGGGGGAGGGGCGGGGGGGGGGAGGAGGAGGAGCAGGCGGGTATGGCATGGTGAGCTGGCAGGTGCCGGTGTTGAGGTCCCAGTTCTGCTGGATGAGGAACTTAAAGCCGTTGACGCCCACCAGGTTGTACTTGCCCCCTGTTGAGTCGGTAAGAATGGGGTTGAACCTGCGGTGGCAATGAGGCAGTGGGGAACAGGAAGACGGAGGAATGGGGGAAGGGGGAAAAGAAGAGGGATGAGGAGGTGCGTGTATGGCAGTGCAGGGGATGCCGAGCCGAGTATAGCACCCGCTAGTGTGACTTGACGCGTGTTCAGAGTGAGCCACAGCAGGCTTTGCAACGGGATCATGGGCCACATGGGTGGAGTTTTGAGTCGACCAAAAACTCGACACATGGGTGTGGCACATGTGGGAGATTACTGGGTTGAAGCACTTTCTGTTGACTTATTGAATGGTGTGCGGAATCTCCTTTCAGCGCCATCACACCATTCCCCCCCACCACCCCCACCATTCTCACCACTCACCCCACCATCTGCACTACTCCTCCCACCACCGCCTCACACTCACTTCCATGCGCACTTACCCACTCCCCCGCCCCACCCATCCTCCTTCCTCCCCCCTCCCACACACTTACTTCCACGCGCACTTGTCCGCGTTCTCATCCCCCTGATCGTCAAACCACGTCCCCACGAACGGTGACGACGCTGCCTCCGCCAGCTCATGCGCAACACAGAGAGCAGCGCATCCATGCCCACGTCTTTATTCGGCGCCTTGCTGGCCGTGCGAATGTCACTGGCGATGCACGAGGTGGGGCACTGGTATGGAGGGGGGAAATGGGGGGGAGAGGCAAAGAGGGGCAGCTGGTTGAGCCGGAGAGCGAACACCAACAGTAACGCATCCATCCCCACGTCTTTATTCGGTGCCTTGCTGGCCGTGCGGATATCACTAGCGATGCACGAGGTGGGGCACTGGAAGGTCGAAAGAAGGGGGGGGGGGGGAAGTGGGGGAAGGTGGGGGGATGTGATGTGTCTGCTTGAGCTCATGCGCGAACACCAACAGCAGTGCGTCCATGTTGGGCCCACGTCCTTGTTGGGTGCCTTGCTGGTCGTGCGGATGTCACTAGCGATACAGGAAGTGGGGCACTGGAGGGATGGGAGGGAGGAAGGTGCAGGAAGGGGGGCGGAAGTGGGAGGAGGTGGGGGAATGTGACCGTTTGAGCTAGTGAGCAAACACTGACAGCTCCCAAACTCACAACCCTCCACAGCCCCACCACTCCACCGCCCCCCAACACCCGCTTCCCCCTTTTCCCCAACACGCACGAGGCAGTCAACGCGGCCGACCTAGGCGTAGATGAAGGTTCAAGTGGGATCAACCAAAACGACCGTTCCCAAACCAACCCACACCAATACTAAACCCAAGCCACACCTCCCAACCGTTCTCAACACCCCCTCCCCCGCACGCACGAGGCGGTCGGCGCGGCCGACCCAAGCGTAGATGAAGGCGCCGCGGGAGGGAGCAGTGCCGTAGAAATGCCACCCGCAGAACGTGGCGCAGAACTTGTCCGTTGATGACCATTGCTGGGGGAGAAGAGGGGGAGGGGGATGGGATGGGGGAACTTGGATATTGTGAGATCCCACACCAAGGAGGGCGCCGTGCCGTAGAAATGCCACCTGCAGAACGTGGCGCAGAACTTGTCCGTTGAGCTCCATTGCTGCGGAAAAGAGGAGAGGGGTTGAGGGGCGTTGAGGGGCGTAGAGGGGCGTTGAGGGGTGAGAAGGCCGAAAGGCAAGCTTGCAACTTGAGAGATCTCAAAGAAAGAAGGGAGGAGACCAGGCGGCGGGGGAGACATGACGAGATCAAGAAAGAGAAGGGGAATCGTTAACCCAAACACACAAATACACAATTTCGCTAACCTGGTTCACATATTGGTCCGACAGCACGAAGTACACTCCATCCTCGTCATAAGGCAACTCGCTTGTAGCAATGGCCGTTGCGACCACCGCTTCCACGTCATCCAGCCACAATGTTTTCCCTCGCGAATACCCCGTGTCATCTTTTTCCTTGACCCACGTTACATTCGACGAGATGAAACGCCCCTGTTGGTCGTAGTACAGCCGGTTGATGTTCCACCAGAGGGGAACTGTAACGGCGGGATCGTCGCTCGGACTGAACGACCTGGTGAGCGTACGGACGAGCTGCTTCTGCGACTCGGAGAAGTAACCGTACCACACCACGTACACTCGGATCGGTTTCCACATGACACCGCATCTGTCCGTACAGTAGTAGCTCCAATGCGGGCTGATGCCGATGGGGGTCGGCGTTGACGCCAATGATGACGTGGATGACGCAGTAGCTGACGTGGATAAGGTGGAAAGGGTTTTAGTAGTTCCAGTAGCCTCGGAAATGGGCCGCGCGATTCCCCTCTTGAGATTTGCAATCTGGCTGCTACTATCAACAGTACTGCTGTCTATTGTATCACTGCCTGTTGTCAATGTATCGACCGGATTGGTAGCGGTTTGAGACAATGATCGAGGCGCGGCGGTGCCCGCGGCCGCATCCTCCTCTTCCCCCCCCCAGCTTCCCCCGCAGCTTCCCCCAGCTTCCCCCGCGGCTTCCCCCGAGAGGTCCTTCTTTCCCCCCCGCCACTGCCACCGCCTTGCGCCGATCATTCCCCCGGACGCCCAGTTCCCGCGCGCGCCGCCGCGGATGCCCTCGGGATCTCCGGCGGATGATGCGGCCACGTGGCGGAGTCCAGCGGTTTTATCGGGAGTTTCTTGCCCGAGTAAAACGGGCAGGAGCGGGGTTGGAGCAGCGTGATTCGCGTTCCGCCACCCGACAGGGCGGAGGGGAATGGGCAGAGTAGGCCTGTTTATATTCCGCATGGTTCTACTGTTACTAACAGTACTTCCTACACTAAGCCCGTTACTTCTTGATGAACTTAGTAACCCTGTATCTGAGGATCTCCGTACGGGCGGCGCGGGATTCGCGTCTAGTTCGCCCGAGCACGGCGTGTAGTACGCTAATAGTAGCAGCACGAGCATCGTCGCCGCAATCCACGGTGGACTCGGCCGCCCGGGGATGACGTGGTTGCGCCGCGCCGCTCGAATGCTGCCGCGTCGGTGATAGGTGCAAGCCATTTCCGAAAATATACAGTATCGCTGCAAAGCTTCTAGAAAACTAATATATTATTACGAGAAGCTAGTAATATCTGGGTTTGTATAGGCCCTGACAAGGGGGTGAGAATATTTCCTCCGCCGTGAAACGCGCTAGCAGTGCGTGGTGATTGTCGCGAGGCGCAACACTGCCAATGAGCAGCCTTCCCCCCCAACGTGAAATGCGATGGTGATTTGGTCACGACACAACTCACGATCTGGAAGCAACTTGTGGCGAGAGGAGCACCGCATTGCACCGAAGCTCGAAGCCACCGTTATCCCAGGCGTGTCAGGTCCTGTTGTGCTGCGGATACACGGCTGACAGGTGGTATCGGTGAGGACTTGGGGGAGAGGAGGGGGGGAGGGGGGGGGGTATGAAAAGAAGCGGTGGGAAAAGGGGAAGACAGCAGGGAGACATGCGATCGCGGTTGCTCTACTCACCCCGCATCTCGATTCCCAAATTCTTGTTTCGATCCCCTCGGCTAGCTCTGTTCCTTCCTGCCTTTCACGTCTTGCCCCTCGCGCGCTTCGGCAGCTGCCACCAGGCCTATGTTTCCTGTCGACGTGTTTGGGGTTGAAACTACACGACGCGTGAAATGATGTGGTGTCTGCCCGGACGTGGGCTGCTGTTGTGTGAATCCGCGTGAAATTTGAAATGGTCGGTCAGATCACTTTTCATCACAGGTCTTTGTTCCGAAACACCTGAAACGGGAACCTGATGGATGTATACGTACGGGCAGGCATACTGCAATGTGCTGGACATATGCGGCATTTGGTCGGTTTTCCCTTTGAGATGGAGTGGAGATACTACTGGGCAGCTGATAGAACCTGGTGAAAAGCTTTCACACAGGGTTTTCAAAACACTGTACGGGCAGGTGATATCTTGTTTCCCCCCAACTAATGAAACGTTGTCATGTGGTTCGCCGAGTCAGGACAAGTTGCCACTACGTCTCTCCATCATGGTACAGTGGGTCAACTGTACAAGAGTTTTGCAACTGTCAGTTTTGATGAACTATGGTAAGCAATTCTTCTCCTTCTATAATTGCGGAACACTATGTAGAGCGTACACACAAGGGCTCCCCTAATTGTAGAATTTTAGGTTGGAAAGAGATTTCGCGCTGCCGATGTCAGGCTTGTAGAGGCATACAGTATAACGAAACGAGTACAGCAAACACCAGCTCCTGCACCAGGTTCTTGCTTCATAGTAGTCTAGAACTTAGACACCCACCTCCAGCTGTTTCCTGTCGAACACCTGTGGTTTGCATATTTACGCTGCGTGTAGTACGCCTTCGCGCCGCTTCTCAGCTTGTCGATAGAACAAATGGCGAAGAAGTCGAGAGAGACGAGAAAGCGGCAACTCGAGTTCGATCTACAGAGTAAGAACGAGGCGTCGACGGGCCATGCTTAGGTCGATATGCGACAAGTCTCGTTTGAGGCTCGAATGCATTTTGACAACGCGTGTGTCGTCCTGTGCAGTGAGCTGGTAACATCTCGGCGACTCCGTTTTTTACTGTGATGGCAGTGCTTGCTCAGAACGCGACGCTCCCCTGCCTCCTTCAAAATCCCCTAAATCCCTCTTTAACCTCCTTCTACCCGTCACCCATCCTCCCCATCTCGCGTCCCATCTCGCACACGCGCTTCCCTCTTTCTTCCAGGAGAAAAGGAACAGAGGGGAAAGCTGCAAAAGAAGAAGGAAGAGAAGTCGTTGAAGATGAAGGTAGGCTGGGATAAAAAGGCTAATTTTGTGCTTCAATGCGGAGTTTCTAAAGCTCCACTTTCTGTGGTTTCTCTCCGATGTTTACGACTGCCTACCTACCTGTTGATCGGTGGCAGGTTGATTCCAAGTCTGGTGTTGCTAAGAAGAAAAAGGCTTCAAAGTTTCAGCTTCGGGTGCAGAAGAAGCTTCAGCTAAAAATAGGAAAGCGCGCAGCGCATAAACAGATGAAGGAAGCTGCGAAGGCTTCAATGGACATAGAATAAGAAGATGCTTAAACAAAATTTGTTGTAAGAGGCAGTTCGAATATATGTACAAGAGACGCTAGCATTTACTGCCCAGCTACTTCAGCTAGAAAAAAATCGGCGATCATTGATTGGCCCTCACTTCCTCTAGCTCTTGCACTGAATGCGCTCCGTCCGCCTCTTCAACCGCCAGGTCCTCGTTTCCCCAGCTTTGCTCCGCGCTGAAAGTGCTTCGGTCTTCTGATAGGTCGCTAGGGACTATCTCGGCTATCTCGTTACACTCTGAGTCTGTGTCGGAATCGGCGTCAGGCAGCCGCGAACATACGGTGATTAAGGCCCGCGAGCAGCCGCCGCGAATTCCGCCGGAAATGGCAGCCAAGCAGGAAAGAGCGGAATTCGGGGTGGCTGGGCACTTTTGAGGACAAGAAGGAAGTATCACGTAGCCGTTTGTTCTCATACCCGCTGAAGCCATTCGAGTCGAAGAACCAAAACTGGAGCAGGACACAGATGTGCTGGGAAGAATAGAAGACTAGTTGTCTAGTATGCTCACAGACAGTTGATCAGCGAATAAGCTACTCGAAAAATCGCCACACACCGTACCCTGCGGTCTAGGTAGAAGGGGTCTCATTGAACAAGCTGTCGGCTGAAGCTTCTGAGGGTCAATGTTGCGGTGGGAGTTCGTCGTACAAGGCGCCGCAGACGATGGTTTTATCCGTCGCTGGGCCGCGCGAACAGTGAACACAGGTTGGGTTGAGGGCGCATGCGAAAATGTCGAAGGTGTGCGATTTTAGCCACGACAGCACGGCAGCGAATCCACTCTCCTCCCTCGCTAGCAGTCGCAGGGACACGTATGGGTGCTGCTGTAATCCCAAACCGAGGTGGGTGACGTTTGGGATGAGGCCTGGTGCCAGTCAAACCCATTTTCCTCGTCAAAAGCTAATCGTTGCAAGTAAAACGACTAACCTTCTCAGGGTACACACACTCTCTATAGGCAGTATACGTAAGACGGGTCCCCGCGAAGGACGGGTCGCTGCGTGGATGCTTTTTAGTGATTCAGGATATTCTGCGGCTCCAAGAACTTCCCTCGATAGTGTCACGTGATGCGAAGACCTTGGGATGTTCTGCAAATGCCTCTGCACGAATCAGCTTCGTTCCCTCCCCTCCCTTCACCTTCCTCAACTCCGCATGTCCCTCTCCGCAGAAGACAGCGAGGAAAAAGGCTGAAGCAGCAGGGAATAGGCGCAGCCATTCCCTCAGCAGCAGGTTACATTTACAGTTCCGCTTGTGCTTGTGATGCAGAAACGGCTTTATTTTCTTGGAAGGTAGCATGGCCCTGCTAGGCTAGTAGGTAGCATTTTCTACCCATTATGAGAATACATGCTCAGGTTGGAAGAAGACGGCCAGGATGAACTGATCGTCGTGCCATCTTATTTCCTATTTCGTTATTATTTATTGAGAGGTAACACATAACTTTATTAAGCAACTTAGCACCTGAGCTTCCGCGACTCTATCTGACGGATAATGCGTTAACGGGCGGAGAATAGCGACATCGTTCTCCATTTTTCGTCGTATTGTAGCACGATGACGCTTTATTTAAGCCGTAGCCGTAGAAGGCGGAGGGCTGATGGTAATAATGGAGCTGCTAAGTCTGCCATTCGAGCTCGGCAGCTGAAGGCTACTATTGGCGTGGACTACAGGTTTGCAGCACACAGGCATTTTCACACCGAAAGACCTTTTTCGTCGAGACGAAAGCGTTTCAATATGCTGCATGCTGAAGCTGAAGCGCGATCAGTGGGATATCTCTCTAACAACGAGCCTCTTAAGCCATTGCCGAAGCCATCCGAACCGGGTGTAGCTAGTCAGTCTTCGTCTGAAGCCGGTCGGTCGTTAGAAGTCACGGTCGCAGAGCATCGCTCTGCTCGTCGCCATCCACCGATACCGTACGACGTCGCATCTGTCGCACAAGGTAACCCCGCCGGTCAAGATGCCGCGGGGGGTCTTCGCGGATCAGGCGTCGCGACAGCGCAGCAGTTCCCTTTCCCCCTTCCCATTCCTCCTGCAGCGAACCGCCCTACCGGTCCCATCGTTCCCGTTGACCCTCCTCCCATCTTCAATTTCCCACCCGTGGCGAACCGCCCTACCGGGCCTGTGTTTCCGTTTCCCCCGGCCCCGTCCCGACCGCCAATCAATATACCTCCGATCAACCCTCCCCCTACCACGTTCCCACCCCCTGTCGCTACCCCACCTCCGCCTGCGAAAAGCCCACCGCCACCGGCTACCCCTCCGCCTAAGCCGCCCGTTAACCCGCCTCCTAAGCCGCCTGTTAACCCGCCTCCTAAACCACCTGTTTTTCCGCCTCCTAAGCCTCCCACTAACCCGCCTCCTAAGCCACCTACTTTTCCGCCTCCTAGGCCTCCCCCCTCTCCTCGCCCACCTCCTCCCGCTCCTTCTCCTCCCCCGCCTCGCCCCCCCAATCCCCCTCCTCGCCCGCCGTTGACCCCCCCGAAACCGCCTCCTCAACCCCCCAAGCCTCCGGCTAGGCCTCCCAACCCCCCGCCACGCCCCCCCAAGCCGCCATTGACTCCCCCGAACCCGCCCCCACGTCCCCCCCACCCGCCGCCTGTCCCTCCGCCCGTGCCATCTCCCAGTCCTGCCCCTCCCCCTCTGATACCTCCACCTCCGCCTGAGACAACTCCTCCCCCAGTCCTTCCGCCCGCCCCAGCCCCGTTCCCCCCACCGGTCACTCCCTTCCCTCCCCCTTTGGTACCATCTCTGTTTCCTCCGCCTTCCCCGCCGTTCGTCCTCCCGCCGCCTCCGCCCGAATCGTCGGGGCTATCGATGGGGGCGATTATAGGCATTGCTGTCGGCGGCGCCGTGGGACTGATTTTCCTCGTCACGTGCGGACTCCTCGCCTTCTTCTTCCTCGTACCGAAGAAGAAGGATGGCGAGCGAACCCGCTCCCGCGGCGGCGGCGGCGGCAGCGCGGCACCAGGAACCGTGGGCGGCGCAGAAAAGGCGCCGTTTTACGCGCAGCCGCATCTGGTCCGCGGGGTGCGCGGACGTCAGGCGGCAGCTGCGGCTGCGGTAGCGGCCGGCGCGGCAGCAGGCGGAGCGGCAGCAGCGGTGGCTACAGGAGGCGGGCCTGGCGAGGACGAGGACAGCGAGGAGGGCAATAACGCGTACGGCGACGGCGCGCCCGCTGCTGGCGAGGAAGAAGAGGAGTTTTACGAAGATGCGGACGGAGCAGCGGGAGACGGGGAGGAAGCGGACGAGGATCTGTACGGGGAAGGGGAGGGCGACGGGGAAGCGGAAGGGGAAGCGGAAGCGGAAGGGGAAGGGGAAGGGGAAGGGGAAGAGGACGATGAAGACCTATACGAAACCGGTGGCGACAGCGGCGGGCCTTATCTGGGAGGCGACTCAGGAGGGGGCGCAGGCGGAGCGGGCGCAATCGCGGGCGCGGGGGTCGTCGCCGGCGCAGCAGCGGTCGCGGGCGGCGCAGCAGCCGCCGTCGCGCTGGGAGACGGCGACAGGATGAGCGAAGAAGCGGACGACGAGTGGTGGTTCCCTTACGAGGAACTCGAGGAGGCTACAGATGGATTTTCCGATAGTAACAAGCTCGGGGAGGGCGGGTTTGGGCCTGTGTACCGCGGAGTGCTGGCGGACGGGATGCCTGTGGCGGTGAAGGTGCTGAAGGTGGGGGGCCATCAGGGGGAGCGCGAGTTCCGCGCGGAGGTGGATATTATCAGTCGCGTGCAGCACAAGCACCTGGTCACGCACCTGGGGTACTGCATCGCTAGCGCGCAGCGGCTGCTCGTGTACGAGCTGGTTCCCAATGGGTCTCTGGAAGATGCTCTGCATGGTGAGTCAGGGATGGCTACCTGGTAACTGTATCCTGTTTGGTCGTTGTAGAGGGTGAAGAAACGGATACCATGTGCGGTTCAATAACCCTAATTTGTTTGATATCACTATCGAAAACCCTGGAGGAATGCTACTCTCGGTTTCTCTTCTCGCCCTAACCGGACCTTTCCTGCTTTCTCCCCTCACCCGCCAACCGCACCTTTCTCCTTCTGCCTTTCCCAGGCGAGGGCCGGCGCCTGCTGGCATGGAATTTTCGCATGAAGATCGCTCTGGGTGCGGCCAAGGGCCTCGCGTACCTGCATGAGGAATGTGAGTCGCCCCTTTTCTTTCTCCTCTTCCCACGTCGCATTCCTGCACGAGGAGTGTAAGTTGCACTGCGCTCCCTTCCTCCTCTCACCTTGCTCACCTCGACCGTCCCCTTAACCCCCCACCCCCCCCCCCCCCCCCCCTTTCCCTCCCCTTTCCCCCCCCCCCCCTTCCTTCCACACGTCTTTCCCCCCACCTCTCCCCCCCATCTCCTCCCACCTCATTCCCCCTGGGTGATCTCAGGCCACCCGCGCATCATCCACCGCGACATCAAGTCGTCCAACATTCTTCTCGATAAGGACTATGAGGCCAAGGTGGGTTTGCCTAAGCGCGGATAGCATAGTTGGGCTGCGAGGGCAAGGTGGGAGTGCGAGGGCAAGGTGGGCAACGCTGAGACAAATGCACACACATGGAAGATGCCAACGAATGGGGCACATAAACGTCATGAAGGATAGGACCCGCAGCCACGGTACCATGAAACATCACATGCATCTTCAATGACGTGCATTTATTGCGAATTGATGACATCCCTGCATGTCTGTCCTATCCCGTGCTGCCAGGTGGCGGATTTTGGTGCTGCCAGGCTGGCAGCAGAGGACGCCATGCCAATCATCACACGTGTAGTTGGCACTTTCGGGTGAGTCATTCATGTAAATCTGTTCGCACATTCTCATCACCTCACACCCTCCCCGCCCCCTCCCCCCTCTCCCTCCCTCCCCCCGTTTCCCACCGCTCTCGTTTCCCACCGCTCTCGTTTCCCACCGCTCTCGTTTCCCACCCCCTCCATTTCCCATCCCTCCCAAGCCCCACCCCCCTCCCTACTCCTTACTGAAAACCAATCTTCCCCAGTCTACCAGGACCCATGCCACCATCTCGACCTGTCCCCGCGCCCTTTCCTGCACCACTTGCCTTACATTCCCTCTTTTCCTTGTTACCTCTTTTCCAGATGCCAGGCAATCTTGCATCAGCGGAGGGACTTTGAGCTTACTAGAATGTTTCCCTTCTTCGTCCTGCCCTATTTCACCCTACCATATTTCAGCATACATAATTTCACCATACCCTATTTCACCCCACCCTATGTCACCCTGCCTTATTTCACTCTGCTCCTTGTCACCCTGGCCTATGTTACATTATACGCCTTTGATTCTAACCTCCTTGTATGGTGACCACCCAGGTACTTGGCGCCAGAGTATGCATTGACGGGCAAGCTGACGGAGAAGTCAGACGTGTTTTCGTTTGGAGTGGTGCTGCTGGAGCTTATAACGGGGAAGAGGCCCGTGGAGCAGGAGAAGCCGCAGGGCAGCGACAGCCTCGTCGAATGGGTGAGTCAGCTTATAACGAGGACAATGCCTTGTGCCATGCACCTGCCACAAAGTGGAACTTATAGAGCAATCCCATTGCATCATCCCACTTTTTCTCTCGCCTGCCCTTGTCCTGGAGCTGGACCAGTAGTCTCTCTCCTATAGGTAGTGGGAGAAATAGGACGATACTGATAGTCTCTCTCCTACTTTTCTCCCTTCCCCACCACCTTCCACCAGGCGCGGCCCCTGCTGGCAGACCCGGAGTTGGACGGGTGTTACGGGCAGAGGGAGATGGAACGACTGGTCTCTTGTGCTAAGAGGGAGGGGCGTATGAACAGTCTCTCACACTGCTTTCTTTCTCCCCATTCCCCACCAACCGCCAGGCGCGGCCTCTGTTGGCAGAACGGGCAATGGAGGAGCTGGCAGACCCCGAGTTGGACGGGTGTTACGGACAGAGGGAGATGGAACGACTGGTCACTGCCGCTGCTCTCTGTGTGCGCCAGTCCGCTGTGCTGCGCCCGCGCATGAGCCAGGTGGGTGTGCCGTGGGCTGTAACACGTGCTATAGCACTGGCTGTAGCACGGCTGCAGCACTGATTGTAGCGGGTTGCGGGAGGAGTCCCCATTATAGCTCTTGATGCTTGCCAGGCTCTTGCTCTCCCATGCGTCATGCAACCCCCCCCCCCCTTTTCCCTTCCCCCCCCGCCCCCCCCTTCCCCACATCCCTCCAGGTGGTGGCGATGATATAGAGGGGCGGAACGATGTGGAGGTGGAAGCGACAGACGACGAGGGGGGGAGTGGCCTGTGAGAGAGTGCAGTCTAACTCTTGTTGTTCTCCCTCCCATGCCCAATGCACACAAAATCCCCCAACACACTAGGTGGTGGCTATGATAGAGGGGCGGAACGATGTGGAGGTGGAGGCCACAGACAACGAGGGGGGAAGCGCGTTGCGGGAGAGTGCGGAGTTCTCAGGAGGAGAGCTGGGGAGTCGAGAGGACATGTACCCTGAGGAGATCGTGCAGCAGTATCCGCACAGTGCTGACAGCAAAGGGAGTGCTGGGGTGAGTGCTGGGGTGAGTGCTGGGGTGGGATATTTGTGCGTGCGGATGAGGGAGTGAATGTGGGGAGAATGCATGGAGTGGGTGTGAGAGAGAGAGGACATGTATCCTGAGGAGATCGTGCAGCAGTATCCGCACAGCGCCGACAGCAAAGGGAGTGCTGGGGTGAGTAGACATATGTGAGTGGAGAGGGGTGAATGCATGTGGAGGAGTGCATGTGGGGGAGTGCATGTGGGGAGACTGCGTGTGGGGGAGTGGAAGGGAGGTGGGGAGTCGCGAGGACATGTATCCTGAGGAGATCGTGCAGCAGTATCCGCACAGCGCCGACAGCAAGGGGAGTGCTGGGGTAAGTAGGGATAAGTAAGTGTAGAAGGGTGAGTGAGAGGGGTAGCTGGGGACTCGAGAGGACATGTACCCTGAGGACATCGTGCAGCAGTATCCGCACAGTGCTGACAGCAAGGGGAGTGCTGGGGTGAGTGCTGGGGTGAGTGCTGGGGTGGGATATTTGTGCGTGCGGATGAGGGAGTGAATGTGGGGAGAATGCATGTGGGGTGGAGGGAGGTGGGGATTCGAGAGGGCATGTATCCTGAGGACATCGTGCAGCAGTACCCGCACAGTTCCGACAGCAAAGGGAGTGCTGGGGTGAGTAAACATATGTGCGTGCGGATGGGGAAGAAGAGAGAACGTAGGGAGTGGCTGTGTGACAGAGAGGGCATCTAGCTTGGCGAGACTGGGTAGCAGGATTCCCATGGTGCTGAGTGCAAGCGGAGCACTAGGGTGAGTAGACATATGTGAGTGCTGATGATGGAATGCATGTGGGTGGGAAGAGTGTATGTTGGGAGAATGCATGTGGGGGAGTGGGAAAGGTGACGTGTGAGAGAGGTTTTGTACCCAGCCAGAGGGTATTGTTGTGCAGCAGTATTCCCACAGTGCTGAGAACAAGGTGAGCGCTGGGGTGAGCGCTGGGGTGAGTGCAGATGGGGGTCTGTGGGGAGCATGCATGGGGGAGAAGTGTACGTGGGGGGATTGCATGTAGGGGAGTGGAGGAAAAAGGTGGTGTGTGAGAGAGAGGACATGTGCCCAGAGGAGATGTGCAGCAATACCCCCGGACCAGAGTGATATTGTGCACTGTTGTCCCCTGTCATATCCTATTTTTCACTGCTTTATCACCCCACCCTATTCATTCCCATCTCATCCCGCACACCCACTGCCCATGATCCCTTACAGGGCAAGGGCAAGAAGGGACGGATGGCAGCACTAGCAGCAACAGCAGCAGCAGCGGATTTCACACACAGCCCCACTTTTATCTTTCATCCCCACCTCTCACACCTCCCCCAATCGCCTCTTCCCCTCTCCCCAACCCCTACAGGGCAAGGGCAGAAAGGGCACATGGCGGCACTAGCAACAGCACAGCAGCAGCAGAGCTGACACCATGCACACTTTTGCTCTCTCTTTCTCCCCCATCCCATTCCACCCCCTGCAGGCCAAGGGGCGGAAGGGTCGCATGGCAGCGCTAGCAGCAGCTGCAGCAGAGCTGACACCAGGCCACACCTTTGCCTCTGCCACCTCTGCTACCAGCACAGACCCCCTCATTGCCAACACCTCCCCCTCCTCCCAGGGCCAGATGCAGCCTCCCCCAGATTTACCTCCCCCACCGCAGCAGGCAGGGCCGTCTGGGGAATGCCTCTGCCGCTGCCGCCCGGGCGCAAAGGGGGCGGTGGCAACGGTGGTGGTGGGTGGAGAGGAAAGTGAGGGGAGGGGTTTTAAGGGGTAGATTGGTTAGCGATTGAAATAAGGATTTCTATGACTCCAGTTGGAATGGTGGTGGTGTGAATGAGTGCTTGTGGAAGTGCTGGTTGGACTAGCATGGCCTTGTAAGTTATTTAGCTTATGTTACTACCAATGAGAACTAGTTAATTGAATCTATGTTATGTTTCTAGTGCTTCAGATAGGGTTTCCGTATCATTTAAGCCCAGCTGTAAAAAATGTTTCTGCTGGAAGCAAATGGTTTTGTGGAGTTAACAACGGCTAGCGATAGAGTGCCTACTAAACAACGTACGCTATAACATCTTATATCTTCAAATGTACGGAACGTCAATAGCGAAATACCTGGGAGGAACACAGGTGCGGTGTGGATCCACTAAATTGAACACGTGGACCCTCAAGCATGAGCTAACTCCGCCTGTGGATCCAGGGATAATCCACGTCATTTTGACTCGCGGTTCGTTTCCGTTACCCAATCGTGGCTCATCAAAAAGCATCTCTGACCGTCTATTCGGGCGTCGATAGGACCATCTCCACAAGAGACCCAAATGCAACCACACTTCAATCCGCGAAGCAATCTCAGCCCTGCGTTAACAATCACAGATAATCTCTACCGTCCACAAAGGCGCTCGAACGAGCCGCGCCGTAATGCTTCCTGTCCGCCACACCACACTCCCCTCATGCGCGAAGCAGGTTATCTCAGCCAGCGTCTTTATTTGCTCAGTTGTACAAGTAGTCTGAACTATTACTAGTGCGGCGGAATCTTGAAACAGTCCAAGAAGAGTTCATCCCTCTTACGCTGATCTTGGCGCTATCGTCGCAGTAAGGCAGTCTAGTCAGTATCATCGCTTTAGGTTATGGATATATCCAATCTCTATCGCCGCCGCGTTGGAATGACGACCGGTTTGACCGTAGCATTGACATTATCGACGTTAGGAATATTCGTCGTTAGAACCGCGAACGCGTACTCGGCGAGCTCGCCAACGACTGTCGCATGCCCTCCGTTACAATGCGACGTCACACAGCGAGGCGTGCTTTGGAACCACCCGAACCTCGGCAATCTCAATGACCTGGAGCTCACGGGGAGATTCGCACGTCCGCCAAGTGCAGCGAGATCTGCGCCTCGACTCCCGGCTGCGACGTGTGGATGTTCGGACTCGTGTCAACCGGAGGTGCGCTGAGTTTAATGTTCTGGCACATCCTTTTCATGTCCATCGTACGTCGCGCCGCAGAAGCTTTTCACACATGCAACAAGATGTGCGCTATATAACGGCGTACAATTGTAACAGGAACGGCAGTCGTGCTTTTGATGTCATCGGTATTTTGCACGATTATTCCGCTTTTTGCTTTTTATTCTTTGCGAAGTGCTCTTTGCTCACTTTCTCCGCATTCCCGGTCGCTATTCCGTTGCCGGCACCGTCGTCTCGCCTCCTCCGCAGCGTATTGTAAAATGTGGACGGCAGAGCAGAGTCCTTGCCGCCCAGACGCCTTCGGTGACGTCGCGTACGATCCGACCCCGCGAATCGAGGGCTTCTTTGGGTTCGGTGGGAATTGCAATGCCGGCAGCACCGCCAAAATCGCAGTCGCCGCCGATGATTCGACGACGGGCTCTGCGACACCAGGCCGTGCGACAGCGTCGCCGACACAGGGCGACGGACTCGTCGGCGACGAGGACTCTGCGAATGGCGGAGAAATTCTCAACGTTGACGTTGCGGTGGGCGTGACGGCCACAGCACCCGCGAACAGTTCAGATCCGAAGTCGCTTGAAATCTCCCCCGCAATGTCCGGACTCTCGGCGCAAGCGGAGGAAGCGGGGGAGCCGCCGCTTGTGGAGGCGGCAGTTGCGGTGCGGTTGCGCGGACAGAAGCAGTCGGACCTGACAGTTCCTGGATTTTCCGTTGCGGGGGAGGCTAGTTCCGCCGAAACGAGCCCCGGCGTTGCTCCTGTGAATGCGCGTGGTCCTGAGGCGGTAACGGCGCAGGCTGCGCCAGACAGGGCAGTCCGGGGAGAGGCGCTAACTGCATCCGCAGCGGGAGTGGCGGGAGTTGCGGATGCTCTGGAGAGGCAGCAAGGTAGGGGTGTTGGACCAAGGGATGTGAATGAGGTGACGGGATAGAAATTATCAAGTGGCAAGATCAGAGTTGCAACTGGCCGCGCACGGGCTTCATCTTTAATCGCCCGCACCAGGTACTTCATGCGTCATCCCTGCGCACATTCTCTCCCCCTGTCTCCTACTGCCATCACACCAGGCCCCACGGCGCAGTGTCCTGATTTCCGCTGCAACTGGCCTCTCACAGGCTTTTTCTTTAACCATCCGGGCAAGGGCCACCAGGCGCCCCAATACTGTCCCTCCCTGTCTGTGACTGTCTCCCACTCACACCTTGCCCAACAGGCCCCACAGCCCAGTGCCCGGACTTCCGCTGCAACTGGCCACGCACAGGGTTCTTCTTTGACCGTCCGGGCAAGGGCCACCAGGCGGTGATCGTGACGCCCTACACCAACCAGCCGTTCGAGTGCTGGCGCATCTGCCGCCGCACCGAGCACTGCGCATTCTGGATGTTCGAGATGCAGGCCCTGCAAGGTAGGCAGTGAGGCGAGGAGGCAGAGTGAAGGGGGTGGGAGAGGTGGGAAGCAAGGGAAGGGCATCGTGTGATTGTGACGCCCTACACCAACCAGCCGTTCGAGTGCTGGCGCATCTGCCGCCGCACCGAGCACTGCGCATTCTGGATGTTCGAGATGCAGGCGATTCAAGGTGAGCGGGGAAAGGAAGCGCAGGTGGGGGGATGGGAGAGGTGGGAAAGAAGGGACGGACAGTGTTTGAGGTGTGATCGTGACGCCCTACACCAACCAGCCGTTCGAGTGTTGGCGCATCTGCCGCCGCACCGAGCATTGTGCCTTCTGGATGTTCGAGATGCAGGCCCTGCAATGTAGGTGTTACTTCTGAAAATTGTCTGCACATCATCCTAGGCGCATCTGCCGCCGCACCGAGCACTGTGCCTTCTGGATGTTTGAGATGTAGGCCCTTTAAGGTAGGGAATGGCTGGGGATATGGGAGCATTGAAAAGTAGAGAATGAGGATGGTGGATTGTTACCGGTATGTGAGAGAGAGATTGGGTTCCAATTCTCCAGCATAGTTCCTTCTTGAAAGGCTATCTGTTTCATTTGAGTTTTCTGGTTCCCATCCCCTCCTATCCTCTTCAAGGCCGATGCAAGCTGTGGAGGAAGGAGCAGAGCCCGTGCGAGCCTTCAGACCCAGCAGACGTCACCTCCACCACATACCAACAAAGGGCAGATGGGCTGTTTGTGGTGGGTGGTAACTGTGATGGAGGGATTGAGACCATTGCTAAGACTGCTGCGAGGTAGTTGACGAATGCCGGTAGGAAAAGGCATGAAGTGATCTATAGTAGGTTCCATAAAGCCCAAATAAATGCACTCGTGCGTTTTGCAGAATGAATTATGCACGAAATAAGGTGGACTACTATGGTACCGTTGTTTTCCTTTTGTCTGCTGTTTTGCTATATATCCAGTTTTCGGCACCTGTGAATGGTAATGTGTATGGTTAGTTGTGTATAACGCATCAGTACAAAGCAGACGCGGTTATGCCGTTGACTGTTTTCAAATGGTCGTTCAATTTTCCCAACCTGCCAGCCCTACCGTCGCACCGCATAGTTACTGTACAATGTCAACGATAGTCAACTTTGACGTGGCCTCCCCTACAGCCAGCCAAACCAAACCGAACCCACCACCGCCCCAATCGAACGCGTCACGGGACAGATGCGCGGTCCGTAGCGAATGTTGGTTGGGATAAAATGCACATCTCTCCGCACCCTCAGCATCGCAAACCCAAGCATTCCCACAAACAATCACTGCTCTCTGCTAACATTTCCCATCGAGCAATCGAATACCGCTTCAAGCCTACTGCAAAGCAAGCCCTTCAAGATGGCTTCATTTTTCCCTCGCGCTGCGTTCGCAATCCTCTTCATTGTTGCCCTGGGAGGTGAGAAACCAGATCCGGAGAACCACCGCTATCCATTTTCCTGCTTCCTCATTCCACACTCACCCTTGCCAGCTAAATCGGCCTGCTTTGAGCAACTAGCTGAGTATGAGGTACTTGATACATTTTCGCTGCCTTCGCTTCGCATAGATCCAAAAAGATTCATCTCGTATCCCCTATTATATCTCCGCCTTCTCTCTCGTGCCTATGCAGCTCTGCTTCCCTCTTCCGCCCATGCTGCGCGTGCTGGTCTTGGCGTGCGCTCCAAGCTCCTGGGTAAGCTCCAACACTGTCCCTCTTGGCGTGCCGTGCCTCTGGTACCATCCTTGTTTCTCCAATTTATCCTCCTACCACATCGCACACACTCTCCCTGTAATCGGAGTCTGAGTGCGTTTGAAGTCCTTAGAAAGTAACAGGTGTTCGCGTCTCCCACCCCCTTTCCTTTCACTCCTTCCACAGCATCTCTCCAAGGGGGGCTCACCACGTGTGCTGCACTCAACGCCCACGTTGGTGCTGACATTGTAGGAGCCAATATCGATGGCACAGCTGACATCAGCATTCTCAGAAGGTACAGACACCAGCAATTTCCCTTAGTAGTACAGTCGTACAAAGGAATAACCCACCGTCATGCATCACACCACGCCACAGCCATTTACACTCTCTAGGTGTTGCATCACAAACTCTTTCAGCGGCCGCTGTATTACCATATAACCATCACCCATCCTTCTCAAACTCCCATATACCGGTAACCCTTTCTCCCTGCCAGGGGAGCATCCGTGTATCTATCCTACAAGATCACAGCTCAGGGCTTGACTCAACGCCCATCCTCCTCGCCTGCCATCGTCGCCCGTAACCCCTGCTCTCTCCCCTCCTCTCCCTCAACCTCCTCCACTTCCTCCTCCTCCTCGCCTGCTGTTGCCGCATCTGCTTCCCTGTCTGGAGACGGCTCACTGCACGCCTTCATCTCTCCCTCCACTGGAGCCACCACCTCCGCCTCTCTCACCGCCACTACAAACCTCCTCAACCCCTCCCTCTCTGCATCCACCACTGCTGGGGGCGGCACCGCTCTTAACCCAGACGGATCGCTCTCCACCGCAGGGGGTCTCTCAGCCTCCACCAACCTTCTCAACACGGGAGCCACAGCAGCTGGCAGCACTGACGCCTCCCTCGCAAAAGCCACTGCTTCCGGCTCAGGCTTTATCGCCGCCTCTACTGCTCTCCTCAACACGACAGCCACTGCGAGCGGTGGTGCCCACGCGTCTCTCCCCAACGCCACTCTCACTGGCTCCGGCTCTCTCTCTGCATCCACTGGTCTGCTCAACACATCTGCTCGTGCCGGTGCCGGTGCCGCGGCCTCCCTTCCCAACGGCACTGTTTCAGGATCCGGTTCTCTCGCTGCTTCCACCGGCCTCCTCAACACATCAGCTGGGGTGGGAGCCTCAGCCGGGGTCTTCCTTCCCAACGGGACTGTCTCTGGGTCCGGCTCTCTGGCTGCTTCCTCTGGTCTGCTCAACACATCTGCTGACGTTGGTGCTGGAGTCAACGCAGGCTCGGGCGGTGTCCAAGCCAACCTCGGAGGTTCGGCGAACCTTGACCTCAACCCCGCTGGCGTTGTCTCAGGGATTGGGGGGGTTATCTCTGATGCAGGTGGAGCTGTGGGGAGCGTGGTTGGTTCGGCAGGGAAGGCTGCAGGCTCGGTGGTAGGCTCGGTGGGTAACGCTGCAGGCTCGGTGCTCGGCACTGTGGGCAAGGTGGCCAGTTCGGCAGGGAAAACGGCAGGGTCGGCGCTTGGCTCGGTGCCTTCAATTCTGTCTCCCCTGGTGGTCCTTCCTGGTGCGTGGGTTAAGGCTGCAGTCAATGCCAACGTTGGAGTCAATATTGGTGCTGCTGGTGCTGCTGCTGGTGCTGCTGGTGCTGCAGACGCTGCTGGTGCAGCAGCAGCAAGTGTGTATGCGATGGTGGGAGAAACTCGCCTCTCAGCTGACCTTGCCTCGTCCCTCCTCGCCCGCATCTCCTCCCGCTCCTCCTCCTCCGCGCCTCTCCCCCTCTTCCTCTACATCAACGCACAGCAGAACCTCGTTGCCTTCCTGCAGTAGTCCCTCTCTTCGCTTTGCCTCGGCACTGCCGGCCCGGCAAGGGATCAGGGCCGTGCAAGCTGGGAGTTGATGAAGAATTGCCATGCCATACCACTGGTAGCGGGATACTGAGGGGTGCCGGCTGCAAGCTGGGGAGTGATGCAGGGTTGCCATGCCATGCCACTGGGAGCGGAGCGGGATACTGAGAGGTGCCGGCTGCAAGGTCATTCAACTTGATGGAAGGTGCTTTGAGTCAAGAGTCTGGTGGCTGCTGCAGAGGGAGGTGATATCCACGGCAGTGTGACTAGCACAGGGTTGAGTAGCAAACAGTTCACTCTTAGCCACGTTGTATCAAGTTGAATGTGCTTTGTAGAATCAATGGGAATGGGAGACGTTACTGCTGCAAATCGCTGGCCTCATTTCCGGTCCTTAGGTCGTTGTCCAGTCCCCCTCTATCTCTACCCCATGTCGTACCCAAAATCATATCCCATGTTGCCACCCCCGCCACTGTCAGCACTGTTACCACCTCCAGCTGCTACAGCCGCTACAGCCGCCGCTGCACCGCCGCTGCCAGCACTAGCAGCAGGACTGGCTGAGCCTTCTCGCCGCACAAAACCTCCCTGAATCCACGTGAACCCACCGCCACCAACCCCGCCAATGCCCCCGCCACCACCCGCGCCACCACCGCTGCCAGTACGAGGCAAGGCACCACCAGTAGCACGTGCACCCTCACTGCCCACTCTAGCTAAACTGCGACCAGCAGCAGTAACGGCAGGACCAAGGCCAGCAGCAGCGACAGCAGCACCGGTAAGAGCGTCTGCAGCTGCAGTTGCACTAAGGCTGAACCCCGAACCTGCACGCGCAACACCCGGCGTGGCTCCCGCTCCTCCCGGACCTGCCGCTGCCGGACTTAGCCCTCTGGCTCGGAGCGACCTGAGCTTGCCGCTGACGCTCTCAGCTGCAGCAACGCGCAGCCCAAATGCAGCGAATCCGGACGGGGAGACGGGAGGGTGGCCTGGTGGCTTGAGATTGCTAGAGGACTGGTGTAGCTTTTGATACTCCTCTGTCCGCCTTGTATTCACAAACACAGGCCCGCCTGATGCTGCCTCGCCTCCTCCTCCTCCCCCCCCACCACTCCTCCTTGGCCCCCTCCTCCTCCTCCTCCCCGTCCTCGTCCTGCATCTACCGTTCCTGATCTCAACGGCCCGAGCCTGCCACCTTCCAGACCTCGGCCCACACCACCAAATCCCGGGCCAAACGACCCAAATCCCCTCACTCCCCCTTCTCCTCCTCTAACACCACCTTCCGCTCCCATTCCTCCCTCCACCACTCTCTCAAGACCCTCTGGCCCTGCACCCCTGACTGGTGGGGAGGGAGGAGCGGGGGAGGGAGAGGGCGACCCTCCAAAGCTTCGAGTGGCAGAGGAGCGAGACTGAGAGTGTGAGGGAGGATGCACAGAGAGAGCGTGCGGGTTGTGCTGGCGGTGGAGGGACGAGTGTGGGGCGAAGAGGGCATTCCCTCCTGCTGCTCGCTGCTGGTCGCGGTGGGACTGAATCTCCAGCTCATGCTGCTGGAGGGCTTGCTGTGCCTGCTGCTCATGGCTGCCGCTGCTCCCTGCATCACTCGCTGCTGCCACTGCTGCTCCTCCTCCTCTCCCTCCTCCTCCTCCTCCTCCTCCTCCTCTCCCTCCTCCTCCTCCTCCTCTTCCTCCTCCTCCGCCTCCCCCACCTCCCCTTTCTGCCAGCAAGGCAGACCAAGCCGCCACGTCATTTTCAATTGCAGCCACTCGCATTGCTGAGCTGTCCCGTGCCATTCCCTCCCCTACCACCCCACCTGTTGCTGCTCCTCCTTCTCCTGCACCGGCACCTGTGTGAGCAATAGCAGGTCTGCTTCTGCTCTTCCAGCTCTGCATTGCCACCCGCCCCCTCTCAAACCGTCGCCTCGCCGCCTCTGCCTCCGCTACAGCTGCTGCTAAAGCTTCTGCATCAACACCAGCACCAACACTAGCGTCGGCATCGGCATTTCCACCACCAGCAGCAGAGAAGTCAGACTCCCTGGGGGGTTCTGAGTCAGGAGGAGGAGGCTCGGCAGAGTTGCTGGTTTGCAGCTGCCACTGCTGCTGCAGCCACTCCTGTTGGCGCTCACGCTCCCGCTGCCTCCACTCCTCCTGCTCCTGCTGTTGCATCTCCTGCTGCTGCTGCCCGTCTTGACTCGCTTCCCTCGAAGCAGGCGCCTGCGCCAGCAGCAGAGGCTCGCCTTGACTGGCACTACCTGAAACAGACCCGCCACCTGGGAATTCACCTGACACAGGGAGAGACAGAGGATTCTCTTGCGCACCACCAGCACCGCCAGCAGCAGCAGCCGTGGGTGGGCGCAACCACCGGTTGAGCCAAATAGACGCCACTTCCCCACTCACCTCAGGCCTCTTGGGTCTCAACCCAAACGGACCGAACCCCCCACCACCCATACTCATCCTCACCCCACTTCCCACATACCCCCCTGCTCCTGCCCCTACCGCGTCCCCCCCAGCCCCTCCCCTCACACTGAACCTCTGCTGCCCGCCTGTGTTCTCTGCTCCCATGCCTGCATTCTCCCCTCTTGTGCCCCCATTCCTCCCCGCGCTGATCTGCAGGCTGCTAGAAGGTTCCTGATACCTGCTGATCTCGCCGCTTGTTGCTGCGGGAGGGGCATCAGGAACGGCTGCTTCTTCTGCTGCCACCCTTGCTGCTGCTGCTGCCGCCGCCGCTGCTGATGCTTCTGCTGCTGCGAAGTCTCTATTGCTTTGAGACACATACCTCTGGCCTCCACCACCTCTTCCCATCCCGCCACCTCTTCCTCCCACCGCTCCCCCTCCTGTAGAAGGCACCATGGCATAATCATTCAATGCTGACCGCTCCTCCCCTCCCACCCTCCCTTCTCTACCCACTCCTCCGAGATCCCCTCCAACCCCCCCCTGAGACTCCCCTCCAAGCGTTCTTCCCCCCCGCCATACCACCTCTTCCCCCTGCCCTTCCGCCCCTCTTCCCCCTCCGCCCCCTTCTCTGCTTTCACTAGACACATAGCCGGGCGGCAAGGGCGGAGGGGCGGAGTTGCTACTATTGCTCTGCGCCCCCCATTCGCTGTTGTCCCCTCCTGCTACAGGAACAGTGCCCGTCGCAACAGGGACCGTGCCCACGTGTTGTTCCCAAGCCTGCTGTCGCGCTGCGGCAGCCGCTGCTGCGGCCCAATCCGCAGCTTCACCCGAGGCTGTGGAGGGAGGTTCGGGAGGGACAGAAACTGACGTGGATCCGAAGAATGCTGAGTCACCATAGCCCAGGCTCGGCCCAGGCTGAGACCCCACTCTCTCATACAACCCAACCCCTATCCTTCCTCCTCTTCCTCCCACTCCTCCCCCTCCTCCTCTTGTTCCCCTACCCCCACCACCGCCAACAGCACCTGATGGGCCGCCAGCAGCGGCAGCAGCAGCGGCGGCAGCTTCAGCAGCAGCAGCAAAAGCAGGATCAACAGCACCGGCACCGGCACTGCCCACTGTCGCGTCGACCCCCCCGCCGCTATCCCGAAACGACCCTGCGCCTTGCTGCTCCTGCTGTACGCGATAGTGCGTCTGAGAGAGCAGCGACCGGTACATGCCAAAGAGGTTGTTAACAGGGTGGTGGGCATCAGTGCCTGCGGGAAACGGAAATGGGCTGTCGGTGCGATCAGTGCGGCGATGGTCAGTGGGAGGAGTGCCGGTGGGACGATGTCCTGTGAGTCGATTGTCAGTCTGCTGATTGTCAGTGAGTCTACTATTGCGTAGCCGATAGGCCTCCTCGTCCCACTCCCTCTCTCCCCCTGGTCCCGTTCGGCCGCCTTCTCCTCTCTCCTCCCTTACACCACCACCCCCATCCCTCTCCTCTCCTCCTTCCTCTGCTTCTCCTTCTCCTTCTTCTCCTTCCCTTTCATCCTCCTCCCCTGCTTCGTCGTCTTCTTCCCCCATTTCCTGGTCAAACTGAGGGTTAACTCGCCTTCTAGCCCCATCCAGAGGGTAACTCTGTCTTAAGCCTTCATATGCATCTGAAGGCTCTCTGTTGGCATACCCTGATGGAGCACCTGAGTATTCACCTGAGACAGGTCCGAAATTTGCTCGTTCACCTGGGCTCCACCCCCCAAGAGGGACACTCTTACTGTTCTCCGCCTGCCCTTCCGCCTGTCCTTCCTCCTGATCCCCTTGCACAAACCGGTCTTCCCCTCCGCGCCAGTTCCCCCCATTCTGGTTGCGCAGGTTCCCCTGCTGGCGGAACTCGCCATACAACTGCGCCTGATAGAGGCCCGCGGGCTGCGGACCTCCGCTTCCGCCAAACCCCTGCGCGGAATATGCGCCTGTATTATCACGCCGACTTGGCGCAGCTTCCCCATCCGCGGGCCTCGTTTCCGCCCCCCAACCCCCCTCGCCCTCACCTCCTTCGCCCATTGTCCGCGCAGCCTCCGCGTTCCCCGCGGGCCCCTCCCCCGAGTCTTCCTGCCTTGCGCCGAGCGCGCATTTATTGTCAAAGGAGAATCTAAGCGACGACGGCTGGCGCGCGTTTGTCGCGTAGTGGGGGGGGTGGGATTGGTGCGTGTTGTGTTCCGAAAATGGGGGAGGCTCAGAGCTCATATCACCGCCTGCGCTGCCGTTGCGCGAGGGCGGGTGGCGGAAGGACTGGGGGGATTCTCCCGGCGGCATGGGGAAAGAGGCGGAGTGGAAAGGGAAATTGTTCATGTGAGGTGCGCCCGACTCCATGCCCGTGATGTGCGAACAATCGATATAAGAGAAATATTGCGCCGATATAAGTGAACTAAGCAGTCAATATTAGCAGTTACATTAGCCACGGAACTACAGGAGAATTTCGAGGTGGAAGTCCCTGCAAGTATCTCACGTCGTAAGCAGATGACACGACCGCTCTAACAGGTAGTAACTGGTACAGGTGTCATCATCTGTATATTGTTAGGTGTCAGAAGTTAGGTCAGTTTCACCCCAGAAATGCGCTTAGCCGTTACTTGGACGCGGGAAGCTTGCGCTTATCGAAGAAGCCCTAATCAACCTTTTGTCAGATGTAGGAGCCTGGAAACCCTAATTTTCTGTCCATCTAATCAGGGACCCGCATCAGAAGCCTGAAACAGGGTGCACTTCAATCTCGAGATTGTGCTGGAATTGAAAAAGGCAGGAATATCTACAGCGCCGTTCGTATAAAAAAACTACGAGATGGATAACTTCTGGTGGTTGAGAAGAAAACTGTTATCAAATTTGTGGCAAGGCGCAACTCATTGTATCTCAAAGCAATGTACAAAATAAGGAACCAGACCAGGTGGACTACCGGTGTTACACGTTGTTAAATTTGTTCACACAAATACTTGATGTTCACAATATGTACGACATAGAATCTCACAAAATTCTATTGCAAAATGCATTCAACCCGAACTAGCCATGGACAGGCATCATGACTGCCGTATAGTACCCCCCCCTACCATATAAATAGTGATGTAGTGGGCAACGAGCAATCATGATGGCTGGCCACAGCGTGACACAACTAGGACGCAAGAGATCCTGCACTGTGCTCCTTCTGGAAAGACGGAAAGTTGGAAATCAGCTCCAGAGGTCAAACCCAACTGCTGCTGGTGACAACCCCCATGGCGACACATTCACTAGTTCTGCTTCACTCTCCTGGGCTGTTAACCCCACAGGACAAGCCACAACCTCAGGCGCACCAACCCCTTGGGATTGCCGCCCGGCCGCAGCTTCCTGTGTATGTGCCAGAGCCCAGAGAATCGCCTCCTGCGCAGCTGCACCCCCAACAGGAGCGCTGTCTAACTGGCCGTCAGATCTGCCGGAATCCGTCAGAGAAGAGAGCCTGGCCGGCAGGTGCTCATCAAGGAGGTTCATGATGTCTGTCAGCATGTCCACCTGCGCCTGGCATGCCAGCACAGAATCAGCACTGGCTGGGAGGCTGTGACTCTCATCTGCAGGCATGGTGGCATCGGATGTCGCGGCATGGTGGTGAAGGTTATCCCCATCCAGTACATCGGAGGTTGCGGCAGAAAGGGAGTGTCCTGCAGACGACAAATCGCTGGCGCTGCTGCTATTGCTGCTGGAAGGGCTCCTGGGAGACTCGGGCTCTGCACCATCCCCTCCGGCCGATGGGTGCACAGGAATCGACTGTTCCCAAGGCGTGGATTGGCCCAGGGAGGCACATAGCCTCTCAGCACCACCACGTGGTTTCTCAGCAATGCTCGGCTTCATGTCAAGTAGCATTTTGGTGTCCAGGTATGGGATGGTCTGTGCCTCCTCCTTCACCACCGCAAACTTCAATTTGCCGCCCTCAAATTCCCACGCGATCTCGCTTACAGGACGACCGTTATTAACATTGCTGGTAGCACCGCAACCACCAATACTTGACGAGTCCAGCTTGACTGGAAGTGGATTGGACATACCCAGAGCATTGCTTGGCTGGAAGTGAGTCGGCGGCGCTGCTGCGTTTACGCTTTGATCCAGCCATGGCTGAAGGCTGATAGCAGGCATCTCCTGCTTGGGAACGAGCTGCTGCTGCTGTGATTGCTGCTGCTGCTGCTGCTGTGATTGGTGCTGCTGCATCTGCTGCTGTGTGTGCTGCTGCTGCGTCTCCTGCTGCTGCGTCTGCTGCTGCTGTCTCTGCTGCTGTAGTGGTTGCTGTGACATGTTCATGCCGCCATCGGCGGCGGTGGGTCCGAGCAGCACCATTGGCTGCCCCCTGTCACCCGAGATCACTCCAAGCGGCGCAACTGCTGCCGCAGGGGGACACTCCGCGACAACCACGCTGTCGCCCACAGCCTCCAGGCGAACCACGTCGCACGAGAAGCTCGCAGGCAGGTCGCACGCGCCGTCGCGCGCGTCGCCCGCGTCGTCCGCCCCGTCACCTGCGACAACGAGGCGCTCGCCCCCTGCGACGTCTGCGGCGCACAGGGCTCTGCTTTCGCGGACCGTGCGGAGCAGCGCTTCCGCAATGGCGCGCGGAACGGCGACGGGATGCGCCTCATCGGGGAAGTTGAGCTTTCCGCAGGCGGCGCCTCCGCGGCCTCCCCCTATAATCCGCGCCGCCATATCGTACACCCGCGCTGCTTCCTCCGCGGTTTCGTACGACCCCAGCCACACGCGAATCTTCGTGCGAGGGTCGCGAATCTCGGTTACCCACTTGCCCCATTTTCGCTGTCGCACGCCCTTGAAACGGCGATTGCGATAGCAATGAGCTCCACCCCTGGGTATCACTAGTTTCGGGTGCGGCGAGGGAATGCTGTCGTCTTCCTCTCCGTCTCTATCCAGCACTAACACAGGAGGCGTGCCGCACCCCTTGTCAATGGCGAATGCGCGACTGTCCGGAAAGGTGCTAGTAGTAGGTGATGTGCGATGCGACGCGCCGGTAAGATTGATCCGCGGCGGGCAGGGCCGCTTCATTAACGGCGACTCCGAGTCGAAGGACGTCTCGCGCGCGAGCAGCGACGGGCTGGATGCTGCGGAGGGAGGCGTGGTGGGGAGCGGTGACGTCGAAAGGAGCGGTGACGTGGCAGGAAAGGGTGAGGTGGGAAGGAGTGGAGATGTGGAAAGAAGCGGTGACGAATGGTTCGTTCTGCCTAGAAGCTCGGCGAGCTTTCGTTTCGGAGAAAGAAGAGGCGGAGGGCGGGACGACGTTCCGAAGGAGTTGGGAGGAGAAAGTGAGAGACTCATGTCAAAAACATAAAGTTGCGGAGAAAATGCAGGTAAGCACTGGGCTATTTGTAGACTGACGGAAAGGGTAGCGTCGTCCTTTATAGTGGCCCTGTGCGGAGTCGACTTAGAGACGTGCTCTGCAAGGTCAGACCAATCGAGACACTTCGCGAATGTGCTAGGGTAATCGAGGTTGCTCTGCTGGCAAATGTCAGTAATGAAAGGATCAGGTATATTTTCTATGATTATCAACAATCCACGACCAACCTCACCTATTTATGGATTTCTCCCTTCGACTTTCGTTCCCCCCCGCAGACAGCTGGGTGACGCACGCACAGCTGCAGCAGAAGGGGGGGGGGGAGAGTGGCAGGAACTCTGGTCACTGGTAACGGGGACCTGGAGCAATTTCGCTCGCTTGCGATTGGGGGTCGTGCGGTGCGCGGTGCGTGCAACGCGCAATCCGGTGATCCGACGGTGGCGCGCTGAGTCCTAGGATCGATGGGTCTTGTCGTTTTGTCCCAAAATCGATGTCGTGATTCGCGAGCTGCACCCACAGACGACAAACGTGACGACGACGACATTCGCAGCCCTTGAAAGGCAGCATCAACGAAGGTCATGCGAAGGTATCCACAGATTTCACTAGCGTTGACTGCGAGCCCACGAGCCCCACGGCGACAATAATGTTACACGAGTCAAGTCATACAAACTATCTATATTCAGTACATATGCTGCTAAGGGCCTTTGCGACGCACCACGTGCCCAAAAGGCGTGGCCCCCCCTGTGCAGTGACCTCCAACTAGGTATTCTCTATCTGGCCAGGGCCGGTACCGTGCAGTTGTAGGATCGCTGGGGTCTGCGGGCTTGCATGGGTCTTGTTGTTCACTCCACATTGTACAACGACCTGACAAAGAACAACATTACGATTTTAAAAATGACCATCGACAAAATAGAGGGAAGGAAGGGCGAGAACAAACCCATGGCATTCCTTACCTTCCGGCTTCTCTCGATGATAACTCCAAAACGCACAGCCCTCAGTCTTTCGGCAGATGATCCAGCAGCTGTGGGCACGGTTGGCCGGGCCAGTTGTGTTCTCCCCCAGATGGCCCTTCCCCTCGTGGTCAAAGAAGATACCTTTGATTGCCACATTGCACATGAGATCAGGGCATGCGGCTGTAGCATTGGGGTCTGGTGGATGGGATGGCACAGGGATTGGCAATAGCAAGGTACAGGAAGCGGGAAAGGGCAGTGCACACATGAAAATGAGACTTAGCAATGTGGCCAAGGCTTGTAGTGGTGGATGCGTTGACCGCCAGAATTCATAGCAGTAACTTGCAAGAAGCCCATATACATATACATATTCATGCTCCATAGCCAGTACCTGTTTTTATCCCAGCTGTTCCTTCCACTGTCAGCATCGGTAGCCTCCCACCTGCCCCTCCCGCATGTGCCTGCGGCACCAGCTGCTGCGCTTCCACCTCCTGCTGCTTCCCCTCATATCCCTGCTGCCGCGTCCGCCCATCCCTCCCCCCACTCGCCACACTCCCATTCCCTCCCGTCCCTCCTGCCACCGCTTTAACATTCCCCCCAGCAGCCCCCCGCCCTGCTGCGGTGCTCTCAGTGCCGCGACCCCGCTTGCTGCGGTTGCACCCGCCACCGAAGCCGAACACGCCCTTCCAGGGGGGCGTGGGGTTGTAGTGGATGGGGTTGGCGCCGTCTGTAGGATCTGCTAGACATGGGCTCTGCTCCTCCCTCCACATGCGGCAAAAGGCTGGAGGGTGGGGTGGGATGGGGTGGGGTGGGGTGGGGTGTTGGGAGGGGGGTTTTAGTGGATGGGGTTGGCGACGTCTGTAGGGTCCGCCAGGCACGGGCTCTGCTCCTCCCGCCACATGCGGCAGAAGGCTGGAGGGTGGGGTGGGGTGGGGTGGGGTGGGGTGGGGTGGGGTGGGGTGTTGGGAGGGGGGTTGTATTGGATGGGGTTGGCGCCGTCTGATGGGTCTGCTAGGCACGGGCTCTGCACCTCCCGCCACATGCGATAGAAGGCTGGAGAAGCGGGTGTGGGGTTGTTGGGGTTGGAGAGAAGGGGTGCAAGGGCGAGCAGGAAAGAGGAGTGCAGGGGCTGATTGGGAGGCTCACACGGCCGGCCAGGCATGGGCTCTGCTCCTCCCCCCACATGTGGCAAAAGGCTGGACGGGAGAAGGGTGAAGGGGAAGTAGGGAAAGGAGGAGTGCGGAGCTGATTGGGGGAATGGCAGGGTTGGCCAGGCATGGGCCCTGCCCTTCCTCTCTCCCGTCCCTGTTTTAGCAGACGACGCTGAACAGTTATCCAATGCAATGCGAGCTATGTAGTGTTAAGTAGTCAGAAAGACGCAGAGGGTGCCAAGAAAGGGTGGCTGCGTGAAGATTCAGGGACAGTAACGATGTGGCGTCCAGGCCGGTGCCGATACGCCCAGGACGCTGTTCAGAAGCCCAGGTTGACGTCCAAGTGCCCAGGACGGTGTCCCCCACTGCTAAGCTCCCCGCACACCAGACAACGAAGTCGGCTCCGCCCTAAGGACGGGGCCAAGACACACTTCCTGTTTACACTCCCTCGCCACATTTACGCTTGGGCCTCCACCCAACATGGCAGCACTATCCGGAGAATAACTCGTCCGCATGCAGGCTTGATTCATTAGGGAGCAGATTTCGGGGCGTTTCACCAGGGAATTTAACCTAGATGGATCCTGCTCACCTCCGTCCTCCACGACTCTCAGTTGCCAGATGTAGCACTCCGGCGTGGCTGCGCACAGCATCGCGCACGCCTGCACCTTCTGCGGCTCGTCGTTAATCTCCTGCTCGTCCAGGTTGCCCCACGCGTCGTGGTCCCAGATGTACCCTCGCCGCATCATCCCGCATTGTAGCGACGGACATTCGTGCGCGAATAACGGCGGCGCGAACAGGGGGAGGAGGAGGATTAAGGATAGAAAGAAAGTGGACGACGATACAGAAAGAATGCGCATGGTGCGATAATGAAACCTTTGTGAAGGAAGAGAAAGGAAACGGAAAGGTACTGCTAGAAGGAAATGTCAGCAGGAAATCAGTATAAAAGATGTAGAAAGAAAGAATGTGACCCAGTTGCATGCATCAAGGTTGGGAGCAACGACTCTCGCGAACGGAAGGGCTGCTGATGTTTTCTCCTGAGCTTTCGCCTTGCCGAAACCGAAAAACTTTTGACGAAATAATCGTCAGAACACGGTTTGAACAGACCACTTGGGAGCTGAGAGCGAATGGAAGAAGACAATGCGACGATATCGCGCTTGTTACCAGAGTCGTCGGCGAAACTGTCAGACGAGTTGATGACAATCCCTGTGTCAGAGTTCCCACGCAACCTTCCCCTGAGGTCCCCAGAAAAAGTCAGTCGAGCTCTTAGGAAGACGGCGCGAGACTGTCTGTCTTTTAGTTGGGTCGATATAGCGAGTTCGGCATTCTCAAGGCCAGTTGCTGAGGCATGACATAGTTGCTCTATGCAAATTCAGAGTGCAATAAATAGTCGGGTTCATTCTGGGAGATTGAGTCAGAGACGTCTTTATTTGAATCGAAGTATACTAAGTGTGGATTGTGATAATTATTAGCATAGGAGGACCTCAGTAGGTCGCAGTTATACAATTTCGATAAATTCAGGAGCATTAGATTAAGTTTCCTTTTTTTTTTTTTTTTCCTTCTTGAAAAACGCTTCACTAGCAGCAAGATCGTTGTTTTGATTTCGACCTAGGTTCGTTCGTCGAATCGCCTGGCGTCCTGTGTTCTCGTTACTTCATATCTTATTGGTTTACACCGCGTGGTTTAGTTTGCTGAAGTATCGTCTAGGTTCATCGTAAGATCACTTAGTTTCAGTGGAATACCGCTTAACTTCATCGTTATACTGCTTAGCCTCGGTATAAGACTGCTCAGCCTCGTTATAACATCGCTTACCTTAATCTGACCGCTTAGCTTCATCTGACCGCTTCGCTTTCCTTCGCATGCGACGAAATGGCGGTGGAGTCGCTGGCGACGCTGTGCGTGCTGTCGCTGATCGACCATCGCGGCCTGCTGGGCTACCTCGGCGACATGGATCTGTCGCTGCTGCGACCCGTGTTCGAACACTGCACCGCGGATCAACTGGACCAGATTGAGAACGAAAATAAGGTCGAATAAGGTCGAACTTAATTCTTGCGTTCGGTAGACCTTCTCCATCTGCGTAGTACCGTTTTCGAGCACTGTAGCGAGGAGTAATTGCCTATCGAAATCTGGACGATAATTAGGTCGAAATGCATCTGCCAGCACTGGATTCATTCTAGATGATATCCCTCGACTGTGTAATGACAGTTCTGGTATCACTTACCCTGTTTCTTTTTGGTGTCTTGTTCAGGATCGCGACTTTACCCCTTTCACAGACGATCTTTGGGAGCGGTGCTACGAACGCAGGTGTGCTCGCCTCAACTTCCCGCATTTCCCCCTTCCCGTCCGTCGCTTGCGTGCATCTCCATTTCCTCCCCTGTCTGACGATGTCGTATCAACCATGAGCCATGAGTCATGACCCGTGACCCATCAACCATCACCTATCAACCATCACCCACCACCCGTCGCCCATGATGCAGGTACGGCATTGACGGCGTACAGCAGGTTCAGGACAGAATGAAGCAAGCCAAAGTACTCTACACGTGGCGACAGCTGTACCATGTAAGTTCCATGCCCGCGAAGCGTATCTCTAGTTCCCTGCGCAGGTCAATGCACGAGGACTTTGCCGTTTTCCTACAATTTCACACGCGCGCTTTGGAAAGAACCACTGAAAACTCTCTCTCTCTCCCTCTTCGCTGCACCTCATTCCGTCCTGCTCCTCTCTGCCGTCCGCTCGTCATGCTCGGCAGCAAGCAATTTTAGTCGACTTATAATTCACCTCCCCTCCTCTGTGCCCCCCCCTCATCTCTGCCGTCCGCTCGTCAGGCTCGGTAGCAGGCAGATGATCTCACTCAGGCGGTTTTTTCTGGATGACTCAAAATTCGACTCCCCTCCTCTGTGCCCTTCACACGCCAGGCTCGGCAGCAGGCGGATGATCGCACGCAGCAGAAATGTGTCTCGCGACTGAAAGAGCTTTATCACAGGGCAGAGGAAGGTACGAAGTTGATTCTTGATACGTTTAAAAAAATCAGCAGAAATGTGTTATGAAAATGAAAGAGCTTTATCACCTGGCAGAGGAAGGTACGAAGTTGTGAAAGACGGGAGAGGACGGTGAGGCGCCGTTAAACAAGCGGAGAATTGTGTTTCGGCAATAGAAATTGTTCTCCGAGACAGCAAAGGTAGCAGAAAAAATTGAGTTCAATTCAGCATTTGTTTTTGCTCCTTCTTGCTAACAGATTACCCTCTGACCATGCGTTAACTTGCTGCTTCAACGTGTGCTTTGGTGCTGTTATCTGTCCCCCTCATCCATCGTCCCTTGCAACCATTCTTCCTTCGCCTGCTGTTGCCTCTCCCCCCACGTCTTGCTTCCGCCAGTGAAGAAGCAGCGGCAGCTGAGAGTGCTAGAAAAGCCTCGCCTCTCAGTCACACGCAGGCGAATGTTCTCCTCAGGTATGCTCTCAGGTGTTGTTTCAGGTGCTTTTGTTTTTGTTTCATAAGGATCTGCCACAAGGTATGCCATCACGTGCAGTCTTACCACTCTTATCTCTCCTCATTCACCTCGCTGTCCTCAATCACTCAACCTCACCAACCTCGTTGTCCTTTTATCGCGGCCCCTCACCCGTCTCTCCTCTCACCCCTCGCTGTCCCTCTATCGCTCCCCTCATCCTTCTGTCTTTTTGTTGCACCCATCACGCGCCACTGTCCCTGCAGCGCCCTCTCAAGCAGCAGCCTGGGCGAGCAAGGCAGGCAGCCCCATGCTCAAGAAGGCCCGCCTGACATATGCCAACAGGTGGGCACTGGGCAGGCAGCAAAGGCATGTCAAACTTAAGCTTGCATACATAAGAAGGCCCACCTGGTATATGCCAACCGATGGGCTTGGTTGCACGACTGATGGTAGGCTCTACATGCTGACTGGTGGATGGGTTTGCGTGAAATGAGCCGTGTTTTGAGTCGACTCAAAACATGGCTGATAGTAGGCTCTCTCTACATGCTGCTGACTGGTGGATGGCTTTTGAGTTGTCTCAGAACTTGGCTGATAGTGTGAAGCTGATACTATGAAGCTGATAGCATGTTGCTGATAGTATGTTGCTGATAGCATGTTGCTGATAGTATGTTTTGAGGCTGGCAGTTGCAAAGGCTGTGATCGCCATTTGAGCACTGAGCACCAATACTTCCTTTCCAACCCGAGCCTTTGCCTTCTCCTTCTCCCCCTGTCTCCTCTGTCCCTCCTTGCAGTGTGCAGGCACGCCTAGTGTCTGACATCAAGAAGAAACCTCTCAATTACTCCCCACCCCGCTCATATACACACCGACCCTCCTCTCTCTCCTCGCTCTCCTCCTCCCCAGCTGCACGGGCAACCAGCAGAGTCGCCGTAACCACCAGCCCTGCGGTTACCAGGCCGTTTGGTTCCACACGTGCATTTTCCGGGCAGCCGTCAGCCAATCAGAGCCCTCATGCCCGCGTTTCTGCCCAGACCAACCCTTCTGGTCGGACAAGTTCCGAACCACCAAGAGCGATGCGGATGGAGGCTCGGGGGCAGGTCCGGGAGCAGGCCACGGGTTCGTCTACAGCTGGCATTCTGAATATTGTTGACCAGAGAGGGGGGTTTGGGGGTACGAATGAGAAACGGGGTGGTGATAAAGGGAAATGCAGAGAGGGGGAGGGAAGCAGACAGAGAAGAATGAGCAGTGGCATGGACAGGGACAGGAACAGGGATTGGAAGTGGGAGAGTGGAGGAGGAGAAGAAGGTGGAGGAGAGGGCAGCGATACAGACGAGGACGCAGAGCACCAAAAGAAGAGGAGAGTATTTGACAGTGGTAGAGGCAGGGGGGACGGCAGGGACGCAGAGGAGGATGGGGACTTGGGTAGGGACAGAAGTGAAGGCTTTGGTAGGGGTAGAGGTGGAGGCAGCGGCAGGGGGCAGAGTGATGGAAGGGATGGGAGGAGCAAGAGCAGTCATGTGCAGGCTGGCAGCAAGGAGCGTGTTGCTAGGGAGAAAGGAGGTGAGTTTTGTTTTGAGTTGTCTCACAAACCAAGGACAGGGGGCAGAGTGATGGAACGGGTGGGAGGAGCGGGATCAGTCCTGTGCAGGCTGGCAGCAAGGAGCGTGTTGCTAAGGAGAAGGGAGGTGAGTGAGGGAGTGAGGCGGTGGGTGGATGGGGGAGTTAGTAGGTGTGAGGGGGAGAGGAGGGAAGTGAGGGAAATTTGAGGTGGGTGTCTCGCAATTGTGCAGTGACTGAGTTTCTAGCATCATGCCTCTCTTAGAAGTGTGATGTTTTTGTGTGTGTGTGTGTGTGTGTGTGTGTGTGTGTGTGTGTGTGTGTGTGTGTGTGTGTGTGTGTGTGTGTGTGTCTTTTCTCCCTCTACTCCATTCAACCTGTGTGTGAGCAACAGGAAGCTTCAAGGAGAAGAGGAGGGTGGAATGCAGCATGGACTGGGGCGTGTAAGGAGGCACCTGTATATACAGCCATGTAACAGCTTTACTGCATACCTGTACATGCCACCTGCTTGCTCGCTTGACTTCTTTAATGCGGTTTTCTGTCGTCTTGCATGGTGAAGCTGGGAGTACGGTTCAGTGCCTTGTGTTGCGCATCTTGCGAAATTTGTCTATTCTTTTGTTCATGCTCTTGCGTTATTTCGTCGGTTCCAGGTCATCACCCAGGCTAGCGAAGTAAGGCAGATAAAGCTAGGGTCCAGTACAAGGCACGGCAAAATGACATCTCTACTTTCAGTCTCACAGCCCAGGCACAGACTAGGAAATAACGCCAGCATTGGCGTGAGCGGGCATCACAAGAACTGAGGGAGAGCCTAGTGCCCGCTCAGGCTATGAGAGAGAAAGCCATCAGCCAGTGCGTGCAGCTTCCTCCTGGGCATGCCTTTCCTCCCTGCTGCCGTCAATGCCTTTCCCCTACGCCCCACACTCCCACACTCCCAACTTCCCTCCACCTCATCTCGTGTCCACTGTCACCGCTTTCCTGACCCATGTATCCCGCTGACCCGATGCAGCACAAAAGACAATTGAACCCCAATACACACATCCCCTCTAGGACTCAGACTCTGCAGCTCCTCTTCTACGAACCACTCCCAGCTGACAACTGCCACTCGGCCCCTCAACACCCTTCGACAGATACGATCGTAGAAAAACATTGTCCCCTCCACACAGCCATACTTCACTGAGCAGGTGATATGCACCCATCTGCACCCATCAGCAGCCATCCCAAGCCCCTCCCATCCCACGCTCCTCCATGTCCTCCATCCCGCACACGCTGCTACTTCATCCTGGCCACGAGGGTGCCCTGAGCCCCGGCATGCACGGTGAGAAAGAGCGGCATGTTGGTGGAGACGTGGGTCATCATGGCAGTTGCCAGTGCTGCCGACACTCGAGTCTGCCCGACCATGGCGTAGGCGCCACCACTGGTAGCCATCCATGCACCGTTCAGCATCACACGTGGGGAGAGAGACACTGCCACCGAGGCTCCCATGTTGCCTACCGAGCCTACCACCGAGCCTGCCATGTTCCCTGCCGCGCCTACGAGGTTCCCCATGGCTCCGCCCATGCCTGAGATCATGCCAGAGATTGAGCCTCCGAGGTTTGCCGAGGCTCCGAGGTTGGCGTTGACGCCTCCCGAGCCTGCGTTGACGGCAGCACCGGCGCCGGCTGAGGTGTTGAGGAGAGGGGAGGAGGCACCGAGGGAGGCAGAGCCAGAGAGAGAGGCATTGGGGAGAGACACGCCCACTCCTGCTCCCACGCCGGCTGACGTGTTGAGGAGAGCGGAGGAGGCAGAAACACCGCCGGTTGCAGCGACAGTGCCGTTGGGAAGGGAAACCCCAATGGTGGTTCCAACACCAGCGGATGTGTTGAGGAGACCAGTGGAAGCAGAGAGATCACCTGCTGCAGCGACAGAGCCGTTGGGGAGGGAGACAGCTGCACCAGCGCCCACCCCTGCAGATGTGTTGAGCAGAGCGGTGGAGGCCGAGACGCCTCCTGCTGTGTTCACTGTTCCCTTGGGAAGAGACGCCCCCGCGGTAGCGCCAACACCCGCGGATGTGCCCATGAGGCCAGTAGAAGCCGTGACACCCCCTGCTGCATCCACCGTTCCATTGGGAAGAGACGCGCCGACGGTCGCGCCAATGCCAGCTGACGTTTTGAGAAGGCCAGTAGAAGCCGAGACACCCCCTGCTGCATCCACCGTTCCATTGGGGAGAGATGCCCCGACAGTAGCGCCAACTCCAGCGGAGGTGTTGAGAAGGCTGGCTGAGGCTCCAGCGCCGGCGCCGGCAGTGGCGTTGAGGGGACTGGTGGTGAGAGAGGAGCCAATTTGAGCTGAGAGAGCCGGGTCGAGGGCGAGAGAGGCGGCAGTGGCAGTGGTGGCGGCGGAGGAGGACGACGACGAGGGGCAAGGGTTGGCGAAGAGGAGTTTGGGCTTGGAGGAGGGACGAGTGCCTGCCTGCGTGGAGAGCTTGTAGGTGAGGAAGAGAGCCGCGCCCCTGTGGTGTGCAGAAGGGTGGGTTGGGGGAAGGAAGGGGATGTGGCGGATGCATGTGATGAGTTGAGAGAAGTTGACGCCAGGGCATTAGGCCAAAGTTGAGTGCCTTAACGAGTTGTGAGAAGTGCGCAGGAGTGCTTGGGAGTGCTCGGTGCCCTTGCTCTCACCTTCTCACGAGCTCCATCTGGGCTGAACCCTCCGTCTCGCCCGAGCCACACATCACCAGAGGGCCGCTCACTGATGCTGCATGCAGGGGATATGAAAAATCAGGGAAGTGGGATGTGAGGGCCTTATTGAAGGTCCGGAGGCGTTGGGAATATGGTATTTAATTTTAATTTTAATTAAAGCGCCAATTTTCTGTAAAGGAGGCTGCAAAGAGTAGAAAAACCCAAATAAATGCCGCATTTGGTTGCGAGTTGTGCCAAAAGGGTTCCAAGAGAGCTGGTTCACTCACCCAAGACTTGCGTTCCCATCCCCATCCTTATGGCAGATGCGGGGGGAGTAAGCAACGCTGCATGGAGGTGAGAAAGCGCAACGCATAAGAAAATCAACACGTGAGCACAGTTCAGTTCCGTGAAAATTTAAGGACCAAATTTGTTGAGAGTGGCTGGCGCATGCATGCCAGGCAAGAGGAAGAATATGCCTCTTACCTGAGAGGAGGAGGGCCAAAAATACGGCTGCCTTAACGCGAATGGTGGACGTAGCCATGGTTGAGCGCGTGTTGCGGGGAGATTAGTTGCTCTCTGTGTGCTTCGGGCGCTCTAAGGTAGAGTTCTGATAGGATTGATTGCTGAATTGATTGGGAGAGGATTGGCGATGTCTGTGCAGGATGGGGTGTTAAAATTTATGCTGCGTGGTTCTGGAATTTTCAGCATCGAGCCGCGACATTTGATGGCGGTGCGGTCGGCTTGGGCTGGCGGATGGAGGGACACGTGTCGACGCAATGAGACGTAGCAGGTGCTCCGACTGTCGCGAATGGTAATTCCTGTTATTGCGAAACGACGACACTGCTTCTGTTGTTTCGCCATTTCGTTGTTCTGGAGTATTCACGCCTGCGCATTTGTCGGAGGGGTGGCTGAAGAGTGACGGAGCGGAGGCTAGTAGGTTGCCTGTCGGTTCGTCTGGATTCGCTTTGTAACATCTTGCCCCACGAAGATTCTGCGTGAAGCTCATAAAAAACAACCGCATTATGGCAAGTCGGGCAGCTTCTAGTAACAAATATATATGGCATAACCTGTAACAAACTATCTTCACAAGGAAAATGCCACTTGAAAGCGTAGCACCTAGCGCAGCAGCAGCATCGAGCTCCTACTCATCCAACGCATTATCTAACACTCCCTCCACCTTGTTTGAGGCTGCTTGACCCACAACCGTACTTCTGAGCTACACATAAAAAATGCTATTATTCCTCTCAGAGAACAATGCAAAAACAAAGTCACCACAAGTGCTCTGGAATTTACAGCATCAGTAAGGAACTACGCGCAAGCAACACAGGAGAATCATATTTCAAATCAGAGCAGAAGGGCAAGGACGGAGCAGAACAGGCCTACAGCCATCCCAGCACTGGCACTGACACTGTGGAGTGACAAAGCCTGTGCTGCCTTGCCAGGGGCTGTAGGGGGTGAAGCAGTAGCACTAAGAGGAGGGAGGGCAGCAGCAGGTGCAGGTGGCGCATCGGAGGAGAGCAATGCAGATATGGTATCCGAGGGAATGTCTGCCAGTGATGCGTGGGCCCTGCCAAGGGGTGGCGTGTGGGGGAGGGGAGGGAGGGGGAAGGCAGGGGGACGACGAGGTGTGTGATGATGTGGCGCGTTGGCATGTGGTGGCAGGGCAGGCTGTAGTGGTGCTGAGATGCTGTCAGTGGGAATCGTCTCGCAGAGTATGGGTGTGGTTTGAAGTGGTATGGAATGGTGTGGTGGACACTCACTGTTGTGCGGTGCTGTCAGGTTTGCAGTTATTCAGCCGAGCAAACGTTCCGGAATTTGATAGGCTTTAAGCCAAAGGTGATCTTGCAGGGATGGTAGGAGGAGATGGAGTGTGAGTGCAAGGGCAGGGCTGTGGTGTGGAGTGGTGCAGTGCGGTCCTCTCTCAGCTTACTCAGCAGGGCAACCATTCATGACTTCCATGGGCACGTTGGAGCCGAAGGTGATCTTGCAGGGCTGGTAGGTGGGGATGAAGTGTGAGAGTCAGGGGATGCAGTGCGGTTTGAAGTGGTGCTACTTACTCAGCAGGGCAGCCATTCATGACTTCCATTGGCGTGTTGGCACCAAAGGTGATCTTGCAGGGCTGGTAGGTGGGGATGAAGTTGGGCCCACACGCGTAGAACTTGGAGAGCGTGGGGCTGTCGGGGTCCATGCTGAGAGTGTTGTTCTCGTATGATGCACACATGTCGTAACACATATCCATTTCTGGTTGGAGAGAGGTGTGGGAGGGAAATAGAGGTGGTGTAATCAGTAAAGCTGATATGGTACAGGCACTCTCAGGCAAGTTAAGAAAGGTTACAGACAAAAAAAGATTTGAAGTGGTGTATTGAGTCGACCCAATGAACTACCTTGGCCCTGCTGTTCTCTGTGCATGCATGGGGGAAGCATTACCTTGGCCCTGTAGCACTGGGTAGTACACAAGATAGTCAATGCACATCTCATCCTCCGTTGATACCTCTACCAGAGGAAGAATGGGTCCCCTGATAAAGTGCATGGGGAGACGAGGCATTACCTTGGCCTTTGAGTCGACTCAAAAGTCACCTCGATACCTCTAGCAGAGGAAAGATGGGTTTCCTGATCAAGTGCAGAGGCATTACCTTGGCCCTGACGTGCGGGGTAATAGATGAGATAGTCAATGCACATCTCATCCTCCGTTGATACCTCTAGCAGAGGAAAGATGGGTCCCCTGATCAAGTGTATGGGGAGACGAGGCTTTACCTTGGCCCTGACGTGCGGGGTAGTAGATGAGGTAGTCAATGCACATCTCATCCTCCGTTGATGCCACTTCCAGTGAGAAGACACGTGTCTGCCCTGTGAAGCACATAGTTGAGGCGCCTCAAAAGTCCCCCTGCGAAGCATATAACTTATCAACAAATGATGTTACCTTGGCCCTGGCGTGCGGGGTAGTAGATGAGATAGTCTATGCACATCTCGTCCTCCGTTGATACCTCTAGCAGAGGAAAGATGGGTCCCCTGATCAAGTGTATGGGGAGACGAGGCTTTACCTGCGGGGTAGTAGATGAGGTAGTCAATGCACATCTCATCCTCCGTTGATGCCACTTCCAGTGAGAAGACACGTGTCTGCCCTGTGAAGCACATAGTTGAGGCGCCTCAAAAGTCCCCCTGCGAAGCATATAACTTATCAACAAATGATGTTACCTTGGCCCTGGCGTGCGGGGTAGTAGATGAGATAGTCTATGCACATCTCGTCCTCCGTTGATGGCCCTCCCACCGTCACCTGCACGACGCAAGGGGTAGAGAGGGACAGAGGAGGGAAAGAGATGGGCAGAGAGGGGCAGAGATGGGCGTATATGGGCATAGATGGGTGGAGATGGGTGGAGAGAGGCAGTGTGTGGAGGAGACCATTGTACAAGGGGAGCTGTCAGCATAGAGCGATGCAGACGCCGTACGATAGTGACTTGTGAGTCGACTTGGACTTTTGAGACGTGTCAAAAGTCGTCAGCATAGAATGATGCAGACACCATACGATAGTGACTTTTGAGTCTACTCAGAAGTCACCTCGCTGAAAGGGAGGGTGCGATAAGGGAGTGCAATAGCCCCACTGTAAGAAGTGAGGTAAGTATGTCAGTGTGGGGAGAGTCACGCAGTAAAGCTGGAGGGTATTTAATGGCTAAGAGAGGGACGTACGTTGGTGCGAGCAGTGGAGTCCCAAACACAGGAGGTGCGCAGCTCATCTCCTGGCAGCAGCTCAAACTCAGGCGTGGTGGGAATGGTCTGCTGCGATGCAAAGTCGCTGCGATGGATTGGAGTGTGGGGGGAAATGGGGCCAAGGGGTGGAAACAAAGGAAGCGGGGAGGAAGGGGAGGGTCTATTGAGCTGGTCTCCTGATGGCAGGCCGAACTCTGGTGTGGTGGGAATGGTCTGCTGCGATGCAAAGTCGCTGTTGGGGTGCGAAGGGCTTTTTAGAAGGGGACTCACTAGTAGTCCTGGCGGTTGATGGTTGCGACCTTGCTGCCCCGCCTGAACACATCCGTGTACATCTACAGTTGGGGGATGGGGATGGGGATGGGGATGGGGATGGGGATGGGGATGGGGATGGGGACATGGGAAGAATCAGCATGGGGAAATAGGCAGCATGGGGAAATGGGCAACACGGACCCAATGATTCTAACGCCCTCGTTCCTAAACACTCTCTCCACCGCACTCTCATGGCCCTACTTGCTGCCCCACCGCACTCTCACAGCCTTACCTGTCGCCCCAACGTGTGCAGGTGCAGGATAGACCCAATGATCTTCACGCTCTCATTCTGGAACACGGCAGCAGTGCACTCGCCCGGGCACGTGCTGACTTGCGTCCATGAGGGCATGTCAGGGGGAATGCGGATGAGATACTCATAAGCCACAGGGCCCGTGAGCATGATGGACGCATCCATGGGGCGGAGCGATGGGGCGAGCTTCAGGTACAGGCCGGAGTTGTCGATGAGATCAGCGCGGCCATTGGGATTGGTGAAATGCACCTGAGGGTGTGGTGGTGGGGGTAGAGGGAGGGAAAGAGAAGGACACAAGGCTTTTGTGCGCGGGGCAGGAGTGTGAAGCCCCGAGTTGTCGATGAGATCAGCACGGCCCTTGGGATTGGTGAAATGCACCTGAAAGAAAGGAAGAGAAGGGGGTTACGGAAGGGCAGGAGGGAGTAGGGATGAGGTGCTCATAAGCCCACATGGCGACAGTGGTGGCGCCAAAAGCACTGCATTGAACCACACAGCACCGCACTAAACCGCAATCAACTGCACTGCACCTCACTACACCCACCTGCAGCACGAACTTGGTGAAGTATCCGGGGCCAATGGGGTAGCCGACATTGGGCGGGTAAGTGAAGGGTCTGCCGCCCACAGCCCACATGGCGACAGTAGTGCCTCCAAGGGCCCTGCAGTGAACTGCACTGAACCGCACTAAACCGCACTAAACTGCACTCAACCGTACTGCACCGCACCGCACCTCAACTACACCCACCTGCAAGACGAACTTGGTGAAGTATCCGGGGCCGATGGGGTAGCCCACATTGGGCGGGTAAGTGAAGGGTCTGCCGCCCACAGCCCACATGGCGACAGTGGTGCCACATGGGTTGTCGTGCAGACAGTCAAAGTCCGCCCCTGCTCCCTTGAGATTGCCGTACTCCTTGCTGTGGGGAGCAATGGAGTGGGGGAGGAGAGAGCACAGGGTGTGTTTGGGAGCACAGCCCACACGGCGTCAGTGGTGGCGCATGAGTTGTCGTGCAGACAGTCAAAGTCCGCCCCTGCTCCCTTGAGATTGCAAGACTCTTTTCTGTAGGGGCGGCGGGGTGGGAGTGGAAAAAAGAAATCATTTTGAATGAATAGGAATGATATAAAAGCATGAGGAACTTGAGATAAATCTGGAGGAAAGGGGGCCTCCAGAGATTGTTGCTTACGGTTTGCAGCCGTAGATGATTGCGTGATGGACAGCTGAGATGTCAGTAGAGTTGAGCACGATACCCCACTCAACCGCATGCGTCTTGGTCTTGAGAGCAATGTCCACCACCTGGGGGCACGATAGAGGGGCGCAACCAGGTGCATATCGGTGCAGAGGGGTGCGGAAAGGTTCTCGGGGGCATGGGAAAGGGGTCCGCCTGGACGTTGATGTGAGAAAGAAAACTGTGTCACACGAGAACGAAAGGGGCGCACGAACCGGCATTTGTGGTCACTGGGGAGCATGCTCTATGCTTGCATGGAAGAAGGCGGACGGTACGTGACAACGCCACGCCAACGCACCTTGCAGCGATAGGTCGTGTGGTTTGTTGGCACCCGGTAATTCGTGAACGTGAAATTCAGCATGCTCTCTTCAAGTTGCAGAGGCTGCTGCTTCTGCAGCTTCCCTGCCTGCGGTTGCGCAGCCAGCCGCCCAAATGCTCGGAGCGAATCAGACGCAGAGGACGCGGAGGCGGATGCGGAAGGGGGAGGCGTGGGCGCGATAATGGAGGGGCCGGGGGCAGGAGCGAGCACGAGGGCGGACATGCCGCGGTCGGAGCTGTGATAGCTGACGTCACCCGTGGCGCCCATCGCCCAGATGACGTTGTGAAGCTTCCCGGAAACTATGGGTCGGTCGTTGCAGTCGCCGGTGTCCAGCTTGCGCCACACGTGCACGGTGCTCCACGTGTCGCCCGTGGATTGGTTGGTGGTCTGACTGCCGCCCAGCACGTGCCAGTCCTGCTTGTCGTCGAGTGCAATTCCTTGGGTCGTCTTGTTGAAGATGAAGCGATCCGTTGCATACACGCGGGCTTCGGATTGTGCGACCCATGCGACGAGGGCATCTGGTCGCACACACGAGCAGCGAGCAGAGTGAGCGAGAGCGACAACAATCAATCATTCCAGCGAAGTGAGTCACTCGTCTTGTTGAGTCGGCGATTGCACAAGCAGAATCACATTGAATGTGAGGTGAGATAGGATTCGTCCAATGCGAATCCTTCGGCGGACTACGCTTCGTTCATGCGCATGCCGCGGCAACAAAATCGTAAAACGATATAATCAATCAATGAACAGGAACGAGCGAGAATCTCACACAGACTTGATCGTATATGGACTCGTACCTGAGCCCACCATGGAACCGATCTCGGAGATGCCTATAGCGAACCATCCAGTAGTTTTTGCATTCAATGCCATGTGAATGGTCGCGTCGCTGCCGTTGACGGTCCAATAGAGCTCGAAGCGCGGATCCAGCAACGCCACATTGGAGTAGGCGGAAAGCGACTCGGGAAGGGAAGTCGCGTAATCCGCGGAGGCAGAATGGTTACACACAACCGCCGCGAACGCCGCCAGCAATAGGAGTAGACACCACGAGGTCTGGAGCAAAACCTCGCAGCCGTGCCGCCTGTGCGCCATCTTTCGAAGCGCCTTTTCTTAAGGATTTCAGGGAGGAGATGGAACAACCTCTTGTCGTCGGCAGCGTGCGCAAACGGGCTCTTCCGCGCGCCGAACCGACGGGGAGTGTGCGGCCGAGAGGGCCGAGATTCTCGCTTCGCAAAGAAGCCGAAGCGACTCGAGAACTTCTCTTAAAGTATTCCGCGGATGGGGTGGATGTGTGCGAGGTCACAGTTGGATATGGAGGCAATTTGTAGGCGCAGGGGAACAAGGAGAGATTTCGAGCCGCATGCCTGTTCGCGATATAGTGCCTCGACTGTACAGTACATTGCGTATCGGAGAAATTACCGAATCGCGTGGTGTGAGGAATCCGATTCCCCATTGAGTGACTGGTAGCGTCGATCGCGGAAGCTGGCGTGGCGGTGTGGCTCGTGGTAATTTCTGAAGACGGTACGATTGGCGGATGAGTGGACGGAATGGGTAACAAGAGTGAGAATGGTCGTTGCTTAGCGAAGCAGTACGTCACTCGTGACGTCATCGAGAGCTTCGACGAAATGACCTCCGCACAGCTAGGCCACTTGCCTCACCACACGCGGCTGGCGTGGATCGACAGCCTAAAAAAAGTAAATGTGAAGAGCTTCGTAAAAACTCACTCGACACGTCACCGGTGGAGTAATTAGTAGGAGACTTCCTGAAAAATCGCTCAGGCACGTACCTTCATACTCAATGTAATCAGGCTCTAGTACAACCATCCGTTTGATACATTTAACTTCGAAACGATATACGGTTGTCTGAATGAATCACTGTTGGCAGGCAAAATGAAAGGCTGGTCTTTGCTGGCTGCAAGGCTTGGGCTAGTTCTAAAGCAAGGTTTGTGGTTGTGAAGTTTCCTTTTCCGTAATCCACACCACACCACACCTCATTTTAGCACGTGCGAAAATTCCATAAAGAAAAAAAAAAAACTTGGAAGCAATGACTCGACAAGGAAAATTGTATGATCTGCTCATGTTTGCTTGCCATTGGCAGCTGTCATCTTCAACATGAGGTTTTGAGGCTTTCCCTGTTCCCATCACCCCTCCACCTCACAGATCCCTGCTCCCCTGCTCCCCCCCCCCCCCCCCCCCCCCCTCTCTAATCATCCCATGCATCATCTGCCACCCCCTCCACCTTATCTGGTCCTGCTTGAGCCACAATCATGTGCTTGTACTTCTGATCCACTATCTTTACTGCTGTCGCCCCTATCATCGTCACATTTGCCGCTGTTGCTGCCCGATTTTCCCGGAATGCTGCTGCCTCCTCTTTCTCCTTCCTCCTTGCAGCCTGGGGGATGACAGGGAAGGCAAGGCATGAGAATTGTGGGATGATGATGAAGGGCTGAAAAACCAAGTGGGCGATGGGGAAAAGGCAAAGGCGGATGGGGATGCAGGCAAAGCTTACCTTATGTTATCCCTCACCTTATCACCTCCAAACACCATGGTGTTACCTGCCTGCCTCTGCCTGTGACAAAGCCTTATCCGAGCTAGCAGAAACTGAAAGAAGAGTGGAGAAGTAGACAGTCAAGGGCAGTGTAACATTGTTACCATACCTTGCCAGTCGCAAACGCCATGGTGTTGCCTGCCTCCGCCTCTGATAGTGCTTTCTTGATCTGAGCCACCAGAAACTGGAAAGACGAAAAAGTGGAGGCGGAACATGAACAAAAAGATAGAGCTTCGAAAATGGCTAAGGAGTAGTCACGTGATAGAAGTTGGGTTTAAAAGATGCGTTTCTAATGCAGCAAAGGAAAACAAAGGGTACGCCGATTATATGAAAAGGAGGCTGCAGTCATGACATATGCTGCATACTCCATTGCCACTTGCCCACCACCATGCACCTGTCAACATGCCCCCATCACCATGCCCCCATCACCACCTGGCACCCCGTCTCACCGCATCTCTATCAGTGTAAAAGGACACAGCTCGCCCAGACGCTCCTGCTCGCCCTGTTCGCCCGATGCGGTGCACATAGTCCTCTAGAGCCTGAGCGAGGGAAGCGGGGGAGGAGATGAAGAATAAAGTGAGTCAGGCTCCGATGCGGTGCATATAGTCCTCTGGAGCCTTCCTTTTTAAAAAGTTCGCCCGATGCGGTGCACATAGTCCTCTAGAGCCTGAGCGAGGGAAGCGGGGGAGGAGATGAAGAATAAAGTGACTCAGGCTCCGATGCGGTGCATATAGTCCTCTAGAGCCTTCCTTTTTAAAAAGTTCGCCCGATGCGGTGCACATAGTCCTCTAGGGCCTGTGGGAGGGGAGGCGGGGGGGATGAGGAGTAGACACACTGATGCGGTGCACATTGTCCTCTAGAGCCTGCGGGGGGGAGGCGCGAGGTTGGCAGAATGAAGAGTAATTTGAGACAGATTCATCTATTCTATAGGGCATGACGCATGAGGTTTGAGGCATGAGGCGTGTCGGATGGGGCATGAGGCATGATGCACACATGATACATGCAGCAGTGGGCAAGCAAGGGGTCACCTTGGGTAAATCCATGTTGACGACCAGAGCCACTCCCGACACGTCCAGCCCTCTTGATGCCACATCCGTTGCCACCTGCAGGGATGAACACGTGGTTGGCTTGACATGAGCACGAAACTCCCAGCACCCACGAGGATGTTAAGGGTGTAGAAGTCCAGCAGAGTATTGTCACGAGCAACAAGCATCAAGAACCCAGCAACACGCCCCCAGCTGGCACTCACGAGGATGTTGATGGCGTTCTTGCTGAAGTCCAACAGAAAGTTGTCACGACGAGTGACAAGCACCAAATCACCCAGCAACACGCCCAGAAAGAGACACATTCACCTGTGCCTTGCCCCAGCCCCTGCCCCCCAGCCCCTGCCCCCCAGCCCCTACCCCCTAGCCCCTGCACCCTGGCCCCTCGCCCCAGCCCCCTGACACTCACGAGAATGTTGATGGTGTTTTTGCGGAAGTCCAGCAAAGCCGCCTCTCTCTCTCCCTGGCTGCGCCCACCATGCAGTGCTGCTGCCTTGAGGCCTTGCGCTGTCAGGGCATCGCACACCTCGTCACACTTCACCTGTTGTTGAGGTGGCAGTGGGTGAGAGCTAGTAGGTGTTGGCGCTGCTAAAAGAAACAAACAAAGCTGATTGACGGGATGAGCTGATTGACAAAGGGGTGGAGAATGAGTTGACTGACACATTGCGAGCAGAAGATGTGCTTAGCATGCAAAAATAAGTCAGCTAAACCAAACAGCTCGACAGCAACAGCAACAGCCCCTGCACCTCACCTTGCGCTCCACAAACACGATAGTGAGTGGCAGTGGCTGCTGCCCGCTCTCTGCAGCCGCCATCTCCTCCACCAGCAGCTGTAGCAGCCGATCCACCTGGAGTAGGTCGGGTGGGGCCACGGAGATTGAAAGACAAAATTAAGAGTCACGAAGGTGCATTGTCTTCAGCTGCCATCTCCTCCCTTAGCAGCTGCAGCAGCCGATCCACCAGGGAGGGTAGAGGATGATGGAGGAATAAAACGGATGAAGCGGCAGTGGAGAGGGTGGTGCGAAGAAGGTGCATTGTCAGCAAGCACCTTCTCCTCCCTCAGCGGCTGCAGCAGCCGGTCTGCCTGGAGTCGGCAACACGGACACTGAGAGTTAGAATTGACTAAGAATGAAGAGGGGAATAGAGTGGGCTGTGTGAAGCTGCCACGTCCTCCACCAGCAACCAGTCCACCTGGTTAGGCCGGTTGGCGTAAAAAAGGCAGAGACTAATACTGGAGTAAGAATGAACCCTCATTGGGTGAAAAGAATAAAGAGGGTGGCTTCTTACCCAACCCCCCCACCTCCACCCCCCTGCTCACCTTGTCCTTATCTGCAACCTTCTCCAGCGACTGGGTCACGTTCTGAGTGGGGCTGCTGACGCGCCCCACCTTAACGCGCACGGGGTTCTTAAGATACTCCTGAGCCAGCGCCTCTATCTCCTCCGGCATTGTTGCAGAAAACAGCAGCGTCTGGTGCTGCCGCGGCAGGTTTGCCATGATCTGGCGGTGGGGTGGGAAAGGCGAGGGGAAAGGGGCCGGATGGCGGAAGATGAAAGACAAGGGTGAGAGGGAAGAAGGAGGAGGCATGGGTTGAAGCGCACGGAGATTTTAAGGCAAAGGATGTCCAGCATCCTGTCAGCCTCGTCCAGCACAACAAACAAAACAAGTGAAAGAGAAATGTTGCCCTGCTGCAGATGGTCTACGAATCGCCCAGGAGTTGCCACCACCACCTGCACTCCCTTTCACCACTTTCCTCTCTTGATAACCGAACTTCATTCTTGTATTGCTCACCTCTTCATCTGTGGTTCGAATCCCATGTCAAGCATCCTATCAGCCTCGTCCAGCACGACAAACGACACGCATGCGAGCGACGTGTTGCCCTGCTGCAGATGGTCTATGAACCGCCCCAGTCTTAGCACTCTCACTTCTATAACACAACTTCCTCACCTCTTTCATCTGAGGCTCAAACCCCATGTCAAGCATCCTGTCAGCCTCGTCCAGCACAACAAACGACACACACGCGAGCGACGTGTTGCCCTGCTGCAGATGGTCTATGAACCGCCCCAGTCTTAGCACTCTCACTTCTATAACACAACTTCCTCACCTCTTTCATCTGAGGCTCAAACCCCATGTCAAGCATCCTGTCAGCCTCGTCCAGCACAACAAACGACACGCACGCGAGCGACGTGTTGCCCTGCTGCAGATGGTCTATGAACCGCCCCAGTCTTAGCACTCTCACTTCTATAACACAACTTCCTCACCTCTTTCATCTGAGGCTCAAACCCCATGTCAAGCATCCTGTCAGCCTCGTCCAGCACAACAAACGACACGCACGCGAGCGACGTGTTGCCCTGCTGCAGATGGTCTATGAACCGCCCCGGTCTTTCCAATCTCCCCTCTACAGCACAGCTTTCTCACCTCCTTCATCTGTGGCTCGAATCCCATGTCCAGCATCCTATCAGCCTCGTCCAGCACGACAAACGACACCCGGGCAAGCGACGTGTTGCCCTGCTGCAGATGGTCTATGAATCGACCCGGCGTCGCCACCACCACCTTCACCTGCACGCCCTTTCAACTCTTCCCTCTACAACACAGCTCACGCCGTCACTCCTCACCTCCTTCATCTGTGGTTCAAATCCCATGTCCAGAATCCTGTCAGCCTCGTCCAGCACGACAAAGGAGACACGGGAGAGTGAAGTGTTGCCCTGCTGCAGATGGTCTATGAATCGCCCTGGAGTTGCCACCACCACCTGCACACCCCCTCGCAGCACCGACCGCTGTTCACTCATGTGCGTGCCGCCCACTATGATCGCCGTCTTAAACCCCTCCGACGACAGGCTGAAAGCTTTAACCTGGGGGTTGGGGTTCGGGGTTTCAGGTTTTGGGGAAAGAGCAGGCAACAGGATAGAGACGGCTTTCACTTGGAGTTTGGAAGGGGTGAAGTGTGTGCACAAGTGCGAGGCAGACGAGGCACCGCAAGCTGCATGCTACATCGACTCAAACTACATGCTAGATCAACTCCATGCCTCTCGACTCGGGACGTGCCTCACCTCCTTCTCAATCTGCTGCGCCAGCTCGCGAGTGGGCGCCAGCACGAGCGCCAGAGGCCCATCGCCCGGCCGCAGAGGGGCTTGATGCAGACAGTGCTGGGGGCAGACGCGAAAAAGGGGAGAGACGAGGGAGATAACCAGTGATGAAAGGTGGAGGGGCATGAAGGACGTCTTTTTCTCCTACGAACAGGACAGCATTCTGGGTGGAGGATGGAGTGACATAGATGTCAGGAGACTCAGGTGTAGAGAGCATCGGTGAAGCATGGGGATGGAGAGAGACAGCGAGGGAGTAGGAAGGAGAGAGCGAGGGAGGGAGTAGGAAGGAGGAAACGGCGGAGGTTTTTGAGTCGCATTTCAAGGCAGCTTCGGTGGCACACTTGTGAAACGAAGGGGATGGCGAGGGCGTGTGGACACATGGAATGGCAGGTGCGAACGCTCACTTGAATCATGGGGATGGCGAAGGCGGCGGTTTTGCCACTGCCGGTTTCAGCGCAGCCGAGGAGGTCGCGGTTGGAGAGCGCGATGGGCATGGCCTGCGCCTGGATGGGCGTGGGGTTGGTGTAGCTGTGGTAGACAATGTCCTTCGAGATGTTCGGGTGCAGGCCCTGAATGTGGAGGGGGGGTGGGGAGAGAGGGAAGGTGAAAAGGAAGCCGAGATGTTTGTGGGATGGGTGACGGGCCTGGATGGGCGTGGGGTTGGTGTAGCTGTGGTACAAGATATCCTTTGATATGTTCGGGTGCAAGGGAGAACACGAAAGTCATGATTGAACGTAGAAGAGCTCACCATGTCGTCAAACGACTCGACCGGAGCGGGAGCAACGCCCGTGCCAGGCGTGACTTCCACCGTCACGTTCAGCCGCGCGCGGACCTCGGCGATCTGCATCCAAATTCAGAAACTTTCAGATGCAGTGTCAATCAATTCATTTTTGGTGAAATTCAGTACCATTCAGTATTATTCAGTGCCATTAAGAGTCAGTCAATGTCATTCAGTTTCAGTCAATGCAATTCAGTGGCAGTCAGTGCCATTCAGTGTCAGTCAATGTCATTCAGCATCAATGAAAGCCATCCAGCGTCATTCATTGTCGTTCAGCGTTAAAACGAAGGCATTCAAAGTCGGGATAACGTCAGATAATTAACAAACAGTTCCACGGTAAGTTATAAGATGATAGAGCAAAATATCAGCAGTAAAGGATTGCGATTGCCGTAACCAACAGGAAATTATCGGTTTGGCTTTTCGGCCCACTCAAACGTAGACACAGACGGACCACAGAAGACGGAAACCGCGAATGTAAGGAATTCCGTGACTCACTGCTACCAACGATGATACCACATAACCCCGGTTTGTGATATACTGTCGGCTATATCAGAGCTGATAAAAAGCTCAGCTATGACGCATTTCATGCACCATTGACACATCCTTCCAACTTGGCATCACGAGCCTGATGAAACAACACGATTGACGTAGCATAAGAACTATGCCCCTAACGAGATCGTATGGATGTAACCATTAAAGGCTCTGTGTTTTGCGTTGAACAGGACGAAGGCTCCGTGTTTTGCGTTAAACAGGACAAAGGCTCCGTGTTTTGCGTTGAACAGGACGACATATCAATAGGACATAGCAAGCGGCTATATGGCGAATCTCCAGGACAACCGATCTGAACGCATCAAGTAGCAGACCTAATGTCCTTGCATGCGGATGACATATTGCACTGTAACACGCCTTATATCCAGGACTCTCATCATTGAAGAAATCAGATAATACGCTGATCCACTTGCAAACGGTTCACACGGCCAGACGCTTCTATCCTAAACCGTCATATCCGTAGTTTGACAACGGACGACAACGTCAGACAGTTTGAATCCGGGTCTGACATTTCTTAACTCCGAAACTGACATCTCTGAACGCCGAAACTGACATCTCTTAACGCCGATACTGACATCTCTTAACGCCGGAGCTGACATGTTTTAAGGCCGGAATTGACATCTCTTAACGGATCGAAAGCTAACCTGATCTTCTTGCAAGCGGATCACACGGTCCGACGGCTTCCATGCCGGGCAAACGGGCTCTGGAGGGCCGCTTCCCCGGGTCTCTACCGGCCGACGGCTGCTGCTGAAGCTGCTGCTGCCACCGTCCCTGCTGCCTCTGTCATCCCTATCCCTCCGATCGTCTCTATCTCGAGAGCCGTAGCTTCTAGAACCGAAGCTGCCATAGTCGTTCCGATCACCGTACCGGCCTGGAGGATCGGATCGGGTTCCTAGGGAGGATGACGGGGGAGCGGAACCTCCCCCCGATCCGCCCGCCGAGTTGCGTAAATGAGGTGGTACGTACGGCATTGCAGGGTCGCTTACAAAAGCTTAGAACGGGGAAATTAAGGCAGACGAATAACACGAAATGGCAGCTTGCGGAGCTGAGCGCTGGTCTGATAATCTACGCCACGCACTAGCAGCTTGATCCGTACTTCTGCTGGTTAGGCTCTAAAAAAATATCACAACGATGACTAGTTGGTGAATTCTGGGGGTTCCTAAAACTAGTCCAGCCACGCTTCTATCGACGACAAACCCAAGACCTTGAGTTCAGCAGTTCAGTCGCTCGCGCAAGCGGAAGCGGAAGGCGCAAGGGAGCGGGTGTGAACTTTGTTCCCGAAGGATCTCCGCTTTCTCCGTAAACAGCCTCCTCTCGTGGCGTGCAAATCCCTAGGGAACGTTCCGCCAGGCACGCGCTTCCTCGATGAACGCGGGCAGATCTCTGTCATTCCTAAGCATAGGAGCCGCAGATTGGCTGATCGATAAGGGAAAAGGTGACGTGTCAGAAGTTGTGTTTCTGTACTGGAACATAACAATTTGACACAACATAGTACCATTATCATATCTCTAACATTTACAACCAGCCCATATCATATATCGATTGTTTTCATCCTGCCATTTCCTATCATTGGAAAAAATCATTACTTTCTGTCAAATGAACATTAACTAGATATGTCAAGTCTAAAATCACTCAGACAAAGTTACTGGCAAGTAGCTGCTTTGAGCGGAATATGGTTGTTTTGTTCTGGTGTTCTTCTAAAATTATGCTGCTCCTCTGGTTCCATAACGCGGTGTGGTTCCTAGTGAATTTTCCCGTAGGTCTTCCTGACACCAAGTTGTTACAAAGCGAATCCCGACGAACCGACAGGCAGCAACGCTACCCGCCCTTTCCCCCATTCCGTCACTTCGGCCACCCCTCCGACATATCATACTGCATGAAATACTCGGACGAACGAAATGACGAATCAGCAAAAGCAGTGTCATGAGTTCGCAATGACACGGATGAGAATTCGCGAACGTCGGAGCACCTGCCCCTACGACGAGTCATTTCATCGACACGTGTCCCCCCTTCCGCCAACCCAAGCCGACCGCACCGCCATCCAATGTCGCGGCTCGATGCTGGATTCTAGAACCAGGCAGGATAAATTTCACCACCCTACCCACACAGGCATCGCCGATTCCTCCCACACTCAACTCTCTGCATATCAACTGTTATTCCAGTGTCTGAAGCACACCGAAAGCAAACTAATAGTGGTCATCCCGCGAACACACGCTCAACTATGGCTGCGCCCACCATTCGCGTCCAAGCTGCCGTGGTTCTGGCTCTCCTCCTCTCAGGTAAGTGGCATAATCTTGCCCTTACCTGGCATTCATGCGTCCGCCACTTGATACGCCGGCTTAGCAAAATCTGGTCCTTCTGAAATGGATTCACGGAACTGACCTGTGCTCATGCTCTGCTGTTCCCACTTCTGTGCGTTGCGCTTCTTCACTTCCATGCAGCATTGATTACTCCCCCCGCGTCTGCCATACGGCTGGGGATTCAAACTCAAGTTTTGGGTGAGCAAACCCGGACTTTTGAAACCGTTTGGCAAAACTCTCAACCAGTGCTCTTCTTTGGGTTATGCTTCTCCTCTCTTTTTCTTCCAACGTACGCTAACCAGTAATTCAAATTCGCACCATCAATAACGCCCACACTTTACGCTTTTCCATATCCCCGCCGTGCAGCATCAGTGAGTGGCCCTCTGGTGATGTGTGGCCCTGGCAAGACGGAGGGGTCAGCTCAGCTGGAGCTCGTGAGAAGGTGAGGCGAAGCACTCCTAAAAACTCCTGAGCACTCCTGAGAACTCGCAATGCACTCAAGATTGGTAGATAAGAACGAGGTGATGGCGCCGATGCCTTGATCACATTCCTTTTCTCACTTCACACCATCACTCCTCCTCGCCCCACTCATCCCCTTAGATCTCCCCAATCTCTTCCCCAACCCTGCACTCTCCACACCACAGGGGCGCGGCTCTCTTCCTCACCTACAAGCTCACCACCCAGGCCAGCACTCGCCCCTCCTCCAAGCCCCACCTCCTCACCACCAACCCCTGCCCCTCTTCCTCCTCCTCCGCCTCCACTGCCACTGCCACCTCTCTCGCCCTCGACCCGGCTCTCTCAGCTCAACTCGGCTCCTCTCTCACCGCCAATCCCCTCAACGCCACCGCGGGCGCCGCTGCTGGAGCCTCAGCCAGCCTTCTCAACACCTCTGCAGGTGTTGGCGCTACTGTCGGGGCATCTCTTCCCAGTGGAACCGTGAACACAGTAGGAGGTGTCACGACTTCTACCGGCCTCATGGGCACATCCGTGGGTGTTGGCGCCACCCTTGGGGCGTCTCTTCCCAAGGGAACCGTGAAAACAGCAGGAGGTGTCTCGGCCTCCACCGCTCTGCTCAACACATCTGCAGGCGTGGGCGCTGGTGCTATCGTCTCCCTCCCCAACGGCTCTGTCGCTGCAGCGGGTGATCTCTCTGCCTCCACTGGCCTCCTCAACACATCCGCTGGAGTTGGAACCACCGTTGGGGTCTCCCTTCCCAACGGGACTGTCGCTGCAACAGGCGGCGTTGCTGCGACCACGGGGCTGCTCAACTCGTCTGCTGGTGTGGGCGCCAGCATTGGCGCTTCCCTTCCCACCGGCACTGCCTCAGCAGCAGGAGGCCTCACCGCCTCCTCCGCTCTCCTCAACACGTCAGCCGGCGTGGGAGCAGGAGTGGGCGTGTCTCTCCCCAATGCCTCTCTCTCTGGCTCTGCCTCCCTCGGTGCCTCCTCCCCTCTCCTCAACACCTCCGCCGGCGCCGGTGCTGCCGTCAACGCAGGCTCGGGCGACGTCCAAGCCAACCTCGGAGCCTCGGCAAACCTCGGCGGCTCGGTCTCCGGCCTTGTCTCCGGCGTGGGCGGGGCTGTGGGGAACCTCGTAGGCTCGGCAGGGAACATGGCAGGCTCGGTGGTAGGCTCGGTGGGCAACATGGTCGCCTCGGTCGCAGTCTCTCTCTCTCCGATTGCGGTGCTGAACGGTGGGTGGGTGATTACCAGTGGTGGCGCCTACGCCATGGTCGGGCAGACTCGAGTGTCGGCAGCGCTGGCATCGGCCCTCGTGACCCGCATCTCCACCAACCTGCCTCTCTTCCTGCAGGTGCATGTCGGTGCACAGGGCACCCTTGTGGCCAGGATGGAGTAGCACGGCTGAGAGAAGAAGGGCTAGGGGGGTGACGGGTGAATGGGGCGTCGGAGAGTTGGAGCATGGAGTAGAGGGTGAGAAAGTAAGGGCAACGGAGGTGAGGGGTCGTGGAGCATGGAGTAGAGGGAGGAGCTGGGTCACAGGGAACCGTCATGGCCTGGAAGGAGTAGGATTGTGTGTGGGAGGGAGAGTTAGAGGGAGTGAGATGGAGTGTAGTTGCTGCATGGGCTGTGACACTGACACACCCATCTGTTGCTTTTTTGTCCCTTGCAACTTCCTCCCTTGTACATACTGGTGGAGAATGATTCATGTGTGGTGTGGACCCCAGCTTTCCTGGACTGACTCTATCTAAGCCTCTTGCCAGCTGGCTGAGCGTGGCGTATCATCAGAGCAAAAAGGAATCACAAGATGAAGAACAAACGAACGAATGCACGCTGGACAATGCTCGGAAGACAACGAATGGCCCCAGCTCTGAAACGAGAGAGGGATGAACACTCAGGCGAGAAAAATGAGAGTACCCAAAGTAATGTTGCTGCACTCCCCAGTCCCTGCTACAATGCTACAATCCCCAATTCTTTCCGCAATCAGACAGAGGCATCAACCCTCTCCCCACCACGGTTTACCAGCCTCATACTCCTTATAAACAGTTCTCACCCGCCCCTTGTTTTCTTCCACCTGCTCCTCCCATCTCACAGAAAACGCCTGCAAGCCAATAGCTGCTTCTGGAGCCGGCCCAAACAGGTGCTTGGCCTGCGATAGCACCTCTGCATCCACCAGTGCCTTTCTCCTCTCTCTGCCATCATATGAGTGATCCCCAACTCCACTCCCCCTCGCATCAGCAGAACCACGGCCATGGGAGATGGTTGCTTTGAGGACCATAGGTGCGGCCTGCTGGGCTTGGGCCGGCCCGTACATGGTGTCACCGATGAGCGGCGTGCCCAGCGCTGCAAACTGTGCTCGAAGCTGGGATGGGAGAACAAGGAATAGGGGGAAGGGAAAGAGATAAAATGGTGGGATAAAACACCACTGCATTCCCTCCCCTGCTGTGACACATCTTCTTCACATCCCACTCCACATCATCCCCTCACATGCCACCCAATGCCACATCAGCTGAGTGCCGTACCTGGTGTGTTCTCCCTGTGATAAGCTCCACTAGGCACTCGTATGCCACGTCAGCAGCTGGCCAATAGGAGCAGTCCACGTCAGCAGCAGCCAGCGCAGAATCAGCAGGCCATGCCACCTCTTCCACTCGACGAATCACAAGCTCGCAGGGCTGCCAGCCTGGCATGGCTTCTCGTGTCAAAATCTTCGGGGAGTACGGGTCGGGCAGCATGAAATGTATGTGCCTGCCCGGAGCAGGAGCAGAGGCGGTCAGGGCCTTGTACAGCTTGCGAACCTTGCGACCCTATAAGAGCCGAGGGAGATAAGAGGCGAGAAGAGGCGAGATGAGGCGAGAAGAGGCGAGAAGAGGCGAGAAGAGGCAGAAGAGGCGAATAAGAGTTGAGAAGAGGTGAGAAGATGTAAGAAAGGCAAGAAGAGAGAAAAGCCGCCTCAAGTGGGTCCACGGGGAAGGCCAAAGGGTGAGATTATTTTTGCAGCATTAAGAATATTGAAAGGAAAGGTGAATGCAGGATAGGAATGCATGTATCGAGAACCGCAGCGGCAGGGTTATGTGACAGTGGTGATGTGTGAGCGAGCCTACAGGGTTATGAGTGGACGGACCTGAAGCAGCTGGTTGAACTGGCTGGCGAACTGACGGTTCTTGGCCATCACCACACTGCAGGGAGCAGCAATGACATGGAACGATAGTGTTGGGAGATTCTTTTGAAGGCCCATACAGGCCATTATAGGCAATACAGGCAATCGCACCAACTGACTAACTGGCTATTCTTGGCCATGAGCACGCTGCAGGGAGCACGGACAATCTAGAAACATAGTCTCATAAGAGATACATAAATGCATGGGCGCTCATGCACGCAACACCTCATCCGCCCCACCCACTGACCACCCCCTCATCCGCCCACCCACCCACCCACCCACCAGCCTTGCGTGCAGAGGTCGAGCTGGTGGGTGAGCTGCAGCGGGCGATCGAGCCCCACGGCCTGCCCTCCAAAGTAGGCGCAACACTCCAGCAGGTTGTCCACTGTGCCGCCCACCTGTGCAGCACGCATAGAGCGTGGCAGTGCCATATGAGACAAATGGTGGGATGGAGTCAAACTCAAGAAGCCACTTGCACATTTTGAATGGTGCCAAAGAAAAGTGCCTACAACAACATGGGCGAACAGAGGGACTGACAGGGCCTTGAAAGAGTGAGTGGCTTACAGGAACGTTGTATGGCTTATCAATTACCACATAATCATCCTCGTTAACAATCACTGACTTTCGCCAGTCAAAGCTGTAGCACCTGCATACATCCAAGGAACATCATAGGGTGGTGGGATAGGTAGTAACCTCAGTGCAGAAAATATCTGATGCAACCAGGAAGAGCATTCGATTATGTGCTATCCACAAGCTCTGGGTGTTTGTAACTGTTGGCTCATCCTTGTAAAACATTTAAACTTTTACTCACTGCCACTTCACTCACATTGGGAATCGTTTAGGATGCACATGAACTCGGAGGTAACTGCCGGCCTTCACTCTCACTCCATACTCCTCCTCCCCCTCCTCCCCCTCCTCCCCCTCCTGCTGCTGCTTCTGCTGCTGAAAATTCTCCTCGCCCCTATTATTCCACCCGTCCGTTTTGCCCCTCAATTCTCTCCCACTCCCCAAGCCTTTCTTCCCCGCCTTGTCTCGGGACCTCTGCCTTTGCCTCTTCTCCTTCTGCCCGACACCTCTTCCCTGCACTCCCCCCACCTCCACCCTTCGTACCTTCTGCAACTCAGCCAATGTGACCTTCGGTTGATGAGAGGAGGAGGAGGGGGAGGAGGAGGACGACGACGAAGGGGAGGAGGGCGAGGAGGGCGAGGAGGAGGGGTCAGTGGTGTGCTGCGCAATAAAGTCAAGGTAGGCTTGAAGGGCCTCTGGGGGGAGGTTCGGAGGTGGGGGAGGTGGCACCTGGGCGTGGTAAATCCCACCAAATCTTATCAAATCTGTGACGTATCTGCTTGATTGGGTGGGAGGCAAACCACATGAAATACAGCATAAGAAATCGTCGAAGAAAGGGTCAAAACAGCGAAGGAAACAGAGCGAATCAATGCTGATCAGCTCAAATATCGACCATGATTAACTTGATTTTGCAGTTTCACGCTTCATAAATCATATTCTTCGGCCCAGCGTGATTTTGCTGATTCCTGCTCAGCGTGTCGACTTACGCTGTTGGAAGGTCGAGTGATTCAGCCACCACATCCACAACGCGGCCTTCTCGTTCCACCAATAGGTGCTCGACACGTGGCGGTAATTGTGGCTCTGGACGTAGCTGAAGCCGCGTGTAGGTGATTCCAGACCAATCGGGAAGCTGCGACAGCGGTTCGGGATTTTCTGCATTGTTGCTACTACATGTGCTGCTTTCGACGCCGTTGTTCACGGTGCTACGGACGGCCGTGATTCTCTTACCCGCCCGCCAAACGTTCGCTCCCTTCACTCCTACGTATGCACCGCCGCTTCCTGCGGCGAGACTGAGGCATTTAGGGCGATCGATGGTTGGGATGAAAAAGAACGGCTTAACGACAAGCGCGTTGGTAGTACCGGCTGTTCTGAACAAGGAAAAGGATCGTTGCATTAATAAGAATTACTGCTCAGTGAGTAGATAGCGCGTGATGGTCGGAAACAGCGCAGCCGAAGGCAGGCTGAGGCTGGGAGTGGAAGTGTCGCAGACGTTGCAAGGTGAATAGTTTGCCAAGGAATGAGGCGGGACTGGCGGTGATATATTATATGTGGGATAGGGCGTCTCGAAAAGCTGAACACACTACGGTTCAGTGAGATGTCGTTAGCCTCATTATACATGTATTATTCCATTTCTGTACCATAATATAAATTGTGTTCGCGAATAAAGGAATGGGCGAACTTAGGCAGGGTTGAATGCGAAAGTCGGCGAAAAACTGTTGGTTCTAAGCTGATCCGTTAGCTTTGTCACTCCCTGACTTCAGCTGATCCGTCGGCAACTACACCCCGCACGGCATCCCCCTCGAAAGTGACGATGCTTCGCAACCGTTGGCCAATCTCTGCCGTTCAGCCACCAGCATCATTGCATCGTAGCCACTTCTTTTGGATCAGACGAGATTCGCGCGACATTCCCAAGGAATCGGAACGGAATCCATGCTCTCCCCCAGTTCTGTTCTGTCCCACGGGCATGCATTTTGATCAAGTGCTATTCCTGCTTCACTGATGGAATGGTAAATCCGTTTTCCGATTGCCTCTGATCAGTAGTGAGTACTAGCTATTCTGCCAGTAGGCGCTGCTCACACTTCCTGGCAGCGCTTGCTGGTTGTGAAGCATAATTCGCTCCCATGGCGGAAAAAGAAAACGGCATATCCGTGGGAAAGGTGGCGGGAATTGCAGCATGGGCAGCGATCACGCAGAAATTGGCACTCCCTTCTCTGCTTCGTGCGACGGAGCTTTTCGTTTTCAATGGCGAGGCTGTCGTTAATTCCGACATAATTCTCTCTCTCCTCGTATGTAATTGTGGTTTAAATACATGTAGTAAAAACACAGATTCACTCACAAGCGAATTCCACCAGCCACTTCCACCATCCGATACTTAACCCTGAAAGCTTTTTCAGTCAGCTTACTGGAGTATTTCACGAATATTAACCATTTGTTCTGCGTCACCTTGAAGCAGCTGAATAAATCCCTAATCGCGACTGTAAGATCGAGACGTATTAGAACATAGTACCTTCTCACGCTTTGGTCTCCTTAAAGCAGTTACCCTCACCCCTATCTTCCTGGCCAACAGGCGCTCTCCACGTGTCCGTTGTCTAAGGTCCAGAGCGTGATTCGCTTCAAGGATCCCAAGGAGTCGCTGATCGGCGCGGTGGTCGCCGCGGTGTTGGGGCTTCACAACGTCGTCGTGCGCCACGCCAAGCTGAACCGACTCAAGGAACAATCGGTGAGTTCCTTCTGAAAGAGGAGTGTTCTTGAGGCGTCGAAGGCGTGGTCTGGAATCTTAGACCATTCTTTGCTTAGTAACTGCTTACAATGTTCCATAAAATCCTTCACATCACGAGCAGCCCATGTGCAAGACCATGTAGTCCTTCATGTGCAGTCCAGTCCACATGTAGTTCTCATCCGATCCTTCAAATCTTGGCAATCCACGTGCATGGTCGTGCAAACCTTCACATGCAGTTTAGGTTCATTTCATGAGTCTTCCACATTCAACTATACGCATGCTCATTCCCTCGCAGATGCTTCTGCCAGGAGAGGAGGCCGTGTGGCGCAGGAAGAACCTTCCCGGAAATGAGCTTGTGAGTGGGAGCTTTGCTGCCGTCGGCAAGACATGGATCAAGTGCATGATTAGCAATGTTTTCATAATGACATAATTTGCTTTTAAATGTCGTGGCCACCACTATCTCAATCGTGTCATTCCATACCATGTCCTGCCTTAGTTCTGATGCTATGCCTTTCTACGCTATGCTGTGCCATGCCGTTCCGTGCTATGGAGTGCCATGCTATAAGCTGCCTTTGTTTCTTTCCCACTGACGAATCAATTCTCGTGTCTGTCTGTGTGTGAACATATGTGTCATGCCTCAGATGGTTGTGTCTTATGACGAGGCCACCACATGCTATCACAACTTCTTCACGTTCGCTCGCCAGAGGTTTGCAAATGTGAGTGCCGATCCTCGCTGTCCCATACCACGCTGCTCATGCACCTGCTGTCGTGAATGCCATGCCATTTGGCGGAGTCCTTGCTATGCCGCCCTATGCCATGCCACTCCATACCATGTCGTACCAAACTACGCAACGCAATAGTGCATAAACCGAGCTGAGACCTCCTCTTCTCTCTTCCTCTCCCATGATCCCATCCCCCATCCCCCCATTCTCCACCTGTTCTTTTGTCTCTCCTTCTCCTTCAACAGAACCCCTGCCTGGGCACCCGTAACGGTGATGGTTTCACCTGGGAGAGCTACGAACTCACGGCACGCCGAGCCTCCGACTTTGGTGCGGGGCTGGTGTACCTGGGGCTGAAGCCTGGGGACAGGTTCGGCATCTACAGTGTGAACAACGCGGAGTGGGTGCTGGCGGAGCTGGGAGGGTACTGCTACGGGCTCGTCAATGTGTCCCTGTGAGTATGGTGAAGGGTGATTTATGCTGAAAGGGTGATGTGACTATAGTGAATAAGGGCTGTGAGGACGGGGAACTATGAGTATGTTCTCATAGATCCAACATTTCTGCGTACACACATCTGGACTTCTTTGCCTGCACCGCTGCACCCCTCACATCTGCCTCCCCACCTCTGCACCCTCCACACCTCCCTCCCCACCTCTGCACCCTTCCACACCTCCCTCCCCACCTCTGCACCCTTCCACACCTCCCTCCCCACCTCTGCACCCATCCCAGGTACGCCACACTGGGGCAGGAGGCGGTGAACCATGTGGTGAATCACTCCGAGATGGTGGCTGTGGTCTGCAGCGTGGAGGTGAGCGGTTGTGAGAGGTGGTGAGCGGTGGTGTGTGGCGGTGATATGAGCGGTGGTGAGAGGTCGTGTGCAGCGTGAAAGCCGTGCATTTTGTGCATGTCTGTCTGGGTGTATGGGTGGACCTGGTTGTGTTTATCAGCCATTCCCCACCCTCACCTCTCTGCTATCCTGACTCTCTCCTCTCTTTTCCCCTCGTCCCCACCCCACTCCTGCTCCTCTCCCTCCCTCCCCCCAGACCCTCTCGTCACTCTTCAAGGCTCTGCCGTCAAGCCCGGCAGTGAAGACGGTGATATACATGCAGGGGGGCGGGAAGGCACCCAGTGACGCGGACAGGCAGGCAACAGCAGAGGAGAGGCAGCAGGCGTGCAGTCAACTCTTCCCCTCTTTCCCATCCTTCTCCTGTTCCCATCACTTATTTCCCCTACCCAGACCCTCTCATCGCTCTTCAAGGCGCTGCCATCAAGCCCGGCAGTGAAGACGGTGATATACATGCAGGGGGGCGGGCAGGCACCCACTGACGCAGACAGGCAGGCAGCAGAGGATGCGGGCGTGAAGCTGATCCCGTTCTCGCAGGTGGAGGAGTGGGGCGCGCAGAACCCCCAGGAGCACATTCCCCCCAAGCCGGAGGACCTGGCTGTGCTCATGTACACATCTGGCACCACTGTGAGTAGCTATGGGCACAGACGTGGATGGGTGTGTGGGTGGGTGGGTGGGAGCTGTTTATGGTAAGAGGCAGCGGGCATGCATTGAGCTCAGAGGCCACTCCAGGACCATAACTGGTGGCAGGGACGAAGGGGTGGTGCAACTGAGCTGGGGTTAGCACACGTTTACATGCACCTAGTTGCACACACATGTGCACACATATTCTACTCATCTCTTCCTCCCTTGCCTCCTTCTCCACTCCCTCTCCCTCCCTCCTTCGATCCCCCAGGGTGATCCCAAGGGGGTGATGCTAACGCACCGCAACATCATAGCCAACACCACCTCGTGCCCGGCTGTGCTGGGCACCACAGGAGGGGTCACCCTTGGCCCTGGTGACCGCTACCTCTCCTACCTGCCCTTTTTGGCCCGCATTCCCCATCTCCTTTCCATCTCCTCGCCATCTCCTCCCCTTCTCTCTTCCCCATCCCCTTCCCCATCCCCTTCCCCGTCTACTCTCCAGGGCGATCCCAAGGGGGTGATGCTGACGCATCGCAACATCATAGCCAACACCACATCATGTCCGGCTGTTTTAGGCACCGCAGGAGGCGTCGCCCTCGGCCCTGGTGACCACTACCTCTCCTACCTGCCCTTGTCTGCCCCCCTCCTCACTCCCTCATTCCCATCTCCTCCCCATCTCCTCCCCTTCCCCCTCTACGTCCCTCTTCCCCCTCTCCTTCCTGCATCCCCCAGGGTGATCCCAAGGGGGTGATGCTAACGCACCGCAACATCATCGCCAACACCACCTCCTGCCCGGCTGTGCTGGGCACCGCAGGAGGCGTCACCCTCGGCCCTGGTGACCACTACCTCTCCTACCTGCCCTTGTCTGCCCCCCTCCTCACTCCCTCATTCCCATCTCCTCCCCATCTCCTCCCCTTCCCCCTCTACGTCTCTCTTCCCCCTCTCCTTCCTGCATCCCCCAGGGTGATCCCAAGGGGGTGATGCTAACGCACCGCAACATCATCGCCAACACCACCTCATGCCCGGCTGTGCTGGGCACCGCAGGAGGCGTCACCCTCGGCCCCGGCGACCGCTACCTCTCCTACCTGCCCTTGTCTGCCCCGTCCTCACTCCCCCATTTTCATCTACTATCCATCCCCTCGACATCTCCTTTCCGTCTCCTCCCCTTCTCCTCCCTTTCCCCCTACCCTTCTCCCTTCCCCGTTCACCTCACCATCCCCCAGGGCGATCCCAAGGGGGTGATGCTAACGCA